GATTCTAATAGGGTCACTTTAATTTGTTTAGTGTTCCTGGGGTGAAAAGGTTAAGCAGTCAATGTTTGTCACTCAAGTTACAATCAAAGTGGATCTAGAGGTCACCCATGCAAACAATGAATTGAGGAAAATGCTGAATGGGCAAATGTAACCACTGAATGGGGCACAAGTTCAGAAAAGTATATCCTGTCAGCCAGAACTAACAAACACATGGTGAGGTGCTAGGTACTGAAGAGAATAAACACAATACAGGGTGTTTCATAAGTTACATACAGGAAAACACAAGCATCGCTTCAGAGATCCTGGGTAGTTAGCATCATTTCGATTTTTTCTCCAGGTGATGCCGGTGTTGGGAAATGAACAGGCAGATTAACTGGCTGGTTCTGCACTTACTTGGTGAATTGATGCATGACAAGCTAGATATTGTGAGTACCTTTGGGAGCTAGTGACCAGTGCAGAGGCACAAAAAGATCATTACGATTTGAGGATAATGGCGCTGTAAGGAGTTACCAGGTAATCTGGCAGACACTTAACGGAAAGGCAAGAAGGATATACAATCAGACAGTTACTGGTGTCATCGGAACTGGAATTCTTCACTTGCTGCTGAAGATGGGGACCAAGCGCTGTGATGTTGATTTTTAAATCGCCATTCAGGAAAACACATTTCGATGCGTTTCCTGCACAGCTGGAGTTGGTGATATATTTATTTTTCTTAAGTTTGGAAACTTTTAGAACAGTCTGTACATTTTATTTTGCTAACATCACCATGTGTCATAGCAGTAACCTGTACCAACAATTTTAGAACTAGCAAATCACATTTAAAAAAGATTATTTGTTCATGCTTGTTGTTTCAATACTGAACTGGTGTCACTAACCTATTAAATCTTTTTCTTCGTCGTGTTCATCGGCTTTAAACTCTGGAGGAAAGTTCTGGTTGTTTATCCACTTCTGGACTTTGATCTTCTTCCATAACCTGAGTTTTGCATGCACATCCATTGTACACATCTGGCTTATTTATATGCAGTGTTGGTTCCTCAACTCTCAGGCAGATGCACTTTGACTTCAAAAGAAACATACTTATTGAGTGACTTTCTATGACAAGCTTGTTGGGTTGTGTCAATTCTTAGCTTGTCCAAAATATGATCCTGGAGCTCACACGAGGAATCCAAATAAAAACATACTTTTTGTCCAAATGTTGTTTTTGTCTATATAGTCATAGCCTGAGTATATATTGGAAAAATAAATTTGATATATTTTGTTCAATGTTTTATCAACTTCATCATCATTTGGCTTGTAAGTTGGCATGAATCTGATGATTACTTCTTTCTTCTAGCTGCATAACACTTTCTAGTCCTCGTCTTTTTCCCCCTAGGCAATTGTTGTTAGTGGGAGCCGCCGTGGTGTAGCAACTAGACACTTACCTAGGGATCAGAAGGCTGTGGGTTCAGGTCCTGATGGTACCAGACATTTTTTTAAAAATTGACCTTGGCTTCCAGGTCAACCCAGCCTAGAAAGAATACCAGGCAGAACCCTGGCAAGTAAAGACTACTGGCATGATGCTGGCCACATCACCCATCAAGTGCTGATGGGTCTATTTATAAAATATAGGTCTAGCCCTATAGGCCCAGTATACCTGAGAGCATGGAAAGGATATTTTACTTTATTAATTATTCTTAGTACTCGTCTGAGTATTTCAACTTGTCTCAGACCACACAATCATGATTTGTTGGTGCTCATCCCAAGATTGACTGCCATATAAACAGTTTTATGCATGAAAATAAATCCTATGATTGAATAGCTCATTGACACTCAAAGATGTAATATAAATGCTGTTAGAATTTTGTGGACCAAAACTTGGACACCATCATTTTGCAGTCTACCCATGCACTACCAGGTCTCCAATCTGGTCAGTGTTCCAAGGATTGTGTTGTCCTCTGTAGATATGAAGATCCAGTACATGTCTTGAATCTTCTTCTCTACTCCTGGAATGCCTTGTGGTGTCAGGGCAGGAATAGATATCCGGAATGGGCCTTTCTGTTTGCTTCGTATAAAGTACATTTCAGTGTCGCTGGTATTTCTGCAGTCCATCTTATGTGTGGTTGACCTCTGGTTCTGTTACCGTTGTATCTGTATAACATTGCCCTCTATGATACCAATCTTGTTACATGGTCAAACCATTTGATTTATTGTCTACAAAATTTAGTAATGGTTTTGTGCCGACTCTCCTACTCATTTCATTGTTCTTAAGTCAACCTTTCCTCATTACACCTAGCACACTATGTAAACATTTCATCTGTCTTACTATTTTCCTTCTGACTTTTGAAGACAGTATCCATGTTTGACATTAATAGCACAGCGGTGGTAAGAATACTGTGTGAACAGTGTCTCTTTGGTGTGCATCTGTTCATTTTCTACGAGCACTAAGTCTTGTATATCCTGTTCATTTCAAAACTTGGAGAGGGAAAAAAATCTCTGCAATAATTCCTATGAAGAAGGTACTTGAATTTTGGGGATGGGAAGGAAGTCTATGACATAAAATTGTGTGCCTTTATCCCTGTGAAGGCTGGCTCCAGTGTACCAACTGCTGTCTTTAGGAAGATCATGTGGTGAGGCTCAGTCTCCTTCACGGTGTGACTCTCATACCACTATCTGAAAAGAGCAGGTGCACCGAACCCTAGAACTCAAGAATTATGAAAGTGTTAACTCAACACTAACTTTTCTTCTACAAATGTAAACCCTTTTCAAGACTTGGAAATGCATCGGACCAAAAACTCCAGAGGACTCAACCAATCCAGCAACGAACCAACATCACAGGGTAACACATAAATAATAATTTAAAAAAATTAGGCATAAAACTAGCCATAGTATAGTTAGAGCACTGAGTGGATACATCCAATGGTTTTAAATTACTGTTAGTGTGTGATTTGGATGTGTATTCTCTCATTCACCAACACACTGTCAGTATAATAAATTCAGAACCAACTACGCAGAATGAACTAATCTTTGTGATAAGTCAGAAATATGGCTACATAATCTTCTTTTTCTTCAGCTCTCAGAGCCCTTTAGGTTCACTGCTGCAGGTCTTTATGTTTGGCCTTCTCTTTCCAGGACTCCAACTGTTTGTAGGGCTGCCTATCTCTTCACCACCTTCTTGGTCTATTTCCATCAAACTCTTTTGTGTATGCAGTTTGCTACATCTTTCACTGTACTGAATCACACCAATATTACAGCTACAGAAATGAGACCATTGGAAAGGCAATTTTTCAAACCAACAATAAATAACAAAACAGAACACCACATCCATAGAGTACAGCATTTATTTTAAACTCATAATCGTATTTCTGAGTCATCATATGCACTCAAAGAAAATACATATCAGGATGATCAATTCGACCTTATTTTGATGCTTGAAAAAGATTTGACACAAAATTAATTAAAACAAAAACCAGAAACAGTTATCAATGGAAAAGAAAAGTAATTGAATACTCAAGAAGACAACAGAAAAGGTCACCAAGTAAACAAGTTCAAACATCTTGAGGACTGATTTATAACTGAGAATCTATGCCTCTGTAACACAGGGCAAGCTGTCATAGATGTAAAACTACAAATGATGGTATAACGGAAAGAAAAATATAAACAAGAGTTGATACACAGTATGGTGCCAGCAATAAAATACTCTACATGTGACAAACACACAAATAATCAATAGTGTTTTCATGCTCACATTTTATTACAACTATCAATGTTACCAGAAAACTTCTCAGAAAAAAAAAGTACGTGGATAAACAGATTTTTTTTTCAGAAATGCATAAGGTAAAACTATTTTTACACCTTCGGCGTATCAGGCACATGCTGCTAGATCTATATTTTTATAAACCAATCAGCATTTGATGTAGTCAACATCACTTTGGATACCAATGAATGGTGTTCCTAAAATAAGAAAGACACCTCCTGAAAGGCAAAATTTGGCAACAAATGCCTGCAGAAGCTGGATGTGTTGGCTATGATGCACAAATATTGCATCAGTGCTGTAAATGGAAACATTGCATTTCCAACTCTGGATGAAGCCAGAAGAGGAGGAAGAAAGATGCCTGACAGTACTAGAATAACCAAAAAGATCAGGAATCAAAAGTTACAGAACACATTATTTGCCATAGTTTATGGTGTGTCAATTTACTTAATAGCTTGACTGCAGTCATCCCTATTTTAGCACCCCCAGGTAATTAAATGGTCTGATAATGTGACTAAGTCTCAGCATGTACAGCAGTAGCAGTATGAAATAAATGATGTGATGATTCAAGGACAGGAGGAAGTTTGAGGGGGGGTGGGGGGGGGGGGGGAAAGACACTTCACTCCAGGCAACACATACAAGTTCAGTGACTATTTCACACTTCACAGGCCCCCCTTCACAGGAAAGAGGGTAGACCCACTGCCCCCCAACAAGCATGTCACACAAAGCGACTAATTAGGGATCCCCCCCCCCCCAAGTCAGAGTGCATCTTCCAGAGAATCAAGGAATCAACCATCTGCATACAAATGAGCCCGGCTCTGTGAAATGGATATACATGCAAAACTCAAATCCTGGCAGAGGATGAAAGTCCAGAAGTGGATGAACAACCAAAACTTTCCGCCGGGGTTTATAGCCAGTAAATGCTAAGAAGACTAAGAGATATTTTTTGAAAGCAGAAGAAAGTTAAAATATTAATTGTAGTTGTAAGGACAGAAGAAGCAGAAAAAGTAACAACTTTTTAAATTAAGAGTTAATAACTAGAAGAGAGCTGCCTCATGCAATAGCTGTATGGGGCTGACAGAGATAAGAGACAACATTAATATGGTCTTACTTCATAAAGAGTTCCATGATGCAGTATATTTCTCTTACAATATCTAGTGATAAGAGAAACAACATTAAAAGTGCAGCATGCCTCCACTGGATAGAAATACACAAATAGATAACAATCCAGATGAAACAATCTGATGTCCAATCACATCTGGCAAAGTATTTATGTTAATTCTCCAGAAGCCAACTTGCTTGCAACCAGAGATGGCTTTCTGGCGTGGATATTCTCAGGTGTGGGAATCGTTATGCCCACATCCTCGGTGGTAATGATTTTTTCTGGAGGTGGGGGTGGTTTCACTTTGGCACTTAGCTTGGCTTTGGCCATGGCATAGTCCCCAGAGTCAAAGTATTTTTGCTGGTGGAAAAAAAGAAGATAAAATACTGAGCAAAATCTGCATTTCATCTTGTCATGATGATGGCTAATGAAATTACATTTGTTTCAATTATTTTAAGAAAAATGTGTAATCAAAGTAAATGTCTCTAATATGAAGCAAGACATTGTGTTTAAGAATTCTCAGCCCACTGATAATGGCAGACGGAAGATGATTTAAGGAAGTTAAATGCAGAATACCCAGGCGGAGCCTGACTTGACTCCCAGGTCGACCCAGTTTTGAGTGGGTACCGGGTGCAGCCCCTGGAAGTAAAGGCGGCTGGCGAGATACTGACCACATCACCCATCTTGTGTCGATAAAAATATAGGTCTAACCCTATATGCCTAAAGGTGTAGAAAAGGAACCTTTACTTTACTAAATGTAGAATAGCTCAAGCAAATGCAGAATTTCACAGGATCAAGAATACTATATGCAATATTTAGTTTTTTACAAAGTGAGATCAGAAAAAGAGATCTAAAGAGCTATACAGAGCCAATCCTAATGTATGGACAAAAATCATGTACAGTGAACAGATTAGTGAGAAATTATGTGGAGGTTGTAGAGATGTGGTACTATAAAAGAATGGTAAGATAACCGTGCACAGATAAGAAGCATCAAGAGTATGTTCTTTAGAGAAAAAAAAATTCAAAAACTCTACGAGAACTGGTTACCTGACACCTTAAAAAGTCTATCCACATTGGGCATATACATTATCAGGAGGAGTATGTTATGACTATTGTGTGTGTGTATACAGGCGCATGCGTGTGTGAATAGGGGTTGGGGGGTGTAATAAGAGAACATGTGTATCAGTCAGAAATGACTGACAGTACATGAGACAAGGCTGTGGACAGATATGACAGCTACAGTGCATGGATTATAAGATGAAAAAAAAAAACTGCTTTTACTGCCCATGTAACAGTAAAAGTCCTTATTGCACACCTTTAGGCATATTGGGAATACAGTGGTAGGCCTATATTTTATAGACCAACTGACACTAGGTGGGTGATGTGGTCAGCATCAGGCTGATTACCTTTACTGTCCGTGACCTTACCTAGTACCCATTTTAGGCTGGGGCTTCCTAGGAGCCAAGGTCAATTTTGAAAAACATGATGTAGATTTACTCCCCTACTGCCCCTGTTCTTATCAATTTTTAAGGTGGAGGGGATGGGGTGGTGATGGTGAACCTGAGGATTTAAGACCATACTGCCAGTGCAGTCACCACAAACTGTGCAGGTTAGGATGTTGATTTTGCCCCCTAACACACACAAATCCCAACCCTTGTTGAGGATCAAACTCTTTTCTCCTGCATTAGAGACCAGCACTTTAACTACCCAACAAGATAAAAATAAAATTTTATTTAATGATTCATCTGATAAAAATAGGACATAAAACAAAAGCGTCATTAATGTAGCCCGTGTCAGTCTGACAATTAATGTGTTATTTACCAATGAAAAAGACTGAATAATTAAAGCCAGAATAGCACGTTTAGTCAAAGAAATTAAAACTAATTCCAAACTCTTAAATGTGGAGCTGAGACAACTAAAATAATTATTAATAAACTGAAACTAAACAATTCACTAACTGGTGCCTGAGCAGAATACAGGGCATTAAATTGTATCACAGAAAGAATCTTAAATGTGAATTTTTGAAGGAGAAATCAACACATACAAGTGAATCAACAGGTAAGGAAAAGGTAATAGCGTTACGCATGACACACTTTGACAAGGCCAGATAATATAATACGAAATCCCTTGCATTGAACCCAGTCTAATGAATAAAGATAGACGATTATATACAAAGAAACAACAATTAGAGGAGGTGGGGAGGATATGAGGTGAGTTGAGTGCGACAGCAAAGGATAAGATGTGGCATGAACTGGGTCTATGCTCCCCTGGGGTGATAAAGAATAGTGGGAAAAAAACCAAGAAATATGTTAAGTGACAGCAGTAAAATTATTACAATCTGTTGATAAAATCATACCCCTAACTTATAAACAGCTGACATACATAACAACAATGTAAACACAAAGATATCAAAGAACATTCTAAATTACACAGTAGTGAGACAAAATCCATACATGTTATCTTTGCAAGCAGCTTGATATCAAATAATATCAGATAAAAAACAAAAATTAATCCATTTAAAGACAAGGTTGAAATGACCCTGTATGCACTCTTAGCGGGTCATGAATGAACCACAAGATGTCTTCAAGCAATAAACAGAGTGTCTAATTTTTTCTGGCAAATAGCTTCCAAAGACCTGGCTATACAATTATTCAGATATCATCACAAGCACCCTTGTGGTCGATTGCTTTATCAAGTGTTTCCTATTTAGGTTATAAAGTCTCTTACGAGAAGCATATGTTCAGTGGGTTGCTTGATTGAGTCCTATAATGATCTTATGTCTGATTTATATGTGCTTGTGTCATTTAAACTCTTATGTATAATGTATATGTATTTATGTCATTAAAACACTTATGGCTGGCATATATGTACTTGTGTCATTTAAACTCTTATGTATAATGTATATGTATTTATGTCATTAAAACACTTATGGCTGGCATATATGTGCTTGTGTCATTTAAACTCTTATGTATAATGTATATGTATTTATGTCATTAAAACACTTATAGCTGGCATATATGTGCTTGTGTCATTTAAACTCTTATGTATAATGTATATGTATTTATGTCATTAAAACACTTATGGCTGGCATATATGTGCTTGTGTCATTTAAACTCTTATGTATAATGTATATGTATTTATGTCATTAAAACACTTATGGCTGGCATATATGTGCTTGTGTCATTTAAACTCTTATGTATAATGTATATGTATTTATGTCATTAAAACACTTATAGCTGGCATATATGTGCTTGTGTCATTTAAAACTCTTATGTATAATGTATATGTATTTTATGTCATTAAAACACTTATGGCTGGCATATATGTGCTTGTGTCATTTAAACTCTTATGTATAATGTATATGTATTTATGTCATTAAAACACTTATAGCTGGCATATATGTGCTTGTGTCATTTAAACTCTTATGTATAATGTATATGTATTTATGTCATTAAAACACTTATGGCTGGCATATATGTGCTTGTGTCATTTAAACTCTTATGTATAATGTATATGTATTTATGTCATTAAAACACTTATAGCTGGCATATATGTGCTTGTGTCATTTAAACTCTTATGTATAATGTATATGTATTTATGTCATTAAAACACTTATGGCTGGCATATATGTGCTTGTGTCATTTAAACTCTTATGTATAATGTATATGTATTTATGTCATTAAAACACTTATAGCTGGCATATATGTGCTTGTGTCATTTAAACTCTTATGTATAATGTATATATGTCATTAAAACACTTATGGCTGGCATATATGTGCTTGTGTCATTTAAACTCTTATGTATAATGTATATGTATTTATGTCATTAAAACACTTATAGCTGGCATATATGTGCTTGTGTCATTTAAACTCTTATTACTGATGTATATGCACTTGGGTCATGTAAATTCTTATGATTGATGTATATGCACTTAGGTCATGTAAATTCTTATGATTGATGTATATGCACTTGTGTCTTTTAAATTCTGAAAAAGAATTGGAATCTTTCAAAGTAAGATTAATGTAGAGAAATCTTCTTCTTCTGCCTTCATGTGCAGAAACTATTCTCTTAACCATCGTCTTCTTTGCATTCTCACTGCCTGTGGTTTACAGATGAGAAGGCCACTCATCCTATGAATGTTTTGGTGTGACACAAGTCCTCCATTGGTTCATACAGCTTTGTTTCCACCAAAATGCCAACTGGCCAGACCTGAGATCTCTTTACTGCGTGTAGAAAGCATGCCTGCTATGCATGTTCAGGATTCGGGGGGAGCGTCTCCACATGGACTAATATCTCAGTCCCCAATCTTAAATTTCCTGTGCATGTGGCACAATCTGTTATGTCTAATTCGCAATCTAAATACAATAGTCTGTTGCTTTCACGTGAGGAAGGTGACTGGGTCTTCAGGACTGTGTTTTAGATGGGAAGTGTTCTACCTGGTTCTAATGACCGCCTTCATCTGAATTTTATTTTTTTCCTGCATTTGGATGTTCTTTACTGCTCTAAAATTTTGCTAGCCTGCTCTTTCAATTCCCATAATAGTTTTAGTCTTCAGCTTAGGAGAGGGGGCTTCCCCATACCCAGACAGTAAAACAAAAAGGCTGTCCAGGATTAGGTATGCACTGGTGATATTTCTGAAACAGGTGTGGGATATATTCACTGTCAAAAGGCTTCAGCCAAATGCCCAGAAGGAATAATCAAATCAATGACATTTTATGTGTTTTAACATCAGGTTGCCAGTTTGCCTGGTCTGAGACGTCATCTGTACATTTAACATTGATAGACTGCTGGCCAGTCCCTGCACTCAAGACTCAATTTGATTAGAACCCTACAAGTCTCATGGTTGCTCCGACACTTTAAGCAACAACTCTACTTGCCCAATTTTATCAAGCCTGCACACATATCTAACTGTGTTTTCAACTACACTAACTACCGGGGATATCTGTCTTAGAATTTCTGAACATGATCTGTGAGTAAGTTATAATTATGACGTGTATACAGTTGGCTCGCTTCAGGCCAGTAGGTGATAGTCTAGCTGTTGCTCTACTATGGCTCCCACATTAAACAATTTATATCGATGTTAATGTTAATCCTTTAATATTAACATTAAACCAATGTGCCAATCACCCTTTTAAAAGCAAACACAGAAGAAACTACCAAGCAGGTTGAAGAGACAAGTACCAGGAAATGCCATTGGAAGAAAACATGGCCAGAATCACATATCAGATGTCAGTTATTCTATAAAAAATATGGGTCTAGCACCATATGCACAAGGTGCCACTAGTGTGAAAAGGGTCCTTCACTTTCTACATGTGAAAACTGTAGCACACATAACTGACCGTTCTGAGGTTAAAGTGTTTCCATAAAACATATTATAGTACCAGTTGTAACCTGATTAAAATTTGCCTAGGTGGAAATAACCGGCTACCAGGTAAAACAATTATACCAGACAGTACTCCTGAAGATGAGCGTTACAAGTACATGAAGAGCTTATTAAAAAAAAAAAAAAAGTCAACATACGTAATAAATGTGTACATTAGGGAATTTCTGGTACCATCACACCAAGCAGTACTTTTGAATTACGGTCCTTGTCTGTCACAACTGTTTCAGGCTAGTTTTCATAACGTTAGAGATTCAAATGGCCAGACAAATATGTGCATTTCTCTCAACATACTTCAGTTAAGTGATTTTTGTGTGTTCTTGTTCCCAAATGTGGCAGTGTCTATTTATGTTGCGTGTTGATGAAGGTTTTCCATCACCACACTCACAATTGTCGTTTGTGTTTACGATCATGTGAAGCTGACTAGTTCTACTTTTTGTCTGATCTTATATCTTTTCATTATTTAAAAATAAAAAAATGGGCGCACAAGCACATGGGAGCGTCATTAGAAAACTTCTGAACATATGCCATAAATATGCACATTGAGGAACATGAAGTACCATCACACCCAGCTGAACTGAAACAGAAACTGGCTTCCAAACACATGAGAGTGTCAGTAGAAAACTAGTGAGCATGTGGAATAAATGTACACATTAAGGAACATGTAGTACCATCACACCCAGCAGAATCACACACAATGGGCTTCCAAACACATGAGAGTGTCAGTAGAAAACTAGTGAACATATGTAATAAATGTACACATTAAGGAACATGTAGTACCATCACACCCAGCAGAACTCAAACAAAAAGTGGGTGTACAAGCAATATCATCAGAAAACAAGACAAAATATTTATTAGTTAATGTATCTGAAGGAAAACAAAACTTACTCCTCCTTTGTGAAGTCTTTTGTTCAGAAGAGCTGAGCCAACTCCTCCTTTAGCTAAATTTGGGTATTTGGACTTCAGTTTTTCTTCTTCTCGTTTTTCAGCCTGTTTTACAAAAGTATCAGGTATTTAAATCAGTAACGAAATTAATAATTCTGTTAACTGTAGAATCTGAGCAACTTAAGTGTAAATTTAGTAACACATGCCTAGAAACACCAAGAAATGACTACTGTAAATACAATCTGGGAATAGACAATAAAAAAAAATGAATCCATCACATTTGGGGGGGGGTTGGGGGGGGGGGGGGGGCTTATTTACCATTTTTAGGGTGACTTCTTTCTTCTGCCTTTCTAACCCCCAACCAGCTCAGGTTCTATCTTTTGCTATCGCATGCAGCTCTCACCATGACCTCCCCATCTTTATAACCAGCTCCCTTCTCCATGTGTTTTTTTTAAGCCTACTTTTATTCCTATGCCCCGGTGGGTTCAAGTGCAAAGATATTCTAGTTATATTGTTTTCCAGTCCTATCCAATGCCAGCATATTCAGATCATGTTCCATAAAAGTATCAGGTATATAAATCAGTAACAAAATTAATGATTCTGTTAACTGTAAAATATGAGTATCTTAAGTGTAAATTTAGTAACACGTGCCTAGAAACACTGAGAGATGACTACTGTAAATAAGACAATAAAAAATGGTGAATGCATGTCAAATTCTTGTGAAAGAATAAGAAAAAAAATGTAACTGCCTTATTTACTATTTTTAGGGTAGTGTTCAATAAAAGTCTATGGTTAAGCATAAGCAAGAAAATCAAAGTCAAAATTTTGAGAGCATGCATCATCCCTGTAGCATCATATGGATGTGAGTCACGGACTATCTAACAGTCCTTAAGAAAGAAAATATGGGCTTCTGAGCTAAAATGCTACAGAAAGATTATCAGAATATCATAGGCAAAGAACAACAGAAATATTGACATCCTGAAAGATATGAACATCAAGGAAGACTGGCTGGTAAACAGCATCTTGTCTCAAAAAAAGAAACATTAGGGCCATATCAAGCACCACAGTAAATTGTAAAAAAAAAAAAAAATTTATATTAGCTGAAGGCATGTAACCAGCAAATAGGGCCAGGGACTGACCAAAGAATAAAACTGACACATTGCATATAAAAGTGCAACGAGTGAGAGAGTTGACTAGAGACCAGATTTCTTTCAGGCAGGCAGCGATATTTTGCCAAGGATCTACTACATGATAAAGGTAGGATATGGGTTATAAAACTGAGAATCTAAGGCCGCATGGCTAGTGGAGGTCATGAAATTCACTGGTAAGAATTTCCCTCATTTACCATGAGCGTACGTTCGTACTGCGACTGTGAAAAAAGGGGAGCTTTGACCACCATTAGGAAATTATTTTTCCGTACTCTTTACGCAAAAAATAATACCGAGACAATTGTTTCCACAATCACTGTCGCATTTTTTCATGCATCTGTCAGTATTTAGAGTTTATAGAATCGTCTGGTAGAAATATTTGTACCTGATCATCCCAAATTACGATAATTAATTTCAGCTATCATGGCCACATTTGCTTAGATTCTTCAGTTATTAACTTAAAACGCTCACTAAATTAGTAATGTTATGAGAGTTATTTTTTTTTTAAATCCACAACCTTTGTAGTATTTTATTATGCATCTGTTATTATTTAAGTTCACAGAATTTTATGTTAGAGATATTTTTATCTAATCAACTCAGCCTATGTTTGAACCACGGCCTTCTCCAGTCAGGCCGTACAACTGAATCACGGCACATTTTCGAGGAGTCCCCCTCGAAAATGGGTTATTGTAAGCGTTTCCATGTTGCATTTTGTGACATTATAATATGCTTACAAACTTCTGTGTTCTGATTGTATTCGTATTACAAATCGACAAGCGGATATTGTAAAGTGGACATACAGGCTGATAGATTACCGCAATTTTAATTGTAATTCACGGAAGACAGTCGTGTTGTGATGTGTGTGTCAGTGTCACTGCTTCTAGTCAGTAGTTTGGATTTTTGGGAACTGGCTGTTTATTACTTTTCTACTTTAAATGTAGAAATCTAACTTTTAGGGATAATACAAACAGGTAATTTAGAAGCCATATCTGGAGAATATCGACAGTTGTCAGGTGTAAACTATCTTGTGTTTGAAGAAAACTATTGCTTTCAAATTGACTGTGGATAAATTGTGTCAAAATATTTTGGAGCTCTAGGTAAGTGGATGAAAATAATATTTAATTTACTAACTTCTTGCAGCAAGTCACTCTTTGCCTCTTTACTAATTGTTGACTAACAGTATAATTATATGTTTGTTAATTTTTGTAAACTGGCTCTTGCTTTGCTTCGCGAACACTGGCTGTAAACTCTTGCGGAAACTTCTGGTTGCTCATCGACTTCTTTTGCATATTTGCAGTTCTACAGTCTGTTAATTTTTGTAAACTGGCTTTTGTTTTGCTTCGCGAACACTGGCTGTAAACTCTTGCGGAAACTTCTGGTTGCTCATCGACTTCTTTTGCATATTTGCAGTTCTACGGTTTGTTAATTTTTGTAAACTGGCTTTTGTTTTGCTTCGCGAACACTGGCTGTAAACTCTTGCAGAAACTCCTGGTTGTTCATCCACTTCCCTTGCATATTTGTTACAAAAAATTCACAATAAGGAATTGATTTCATCCAACAAGATGAAACTGGACAAATTTGTTTGTGCTGTTTGTACCTTGAGGATACATATTTAGTAGTGCTATAAGTACTGTTAAGAAAACTATTCTGGGTGAAAAAAGTATTCCACATATCAATTTCATACTGATTGTATTGTGCTTGTCTACTAATTATTAAATAACAGTATAATTGTATGTTGTAGTAGTCTACTAATAATAATAATAACCATCAATCATTTATATTTATGTTATGTATGACATGTGTGTTTCATAGCAGTATTTTTATGCGCTAAATTTGATAAAGTACAAATGTTCCCCCCCCCTCCCCTCCTCTGATGCAGCAATACCCTCTCAGAATCAAAGAGTTATCACTGATATTTCTTTACTTTTGCTGGAACAACTTTTAGTTTACATCTAAACGTTATTGATGTTTATGTTCATGTTGACTGTAGAAAAAGCATTTTTGTTTGTCTGTAAGAGCCTTTATTGTTATATTTATTTGGCACACTTGTTTACCTTAAAAATGAAGTATAGTTCTAAAAAATATGTAGAAAATTAATGAAACTGCAGTTTAATTTGTGTATACATCTCCTCGATAAAAACTGTGGACGCAGAGGTACTCAATTCTTGCACAAGAACGGGAATCCCTGTTGACCCAGTTGACCTTTTTATATCTAAAGATGGCCGTGGTTTGAACAAAGAAGACAAACAATTTATTGCCTGACATATTTCGCTCTATCTCATCAGGTGCATACTACAGTAACAATTACATAGATTAAACAATTAATAAATCCTTTATGACTGAAGTACAATTTCAACAAGGATCAAACACACATGACTGCCTGTTTTTATCAGGGCAGCCGTAAAGAAAGGTATGAAAGGTTTGAAATGCATTATTTTTAGTCACGTGTCCAGATTTTAGGAGATGGCGTGCTATTGCAGAGGGGGGAACTTTGCGGACGGTATTTTCATTCTGAATATTATTTTGCATGGCTTTTTCCACCCATACTGGAATGTGCTTAGCGACTCATTCAGCCTATGTTCACAAATTTCATCCATCAGACTGCTTTGGTTAAATGCACACTAAAATACTACTATTATGAGTAAAATTTTTGCAAATATTGTAATCTTTATCCAGCTGTGATAGTTTCATAAGTAAAAACCCAATATATAAAACTTCACTAGCACCCCTATTATAAAGGATCTTAAAGAAAAGCAGAATTCACTATATAAACACCTCAATTGTAACCAATACTGAAGAAACAGATTAAAACCTGGTGGCAACTTTTGTTTCCAGAAAACCTGAACTAAAATGTTTTAAAAGTGCAGAAATAGCACATGACAAACAAGATGCAAAGATAGTGACACTGCACAAGAACAAGATAACAAAAGAATAATAATCACAAAAACATGTCTCTGCATTACAAAAAACATATATGTTCGCACAACACAAAAGCATCTATAGAAACCTGGTGAACAGGTTGTTCCTGAGTCACAATGTAGTCATAGGGCCGGGCACCGAAACAGAGACAACTTTTACATTTTAACAACTGCAGGAACAAATGAGACCATTACTGACCGAAGCATACCCGAGCTTTTGATACTACTATAGAGAACTGGGTGTCCCAACTATCAGCTTTCTTCCACGAAGATTTAAAAGTCAACATCCAGTTTGTGGCCAGTTTTTCACACGCATTGACTAGACACTCATGAGAACAATGTTTCTGAATGCAGACTACACTACACACAACACTCACATGGACTGCAGGTGAAACCAGGCTGGTGCAGCCATTACAGATGCCCTAATTATAGCTTATTTATAGATTGAATTGGCTATATGAGATAAACTATGCTAGTGTGCCATCCTGATTGAGATTTTGTAATCTCAGGGTGTCAAACCTTCAGGTGTCATGTGCACTAATAGAGTGGAAAGCTGTGAGTTCTAGAATAATAGCAGCAACATTTAGATCCCATTCCCTATTTCCCCCTTTAAAAAAAACATATATACACACAGAGAAATAGAAGACATGAACACAATCCATGTTATATACACACAGAGAAATAGAAGACATGAACACAATCCATGTTATATACATACACATGACAAGATCTTCACATCCGTTCCATCAAAGAAAAGCTAATTTTTAACATATAAGTATATAACGCAAGTTATGAACAGCTTAGGGAATAATGTATGCTTAAGGAAATCAAATAAAGCAGAGGTGTTTCTTATTTTTATTTTAACTTAGTAATTCACTTTAATTATAATTTCAAATCAGTGCTGTTGTATGGAACAGAAACATGAAGAACTAAGGCAAATAATAATAAACTACAAACATTCATTAACTGGTGCCTGTGCATAATGAAGGGAATTAAAAGCTCATGTAGAGCTTTGGGAAAGAACTAAACAAGTTTCAGAGGACCAAGAGGTGAAGAAAAGACGCTGGCGTTGGATAGGAAACTTGTTGAGAAAACCTGAGAATAATATAAATAGAATGTCTTTGCACTGAAACCCAGAGAGGCATAGAAATAAAGGAGGAAAAAAAAAAAACATGGAGAAGGGAGCTAGAAAGTAAAGTTAAAAAGATGGGGAAGACACGGGAGAGCTGCATGCCACAGTGAAGGACAGAGCGCTGGGGTGAGTTTGTTGAGGGCTTATGCTACACTAAATCTTAACCTTCAGTCTGTGATGACAGCATTAGCCACATAGCCTTTCCTCAGGTGTAAAGACCCCCCACACTGCAAAAGTGGTAATTACAGGCAGCAACGGCTCTATTTTCAGGGGGGGGGGGGGGGGGGGACAGACAAATTGCCTCCTAAGAACCATGTCGTAAAAGGTATCTTATAAGGGTTTTGCTGAAATTATGTTTGGCTGAAAGGTGTAGGTATTTAGAGCCTAGCTGTAAACCACAACGCAAGAGGTGCCAACCACCCTTTTCAGGGTGAACACACACAGAAGAAAAGTGGTGTGTTATACCTGTATAGTTGTGCCTAGTGTTTACTGTCATATTATGACTTTAAATGTAATTTATTATTTATTACTTCTAAGCTTCAATCTTCTGAGTGGAGGGTTTTGATAGCATTGCAGGTCCTATACTATACAATCACAACCTGGCTACTGCCTCCATATCTTCGACCAACCAGGCCAGAGACAAAGTAATCTGTCATAATGAATATGCTGTTAGGGGTCTGGAGTTAACCCTACCAGACCGCTCTCCTGTTTTTCCGGGAATTTCATAACTGTTCTGTATACCGCTGGATCTAAATTTCAGATTGCAAATGGCTTCCATGTGTGTGTGAATCAATTGTTTGGGTTTTAACATGAAAAAATTCGGAAAATCCTTCTGATGTCTGTGATAAGTCGTCTTCGGGCTCCCGCCTCTTTTAAAACCTCTTGGTTGCTCTTTTTGGATGTCCAAGGTATTCTAACTAAATAGAAATACTGGCTCTCCTCCGAACTTCTACCCCCGCATTATGGCGGCAACAAATATATGTACGGGGCTCAGTTCTATTAAAAATATGCGAACTTCCTGCAATGAACGAATCGCGGCAAAACTAGGATTACCTGACAATTTCAAGAGATGCAACACTGCAGACTAAAGTAGCAGACGATAATAGCGACCGTTGACACTTTCAAGCGTTTCTGCAGACGATACTAGCGACCATGGACAATTTCAAGACACGCAACATTACTGATTATAAAAGCCACATGGTGGGGAGTCCATGTGCGCTGACGCAGATTAGCGTCATTGTTGTCCTCAAACTTGTCGGCATGCGCAAAATGCGGTTACACTCACCGCTGACAGTATCCCCGGCGCCGCGGATGGGGGGCTTAACTAGGTGCCTGGGACTCACGAGCAAATTAATTGGAGGAAGTTGCAGGAGATGCTGTAGCTGCTGCTCGTGAGTCCCAGCCATCTAGTTTAGCTCCCATCCGCGGGGGATACGGTCGGCGGTGAGGCATAGTCACACTCACAGAAACAGGTCTGCAAGTAACATATCACTGAGACCCTGCTAGAGCATTTGTTTCGTTATACGGAGCCGGCATATTTTTAATAGAACTGAGCCCCGTACGGATATTTGCTGCCACCATAATGCGGGAGTAGAAGTTTGGAGGAGAGCCGAAATACTAAATAATTTTCATTTATTCATCAGTCACAATTTACAGACCCACATCATTTTCTAAATCTACTATTACTAACAGTATTTAAGATGAGGTGCGTATCCTTTACAGGACGTTGCAGAACCAACCCCAACAGCCCCTGTTGTGTGGTTTTTCTAGGCAAATTTACGTCCAGTATTAGTAGTTTGCCACTGCTCCTGGACGTTCGGCTTTCTTGATACCACTGTCGAAACCAACGCAAGGCGCATGGCCCGCAGCTAGGATAGAACCCGGCATTCTGGCATTACGAAGCTTTTGCATCGACTTAGCCACAGAGCCGACTAACAATGTGTTATTAGTAAATGAAAATCAAAATGTGGTGAACTTAAATTTTTTGTAACAGTAACCAGTAAACAGCACTAAAGCCGAGTTACCAGTGACAGTAATTATACCTGCTGGGGATTGCCTTCATTTTCGTCTGTCTCTGTCTGGCTGTGTGACGTTGATCTTACGGCTAAGTCTGAAGCCATTGTTACTGTCGCTTTACTGTACAAGTCTAGAAAAAAGTCTAGTTCCGACAATAAATAAGTTCAGTGCATTGAGAAAAAGGACGCATGCAAATAGTACTCCAAGTAAACAAGACGACACGGTTCTATCTACCAGTTTGTCTAACTTCCTCCTGGCACAGGAATAGCAATGACGTCATCACTGTAGCATGTGTGTAAATGCCGAAATGTACCATTTGAGAGGAAAAAAAAGATTTCCCCTTTCTATTATAATTCTCTTCAAAAGCATTTGACTGTGTACAACATCAGAAGCTTTGGGAAATCATGAGGCTTTCCATCACATATAGCATTAAAATGCTCTATCAAGACCAACAAGCAGCAGTCAGAATAGATGGAGAGACATCAGACTGGTTTGGCATCAAGCAAGGAGTCCGTCAGGGATGTGTGCTGTCACCGTATTTGTTCAACCTGTACGCCGAAAATATAATGAGAAATGTAAGAGATGATATAAACAAGGAACAATATGATGCCCTAAACATCGGTGGTCATGAAATACCAGAAATTCGTTATGCTGATGATACAGTATTACTATCAACATCACAAAATGGTTTAGAAAACTTATTAACCTCACTCCAAAGAAATCGTGAAAATCATAACTTATTTCTTAACATAGCAAAAACAAAGATAATGCATACAAACAAAACTGCCATGGAGAAGGAAATATATGTTAATGAGGAAAGATTGGAAGTGGTGGAAAATTTCGAATATCTTGGGTCACTGGTTACCAACAATGGTGACACAATGAAAGAAATTAAACGGCGACTATCAATTGCTCTTCAAAGACTAAAACAACTGAATAAATTATGGAATTGTACAGATAGAATTACAAAGGTCAGATTTTTAAGAGCATGCATCTTTCCTATTGCAACATACGCCTGTGAGACCTGGACACTTACTAAACAAGCGGAACAGCGCATAAATGCATTTGAATATAAATGTTACAGACAGGTTCTAAGAATATCTTGGGTAAAGAAAAGAACAAATGCATCCATACTTCAAGAGCTGAATATTGAAGAGGGTTGGCTAGTAAAGACAATAAAACAAAGAAAATTGAAATATTTTGGTCACTTGAAACGTCATAGAAGTCTAGAGAGAACAATAATGGAGGGGTAAATGCCTGGGAAGAGAGGAAGAGGAAGGCCAAGGAGAAGATGGGTGCAGGATGTGGCAGATGATCTCCAGATGGGTGTATCAGACGCAGGACATCTTGCTCAGGATAGGAAGGTTTTCCGGAGGGTTGTTATGGCAGCGAGGTTCCGCGAGGGACATGCTACTGAATGAATGAATGAATGAATGAATAAAATAGTCACGGTTTGAAATTGCACAGTGACAACTCAAAAACATTGCGACTGATCCTTCAACTTTTGATGAATCATTTATACTATTTTATTGATTTATTTAAAATAGGGCTGTACCGAATAGTGATTTACACTATTCAGCCGAATACGAATAGCGCGACCAACAATTCGGCCGAATACGAATACGAATAGTGTATCATCATCATCAGGTGTCCTTCGGCTAAGTTAGTTGCGTATCTTTTTACAGGACGTTGCAGAACCAACCCTGGCTGTTGTGTGGTTTCTCTAGGCAATATACGTCCAGTAGTTTGCCATTGCTTCTGGACGGTCGGCTTTCTTGATACCGCTGTCGAAACCAACGCAAGGCGCAGTGCCCGCAGCTGGGATCGAACCTGGCATCCCGGCATTACGAAGCGAAGCGTTCGCATCGACTTAGCCACAGAGCCGACGCCCTTCGGCTAGCGTGGGCGAATATGCCTCGCCACAATCTGCAATCTTCTGCAGCATGTATTAGTTCGTGTGCTGATACACCTCCATGCCATGCAACAAGACAGTCAAGAATCTTCTCTCGTTGTCTTCCTCTATCCCTCCTTCCACAGATATTTCCAGTGGTCACCACATGTTCCATTTTCCCTCTTCTCATAACATGGCCGAAAAATGATGACTGTCTCCTTCTGATGTCTGTGATTAGGTGTCTTCGAGCCACCGCCGCTTTCAAAACCTCTTGGTTGCCTTTTTTTTTTTTTTTTTGGTGTGTGTGTGGCTGTCCAGGGTATTTTAACCATTGTTTGTTCTATAAAACCACATCTTTTAGGCCTCAAGAAATTGTTTGGCCTGCCTACCGATTGTCCAGGACTCACAATGCATTGCTTTTAAATATAAGTGCTTACTTGACGAGGCTAACAGTGACTATTGAACAGACCACATTCTTTCAGCCAAAATGTAATCACAACCTTACTTATCCGCTGCGCCTTCATGAATACAGATGGAGGACCAGTCTCACCTCGAGATAAATACAAAGACAATTTTTAGCACGCTGCGGTTGGCATTTTATGAAGTAAACCTTTTGAGTGTGAAACAAGGAAAAAGAAACTCTTTTCGACAGTGGCGAGGAAAGACAATTTAAATTTTAACTTTTAAGTTTCTTCATGCCTTCTTTAATAATGTCACAATTATAGCCGACTTTTCTTGATTTTCGCCGCGGCACCCCTGGCATACTCACCCATTTTGAGAACTTCTGCTGTAATGCCTTGGTCGAGTCAGCAGGCAAAGACGTTGCCAGCAGCTGAACCATGCAACCAGGTCAGTGTTTTCCCCCACTACGACAGACTTAGGCAACAGCAACTACTATGTTAATGAGAGATTTATTTCAGTCCATTGCAGTGTATGCAGAAATGGGTGAAAGGTAACCACTATTCTTATTTGGCCCGACCGCAAGTATTCGGCCGAATACCGAATAGTTATTAAGTCCACTATTCGGCCCCGAAGCGAATACGAAGCGAATATTCGGTACAGCCCTAGTTTAAAAACACTATTTCTGACAGTAAAGCTATGGATGATGTGAAAATGCATCGCAGAAAGTGCACACATATTATAATAAATCCTTTTTTTTTCACTTCGAAAAAGATTTGATCAGTGATATTTCTACAAATAAATATCGTTTATTATTAGACGAATCAAATGATATTTCGGTACTGAAATGGAAAAGTGTGATGCAGAAAGTATAGTTCAGGAACTGAAGAAACCTTTGATCACCTAACAGTTAGACTTGAAGAATTTGGCTGCAATTGGTACCGATAATGCCTCGGTGATGGTTGGTATAAACAATGGTCTTCATGCCAATTCTAAGGAAGCTATCCCATCCTTAATACTTATAAAATGTATGGTCATTCATTGCAGGTAGCATTATCACATGCTTCTCTAAATGTTTACCAAGGAATTTGGAATACCTTATTGCTGAAACTCATAACTGGTTTTCCAAATCATTTGTCAGACAACAGCAATACAATACTTTATATACAGCCTTGAATGACGGTTCCACACCACTGAAAATTCTGACAAGATTGCAAAACTAGATGGTTATCAACTCAACCAGCTGTTAAAAGAATTGCGAACCAATGGTTGGAGTTGAAGACACACTTTGAAATAACAAGACAAAGCGAAAAGTGCTACATTTGGCATTCCTTCTCTTTTTTAAACCTTTTCTAATGAAAGTGCAAAAAAGTTAATAAACTGTTCGAATCTAAACATGTTAATAAAGTTGAAGTTACTTGACTATCTTACTTTGCTATTTCACTCAGCTGGTGTTGCCAACTTCTAACGCTGATTTGCTCACTTGCTCTATAGATAGTTATTTGGCTCCTAAGCCACACCTTGGATATGAAATCGAATCAAAAAATGATGATTTAAAAACAAAAGGACTGATAACAGAAAATGAAGAGAACAACTTTAGAAAACGCTGTGAAGATTTCCTTATCTCATTATTCAAGCGACTGAAGCAAAGACTTCCTGAAAATCTAGATGTATTGAAAAATATATTACTCTTTTCTGTGAGCAACATACTTCAGCCAGTAAAGGACATACCTGAATATTGTAAAGTTATGACATTTTAAGGGGATACTGATAATGGTGTAGCGGAAGCAGAATATTAGTTGACCAAAACAAACTTGGTTGAATGGACAAACAAAACAGAAACTGAAGCGTTTTGGAGTGAAGTGAGACAATTTAAAGATGCCTCATCAAACAGTCCATTCTGTAAGCTCTTTGAATGTGCCATGTCTGCCATGATACTACACCACTACTACACAACTCAAGTGTGACTTAGAAAGAGTTTTAGTGCTATGAATTGTATCAAATATAACCTAAGAAACAGGATGGAATTTGACCTCTTAAATGCTATCTTGACAATAAAATTCGGACTGATGAGAGAAGGAAAATGCTGTTCCATTTATCAGCTCCCTGATTCTGTATTAAAAGAAATTGGAACAGCTAAAGCATACCACAGTCATTTTGGATCCGAAGTTTCAACTTCATCATCCAAGCTAAGTTTATCCTGTGGATCTTGTGAGGCAGACATCAGTGAAGATGAGGACATGATTCTATAGGGTAAGTCATATCAATAGCTATGTAATTTGTGACCCTTTCCATTTAGATGTTTTTTCTCTAGATGTTTTCCACGCAAAACTTTTAGATGTATTTAGATACATTTTGACTTAGTTCTGGATGTTTTTGTCAAAGAAAAGTAGCAACACTGGTTGGCATTTTGTTCTGTGTGGTTCCGGTTTTGAACGTGTAGCCTGTAGACGTACTGTTAAAGTATTGTAAGATAGGAGCTGGCTAAAGTGTAATACTAATTGTGAGCATGTTTTTGTTTTTAATGGTTCTTTATTTATCAGTGAAGTTTTAGAACCGCATCCATCCATATCAGATTGCAGTCTACTACTTAATTTCTAGGTGTCCTACTATTACAATTAATAATAATATAATAAATATGCACATTTGTATAGAATTGTATAAGTATTGTGTTAAATTAAATTCAATTGTGTTGTTACTGTTTATACGGTTGAACAGCCACAGGATTTCTGTGATTTGCTCCGCTGCTCCTGTTGAGGCTGTTGGACTCACACCCGAATAGTCGGAACAGTGGCTCTTTGGTTCTCGGGGTATTTATATTAATCTCTTATTATGCAAACTGCAGCCATAGGATAGATAAAGGGAAACAGTTTTTCCTTCAAATCCCTGCAGTGAAATTGAAAAACAATGTTTTTAAAATTCAAAAATATGCTTCATATCACAACACATTATGCAGTTGTGCTATGCAGTATATGTTGCATGGGACTCACACAGGGCTCACTGTCTCCTATTTCTTCATTCGGCTCTCCTCCAAACTTCTACCCCCGCATTATGGCAGCCTGAAATATCCGTTTGGGGCTCAGTTCTATTAAAAATATGCCAGCTCCGTATAACGAAACAAATGCTCTAACAGGGTCTCAGCGATATGTTACTTGCGGACCTGTTTCTTATTGTTTCTGATTACCCGACAATTCTAAGAGATGCAACACTGCAGACAATAATAGCGACCGTTGACACTTTCCATTGTCGGACTTTCTGCCGACGAACAAATCACGGCAAATCTAGGATCGGCTCGGAAAAACGAAACAAATGCTCTAACAAGGTTTCAGCGATATGTTACTTGCGGACCTGTTTCTTATTGTTTCTGATTACCTGACAATTCTAAGAGACGCAACACTGCAGACGATAATATCGACCGTTGACACTTTCCATTGTCGGACTTTCTGCCAAGGAACAAATATGTAAAATTTGGACTTGTCGGACTTTCTGCCGACGAACAAATCGCGGCAAATCTAGGATCGGCTCGGAAAAACGAAACAAATGCTCTAACAGGGTCTCTGCGATATGTTACTTGCGGACCTGTTTCTGTGACTATGTCTTACTGCCGACCGCGCAGCGAGGATAGGGGCTAAACTAGATGGCTGGGACTCACGAGCAGCAGCTACCGCCTCTCCTGCAACTTCCTCCAATAACTTTGCTCGTGAGTCCCAGGCACCTAGTTTAGCCCCCCATCTGCGCCGCGTGTGAGATACGCTCAGCTGTGAGTTCAATCGCAAGTCTGACATCTACCGCTGCTAAATCCTCAATCGGAAGAACAGTATTGCTAATCTGCGTGGGAGCGCGTGGTCTACCCGCCATATCGCTTTCATCGTCTGTAATGTCTCGAAATTTTCAACGGTCACTTTTATCGTCTGCTAGTATCATCTGCAGAAACGCTCGACATTGTCACTGGTCGCTTTTATTGTCTGTTACTATCGTCTGCAATGTTGCGTCTCTTGAAATTATCAAGTAATCCTAGTTTTGCAGCGATTTGTTCCTTGGCAGAAAGTCCGCATTTTTCATTGGACTGAGCCCCGAACGGCCGCCATAATGCCCTCCATTCCATTCAATCATGTGCAACTAGTTCGATATCATATTCTATTCAAGCTATTAAAAGCTGCTAGTGCCTGCCAATGTGTGTCATAATTTATTTCTTTGTGTGTCCTGTACTATCAAAATTACTACATAAATAAGTAAATTTATCTGTTACTTTAATTACTTTTGTCTTCAGTGCATGTGTATTTTCAGAACTTATTTAAAATATATGATATTTTCAATTATTCTTAAAAGTGTTGTCAAATAGAGAATTTTATCCAGTAAAATGATTCTGGGCTATCCTCCGAATAATGGTCCTAAATTATACTCTAACAGGGCCTCAGTCACGTGTCAGTTGCACACTTCCGGCGACTTCCGCCACCGCCGAGAGTATCCCACATGCCGCTCATGCGGCATGGATTGGGGCTAAATTAGATGGCTGGGACTCACGCGCAGCAGTTACCGTATCTCCTGCAGCTTCCTTCATTTTATTTGCTCGTGAGTCCTAGCCATCTAGTTTAGCCCCAATCCAAGCCCCGTGAGCGGAATACTCTCGGCGGAAGTTGCCGGAAGTTCACAATTCAGCGCTGATGTTATAGTCCCCGGAAGTGCATAATTGACACGTGGCTGAGGCCCTGTTAGGGTATATTTTCCTGCCTCGATAATTTAGTACCGTTATTCGGAGAATAGCCTGATTCAGATTCTGCTGACATTTCCTGAGAGATAAAGGAAGGCGATGGTATATAATTATATATATATCACCACATAATATTCCTAAAGACAACAGCAGGTGCATCTTTATTGTGGAAGTGACACGTTTTTTTGTGCTTGAATTTTCACAAGATTTAAAGCCTAATTATCTGTTTGCATCATTTGAATGTAACTCTTATGTTACAGAGGCCAATAAGGGAAGTAGAGAATAATAGTAAAACTGTAAAGTATCATGCATATTGTAAGAAATGACTCAAAAGGATTGATCCCTTTAAAAAAAGATAGCTACAAAATCAAACCAGTGTTGAACAAAGGATTTATTGAAACTTTGTTAAGGATCACTACTAACTCTGTTGGGAGATCTTCTTCTGTTCAACAGCTGTAAGCTCGGGCAAAAAGTCCTGGTTGTTTATCCATGTGAACTTTGTCTTTGTGCCAGGGCCTGAGTTTTGCGAATAAATCTGTTTTACTGGCTTGTTTATGTGCATTTGGTTGTTCCTTGCTGTTCAGGCAGATGCACTCCGACTTTGAAGGAAACTCCCAATTAGTTGACTCTTGCTTTTTTGGTGAGAGTGGTAGGTCCACTCTTGTTTTTCCTACAAAGGGCCCCAGAACCACATGGAGTCACTGGGAGATGCAAGGCACAAGAAAAATGAGTGTAACATGTCAACTGAATGGCCAAACAAGATAATTGTCTGTCATCTGGGATTTCTTCTTATAGTCAGTGTTGGGAATTGGGTGGTGTTGACAAATATATATATCTACAGACAACAAACAGAAGTCTGTTTGAACACACTTTATTTTCAAAGAGTCACAAATATGGTATGCAGGTCCTTCTTACATTTTACCCTTCCAGACACCCCTCTTTCAGATCGTACTTGTATTTTTTAAGGAAAGCATGTTGTATTGAATTGACAGGGCCAAGCCTGCATCTTAGATTTCTTGCTATGGAGAATGGAGAGCTAGAGGTGGTTGATGAGAAACTGGTCTCAGGAGATGACAGTGCTAGGACAAAGTTTGGAACTAGATATTTGACAGACCCACAGAATGTATTTCAACATAATGCATGGTATGTATGATTGCAGTTATCTTAGTCTCTTATCACTAATAAGAGTTTTAGAAAAATATTAAAATTATTTGTAAAGTCATGATATAAACCTTGTAAATCTTGATCAAGCGGTAACCAATCAAATAACTGTATCACCTTTAAGTGGAGTTATTATTTGGCTTGTTCAGTTCATTAGCACTCAGTGGGGAATACACCTCCTCGAACATTCTGTGGCAGCCATTTCTTGGGCTGGGTCAATCAGCGAGCCCAAATCAGTTTGAAAAATCGGCGTTAATGGCAATTCAAACACAGGACTAGCAGGCAAGTGAATAGCTATAGTCATTATAAATATTTTTATGATTCATCTGAGAGCTTTAACTCTTTATGTTCCAAGCAACACCTTTTTGAGATGTTTCAGTGCAAAGTGATAATGTTTTTGATTGTTATTTGAGGTGCAGTGATGTGATTAATTTGAGATTAAATTAAAATGAAATAATTTTAATTCTCTATTGTCCTTCCAGGGATAATGCTGTATGGGACGAGGATCAAGAAATTACTGCCCAGAAAATTGCCAAGAATCATGCAGATCGTGCAGTTTCCATAGATAGGAGAGGTCAGTGGTTTACTTTTGTATCTCCTATTGTGAAGAATTATAGAGTTTAGATTGAAATGGATTGTTGTTATAAAGTTTGTGGAGTACAGAGTGAACAGAAGTATAGATTGAACCTGATTACTACTGTTACAAAGTATGTGAAGTATAGATTGAAACTGATTACTACTGTGATTAAGTAGCGACTACGGTGTTCGACAATTTGCGGTCTTTTGGCAGTTTCCGTTACCATGGAAACCGTTCAAAACTTGTTTGGGAAATGTCGGCTGGTTTCGGGATGGATCCTAATCTCTCATGAAATTTTGAGATTGGTGTGATTTTCACCAGCTATAAATAGCTGAAAACGGCCGAACGAACCTGATTAACAGCGCATGTCTACGACAGCCGGACGTCCTCTGTTTTTCTGTTACATTCGGTTTGATTTAAAATAGCGGTAAGTTCAAGGTTGGCTTTAGGCTTTAACATTACTTGACATGGTAATGCTAGTTATAATTAAATTCTCCATCCAATTTTACATTTGTATATAAAATTTCTTTCTTATGTATGGCTAATTCGATTTACAGTGACATTTTTCAGGCAATCGCTATTATGTGGCTGTGTCTGAGAAAAATTGTCTGCCATCTTGTCCAATGAAAACAAAGCCAAAACGAAAGTGCGCAGTTTGGTTGCGCAGAGAAAACTTCTTGTTTCTGGGACGCAAGTTTTAGCAGCTGTTTTTTACATGTCATCTCCACAAAAACCTACATATCTCAACTCAGAAATGACACACAAGCCTAAATGAGGTAGCGTTGGAAAGAGATTGTTTACAGCTATCTAACTGTGCTGGTTTTATTGGTGTAGAGGGCATTTTAAAAATTTGACTAAAGTTTCTAGATTAAGTCAGTGAAGTATAGATTGAAACTGATTACTACTGTGATTAAGTCAGTGAAGTGTAGATTGAAACTGATTACTACTGTGATGAAGTCAGTGAAGTGTAGATTTAACCTGATTGCTACTGTCATGAAGTAGACTGAGCCTGATTACTACTGCAGTGAAGTAATCTATGAAATATAGACTAAAACTGATTACTACTGTGATGATGTCAGTGAAGTATAGATTGAACCTGATTACTACTGTTACAAAGTCTGTGAAGTATAGATTTAACCTGATTACTGCTGTTCTGAAGTAGTCTGAAGCGTAAACTGATAGTAGACTGAGCCTGATTAATACTGCAGTGAAATAATCTATGAAGTATAGATTGAACCTGATTACTACTGTTACAAGGTCTATAAAGTATAGATTGAAACTGATTACTACTGTCATGAATTCAGTAAAGTATGGATTGAACCTAATTACTGCTGTAATGAAGTAGTCTGCCTTGTGGTTTATGACCATTCAACTTCATTATATACACACTTTTTACCTCTTTGTCATCAGAAATTCTCTTAGAATGTTCCAGCCATTACAATCTATTAGCCCTCACAGTGTCAGGATTAGGGGTGGTAGATTATAAATTCTATTATTGCTTCTCATTCTCTGTTCCCCACTTTTTGCATCCCTCATGGGTTCATTAATTCCTTGTATGACTGTCTTCAAAATTTTTAACAAGGTTTCATATCTTTTAGTTGTACAAGTTTCAGAGTCATTTAAAACAACTGGTTTCATCATGCAGTTTCTGGCTGTACTTGAACAGTTTATGAAAGAATTAGTTTTATAGTTAAAATTACCTATTTGAAATAGAAAATAAAAAATTACTCAGATACAGAAGCTAAAGATGGAGATGTTTATTTTGAAACAGATTTCATTTATGTGTAGAAAAGGCAGAATTTTGTAAATTTTTTCCAGTGGGAGGGTGGTAGTTAATTTAATGAGTTTGATGGTATAAATTGTCTTGCTTTGACTTTGGTTATTTATTTTTAAATTGCAGATGTGTATGAAAAAGAAGCTGCTAAGAACTGGAACCAGTTTTACAACATTCACACAAACCATTTTTTCAAAGACAGACATTGGTTGTTTACTGAATTTCCTGAATTGTATGGACCAGAAACATTCACAGAGAGTACTATCGCAAGTCACAGTACATCTACTAAATCTGATTTAAATCCATCAAACTCATTGTCAGCATTTGATGAAGAAATTGATAAAGTAGATACCGGAAGTAGTAGAGGAAACAAATCTTTAATTACCATACCAGAACAGGTATCATGTCATGATAGTGACTGTGTTCAACAACAAACACCTGAGGAACATGTGCCTTTTTTCAGGTTGCTTGAGGTAAGCACAATTTGTACTTTAAATTGTTTGAAAGTAATAAGTTATTTATTTAATTGTATTAACCCTCTTTCTCTTGTAACACCAAAAAAACAATGGGACCTGACCTCGTTTAAATTCCATGAAAAAATCTCCCTTGTTTTTGCATAGGTCACTTATACATTTGTAAACAATTTTGTAGTCGATGTTTTGTAATTTTTTTTTTTTTTAAATATAAAAGATATAATGAAGGTAGTAATCAATAAACATGAACAGGGTGAAGCATTAAATGGAATACATTCTCATGGACATAAAAAGATGTATCAGGGGACTCATGCTGTGATTTCATGGTCTCTATCACTCAGGCTTATGGGGAAATAGGACGTCAACTTGGCTTTAAAAAAGTTTAAAGAATCCCTCCACCCCCACCCACCCCTAATGTTTGTTGTTGTTGCAGTTACTCTTCATTTCGTCACCTCTTAATAACTTGCTGAGGTGAAAACTAAGCCAGTAGCGTTAGCTATGTATCCTTTAAACAGGTCACTTTAGACAAGTTGGAAAAAGGACATGCACAGGGAATAGGCAACCAGTGGTTGCCCAGACATTTCTCTTACTGCTTCACCCCTCTTGAATCATCTCATTCTATATTCAGTAACTGGTGTTATTTAGCTATGACTAGTGACTCAGCAGTTACAAAATAGTGATTTAATAGCCCCTGCCTCTTCTACCAGTGGTCTTTCTAGTCGTCACAATATTTTCTAGTGCTCTTTTTCTCATCATATGACCAAAAGATCTTTGTTTGTCCACTTCTCATTGTTGTATACAATGTTCTACTTTTATTAGCCATTTCCAGGCATTTAGTATTGATTATTCTGTCAGTCCAAGATATTCTCAACAATATGAACTTCACTGTCTTTTGTAATTCACTCAGCAACCTGTAAAGTTTGGCTTGCACCAATGTTTCTCCTGGCCAAAAGTTTTGCCTTGGTATGTTGTATTTGGGACAGTCTTGGACGACGTGATCTGTTGTCTCGGGTGCCAGTCCACATGTGCACATGGCTGATTTGCCAAATGAAAATTTGGTGTGCATGTGGCTGCAAAGTCGGCTGTCCTGTTCTAAGGCATAGAATAATAACTTGCTCTGGTCTGTCCATAATATGTTAATCGTCTTTTACAGGTTTTGGTGGCTTTCTGATTGATTAGATTATTCTCTTCTTCCGTTGATAAGAGACTGGTACGTCAGGTTGTTCTTCATTTGCACCTTTCTTAGCTTGTTTGTCAGCTTTTACATTTCAAGAAACTCCACAGTGGGATGGTTATCCATTGTATAGTTACCTTACACCGGTTGCTTAGTAGTGTTCATATACCAGGTAATTTTCCAGATTGGAATGCCTGACTGAAATCATTTTCATTTTGTTATAATTGAGACAAACTACTGGGCGTAAATTTGCCTTAAAAAAACCACAACAGCCGAAAAATTATGTGGTTGGTTCTGCATTGTCCTGTAAAGGATATGCAGCTAACTAACAAACTATAATTAAGGATATAGTTAAATATGTTAATAATATAAATTAAGTCGTGTGCATAATTATCCCTAGGTTGGCTGTGGAGTTGGCAATACTGTGTTTCCAGTTCTAAAAACAAACAAGTGAGTGCTGTGTTGTAAAATTACCCAAGTGTCTGTTTTTTTGAAAGTTTATGAATAATAATCATTTTGTAAAACATCCTTTGAAGGTAACCAGTTTCAACCTGTGTGTAAAAACCAAAGATTTACATTATTCTACATTGTATATAGAACATTTTAGTACTGATAATAAATTATTGAATTACAACAAATACCCCCTCCCCCAATACAAGTTTGTTGTTTCAGAAGTTTATCTTATCCATAACTTTCTTCTCTATTAATCTGTTTGAAACATTTTCACATTTTTATTTATTCTCGCAGGAATCCAAACTTGTTCATCTATTGCTGTGATTTTTCAGCCCAGGCTATTGACATTGTAAAAGTAAGAGGTATTTGTTTGATCTTTTCACTAATTAAAAAAATATATATTTTACAATTGTATCGCACAGGCACCCTGAAAAGTTATTGCCGGCACCTTTCCATCTTTCTGGATGATAGTAAGTGTTCTATAGAAAGGCATGGGAATCAAAGCCAGTTAAGGTCATGGAGAAGGTTGCTTCTCTCAGTAGCACAAAGTCTTGGCAATATTGTAGCAGCCATGCATTGCCTGTGTGTAGGATGCTTTTTTTTGGTCTGCATTATTTTCCTCCAAAGGAGACACCAGTACATTTAGAACAAAGCATACTGCACAAGCAACCCCATCAGAAGAACAGTGCTCTGTCCACTTGTCCAAGCTTCTGCTTAGACCAGCTGCCACCCAAGGCTAAGGGCCTGGTCTGCGTAACCGTACGATTAAGTTTTCATGTTGTTTTTCCTTTTTCAGTCATAAGTAACTTCCAGAATGCCTCCTCTGTCTAAAGCCATTGTTGGCACAGCGAAGGATGTTAGGTTTAATATAAACTGCCTAACATTGAGTGTTAACAGAAAACAGGCTGTACCAACTACTGTTAAATAGTGGCTCTGTCAAATCTGATCAAAACTGACTTGAATATTTGCTAACAGGAGTACAGTGTTAAATGAAACAACAAGTTTAAGGTTGCATAAACTTGGAGTTAAGTGTGGATCTGGCAAGAAAGAGTGAATGAGCGAAGCTACATCTATACAACCAGTGTGATACCAGTTCAGTCTACACCTTAAGACATTTACTGTGGGAGGGGGAGGATCTGTATGTTTGCCCAGTATGCAGAATATTGTTTCCTCAATCAGTAATCAGTCAAATGTGATTCACATTTTAGAACTTTTTGTGATCTAGAGATTATATTTCCAGATGTTGATAATCAATAATTAAAAAAATTTCATCTCACTAAGAAAATATTACCATCTCAAAAATACAGTATTCAAGAATTCCATCTCAGTAAAAAAAAAACTATTCAAGAATTCCATTTCAATAAGAAAATGTTCAAGAATTCCATCATACTTTGGACATAGCTAACCTAAAACTAAAGATAATGGAGAGTAGAAAACAGATGACTGAAGAAGTTTAAAAAAAAAAGGAGGAATGTGAATAGCCATGACAAAATGAAGAGATGTAAGTAAAAAATTTGAAAATTCTCTTTAAACAAAAACAAAACAAAAAAAAGAAGCAAGACATCAACATTGAAAAAAAACACACAGAACATTCATAATACTGTGGTGAGACTCTTTGCAGGTCAAGCAACTCACCATCATATGTGTGGCTGACATCTCTAAATGTGTTACAATCAACCATTTTTTGCAGTTGTTTCTTTAACTCCATTTGTGCAATAGTTGTATTATTTTAACTCAGAGATTCTGTTCTGAAGCACCTAGATTTTCAGATACCTGTGTGGGTTCTGAGGCCCATTGTGGGGAAAAAAAAAGAATAGATACACTGCCCCTATAACAAACATGTCAAAAGAGTAACTAATTAGGGATGATTTCTTCAAAGTTTTAGTACATCTGCTTGCGAGGTGAGGAGGCAGGAGTCTGCATACAAATAGGCCAGATATGTAGAACTGATGTGCACACAAAACTCAAGCTTCTGGAACAAGACTTAAGTCCAGAAGTGGATGAAGATCCAGAACTTGCCACCTGAGTTTACAGGCCATGAACGCGAAGAAGAAGTAGATGAAGAGCGTTGAAGGAGCAAGTGTCTGCGATTGAAAGAGTTCATTATCTTAGTGATCTAACATTTTATAGAGTGCTTTTTTGTTGTTACTTGTGATATATGATAAAACTATTTTGCTTGCTGCCTTGTGATAAAATCTGGCAGAAGCTTTTATAAAATTGTAATTTTTTGTTCTTACCCTTATTGCTGAATTTGAATGTTTTCCCTGTAGGCACATCCAGATTATGATGAAAGCAGATGTCAAGCATTTGTCCATGATCTGACAGCTGATGACTCAGAAGTCCCATTTCCCTTGGAGAGTCTAGACATTGTTGTCATGATATTTGTTTTATCAGCTATCAGCCCAGAAAGGTAAGTTTATCTATTTCCCTTGTAGCTCCGGGAGCCCATTTTTTGGGAAAGAAAGAAAGACCCAGTGCCTCCCTAATAAGCATTTCATACACTTAGGGGAGTTTTATTCAAAGATGGGGTGCATCTGCCTGAGAGGCGGGGAACCAACAACTTGCATTCAAATAAGTAAGAACTTTAAAATGAATATGCACCTAACACTAAAGTTCTGGAACAAGACTAAAGTCCAGAAATGGATGAACAACCAGATTTTTCCACCTGGAGTTTACAGCTGTTGAGCGCTAAGAAGAAGTTTGCTTTTTTGTTGGTTACTACTTTTGATTAGTTTTATGTGCATTGTTATTTACTATTCTAGTTTTTCAATTGAAAACAAAACTTAATATTAATGCTCCTTGCCTAGTTTGTAACATTCTAACATAGAAACATATATTTAGCATGTTACATAGAACCATAGAGTCACCATTTTGTAGCGGCTAGATGCTCGCCTGCAGACTGGAAGCTTGTGGGTTCCGGTCCTGACAGAGCCATATTTTTTCTCTCTCCATAAATGACCTTGGTTCCCAGGTCGACCCAGCTATGAGTGGGTACCAGGTGCAATCATGGGGAGTAAAGATGGCCGGCGTGATACTGACCACATCGCCCACCAAGTGCCAATTTGTGTATAAAATATAGTTCTAGCCATAAAGACGTGGAGAAGGGTCCTTTACATAGAACCAATTTTGACATGATCAGAACCCTGGATAATTAGCAAACCTGTAAAACATTTCTAGAAACCAAAGAACCGAATCACGGAAGAATGCTCTTAATTACTTTCAGCAATCAACATGGGTAATCTTATAAATGTTTTAAAAGAGACTAAAACCCAATGAGAAATTATCACAGGCAGAAAGAGTGCAGACACAGTTTGATGACCATATTGTGAGAAAATAGAAATTGAACAGATTTTATAAATATGATATTTTCATGGTATGAATTGATAAACCCAGGTAATCCATGACGTGACACATGATGATGATGCTAATAATTACTAGTTTCTGATTGCTGGCTGCAAATACGGGATATCTGATTTTTAAGAGTTAAGGTTTTTTCATGACTTCACACATAAATATCTCATATCCACTGCTTGAATTTACCTTCCCACTTTCTTTCTTTTAAAGGATTTCAATGTTTAAAAGTTAAAAAGGTTCTTTGAAATTGAGGGGTTTAACTTTATATTATGCTGGGAGTTTATTCCATTTGGTCATTCTCACCTCACATAGGGGCTATTTACTTGCTGAAAGTTTTGCACAAGCATTAAACTCCTTAGTTCCAGTTACAACCCCTCAAAGGTCTACAAAATATCTGCACTTAGTAATTGGAGGTAGAACATAAACTTAATCCATAATCTTCAGAACATGAGGCACATGGCGTAACCACTTCACCTTGAAGAATAGAACAAGCAAAACCTAACACTTACGTTTCCACTGATTCTCTCTGCAGTTAAATGTGGCTAGTGCCAGTAAGATAGAATAATTTGCAGTGAAGACTGTGCACTGTAATGTCTCTCTCTCTCTACTTGTCACTTTTATATGGAATTTAAATTATGTCAAAATTGCATTTTTTGGATAGCGACTGTAGTAATTTAGTTTCAATGTTTGTTTGTTTGCAGAATGCAAAGTGCAATCAATCGGTTAGCATCATATCTCAAGTCTGGCGGCACTCTTCTGTTCAGGGATTACGGGCGGTATGATATGGCTCAGCTTCGATTTAAGGAAGGTATTTAAACGATAGAAATAAAAAATCAATATAATTGTCAGAAGAATGCCTTAACAACTAAGATCAGTTAAAGTGACAGACTAATGTGCAAAATTATTTTTGCATTTTACAGATTATTTATGAACTATTTCAGATTTTTCTCAATTTTTTTTTCATCTTACCATTTTGAAAAACACAACAGATTCTTTTTTTTATGTTACCTTGGAAGATAACATACATTTATTTAACACATAAAGATCAGGGTTCGTAGTAGACCGGGAAATCTTGAATTGACCTTGCTTTTTTTTCTGGGACCAGGAACAGTGATTTTAAGCTTAGTAAAGACATTCTGACCTTGAGAAGCCGTGAATTTTAACCTCCGCAATGAAATCATCAGAAATCCTGTGATTTTCAGCACAGTCAATTTTTGGGGAGCCATTTGGCTTTTTTTGGCCATTTGGCTAGTTTTTGGCTATTTTCGTTTATGGTCGTTTCAGGTGTGGGGGCAGCTGATGATCGGCTATTTTCAGCCGAAATGGATTGTTAAAGGCCAGAAAAGGGCAGGCTGTGCTGCAGCTCATGAATACATGCAGACAGCAGCGGCGTGGCATGGGGCGTGTGCCTTTGTTTCTAGGAGTCCAGCTGAAATAATAGTATAAATCGTTTTATGGCCGTGGTTTCTAGAAAGGATTACATTGGGAGATGGTGGGGCTCGGTTGGTTGTATTTATAAACAGTCGGCCGTGGTGGGGGCTAAGCACGGGCCTTTTCTATTAATTAGAGATGGCATTGAGGCTAAGCAAAGTGACGTCAGCGGGATTTTCCAGGTCTATTTTTGGCCGGGTTTTAGCTTTACAGTGTGGCGATCAGTATTGTAATTCCCTGAGATCCCCTCTTCTGTTGTTTCACCCCTCTCTCTCTCTCTTTCTCTCTCTCTTTCCTCCCTCTTTCACTCTTCTGCCTATTGCTCCTTCTTTCCCATTTCCTGCATTGTCTCTCACCCTCCCTTCTGATCTTCATCTTCTTCTCTTTCTCTCTTATCTTTCCTTTTACTCTCTCATTTACTGTCTCCCCCCCCCCCTTTTTTTTTTCTATTTTATTTCTTATTTAAATGTTTAGTAAACGTGCCGCTTCATAACTCTTTTCCTAGCAACTCAAGTACACAGGAAGTTGTATTATGGGGAAAGGGGGGAGGGGTCGTTCAGCGTGAACATGGTGGATATTTTCTTTTGATGTGTTTGTTTTCTTAGCGGCCTTAATCTCTGTCCATCTCTCTTTCTGCCCTCTCACATTTTGTCCTACCTGTTCCACTCTGCCTGTCGTCACTGCTTTCCTCTCTTTCTCTTGGAATTTTCCGCTCTCCCTCACCCCCCCCCCCCACTCTCTTTCTCCGTACCTTTAGTTGGGGTAGAAGGTTATGTGTTGCCTAGTGCAGAACATTTGATGTCCACCACTCCCCCTCCCTCACACATACATTAAATATATGTGTACTTTTAAAAACACATTTGCCGTCACCCATCTCCCCTTTCTCCTCCCACACCTAGGGGAGGGGGTGCACCCCTTCCTGCTACCTTCTTCCCTCTATATCTCATCTTATTTCTTATTCCCTTCTTTCTCTCCGTCTCATTGCCCACTTTATTTTCTTAAACTTTTTTCTCTCACCTCCTCTGTCTCAGCCTTCTACACCACCTTCCACCACCTCCTCTCTCCCTCCTTTCTGTAATTGGAAAAACAGAAATGAAACGAAGTCCACTGGTGCCCTGACCTATTTGTGTGTGTGTGGGTAACCTGCTCTATTTTCCACCAGTGGTGGGTTGGGATCCCCTGGACTTTTTTCTTCATAAAATGACCTTGGCTCTCAGGTCACCAGCCTTAAGTGTAAGAAATTGAACAATTGTTGTCACACGCAGATAGGACAAGCAAGGGGCAGTAGGGGTTAGCACTGTTGTTCATGGACCACGCCACATTCACATTGGGAGAGGATAGGTACTGGAAAAGCGGCCTCAATAAGAGATTTCCTAATTCTATTTTTAGCGCTCAGTGTTCTTATCGCCCCCCCCCCCCCCCCCCCAACCCCCCACACACACACAACCGTGTCTCACCTCTCTTCTCTCACCCCTTCTCTTTCCTTTGATCTTCCAATATTCTCCTTTCTCTCTCCATTCTTTCTCTCTTCCTTTACTTGCTCTGTTCTCTCTGGCTCTTTCTCCTGTCTCATCTCTTCTTTGTCTCCTCTCCATCCTGTCTTTTCATTTTCTCTAGATTTCCTTACCCTCTCCCCTCTCTCATTCTCTTCATCTACATATGTGGGAGTAGGTGGGGTTTCAGCACGAGGCTGTTTTTTCTTTTCTTTGATGTATCTTGTCTCCCTTCCTGCCCCTCTCTCTTAATCTGTGATTGTCACTGCCTTCCTGAAGACCGCTAGTCAGACTGTCCAAGGGACAGGACGTGTTTTTCTCGCTCTCATCATTTTAGATTTTTTAAGCCCTGTTGCATTGGATATCTGAGGATAATTTTTATATCACTGTGACCGTTGTTCCGTCGGGCTTACTGTGAAATAGTTTTTGTGTGATTTTGTAGATCAATATTCGTTAAAAATGGAATACAGTGTATTATAATAGGTTTTCTGCAACGGAAGCCTCTGTTGCCAACGGGGCACAAACAGGCCCGATTGTGTTTCACCTGGCCCCATGGATTTATGGCATTTTAGACAGTAATTGCACGGTGGCATACAACCAGACTGGTGAAGCGCTGCCACGCCAACACAGGATGCCGTAACAAATTTAATTAGGTATTTTCCCCGGGTAGGTGGGACTCGATAGCTGGGGACAGCGGCCCACCTATGAGAAGGATACTCTGAAACTAAACTACCACTGCCCGGTGGTCAGGCCTTGGTTGGTTACGGACTAAGGAAGCACATCCTAAAAGAAAAGCACGTTGAAGACGGAGACGCCAGTTCGAAAGGCACAGATAGTGTGGGAGAATATTTTCCCACAAACATGACGTCACATGACTGTGGTGTTTAATCTTTAACACTTCAGTGAAACCATATCACGGTGAGCCCTACCTTAAAAGTGGCAACTGTACAACGTCACCACTCGCAAAGCTAGAAAAACAGCCTAGATTATAAATCTATCAGAGGGACAAGATGGACGAAGAAGACATGTGCGCTCTGAGGATTCTACAATGGAATGCAGAGGGAGTCCGCAACAAAAAAGCTGCACTCACAAAACAACTTACGGAAGGAAACATTGATATTGCCTGTATACAGGAGACACACCTGTCAGAAAAGCACAGATTCTGTATTAGAAGCTTCCAGTGCTTCAGACAGGACAGAGAAAATGGTCCCAAGGGAGGAGTCCTCATCCTAGTAAAAAACAGCATCCCAGCAGCTAGTCTTACAGTGGACACAAAACAGGAGTCTGAGATCATGGGTATCAGGATTAACATTGCAGGCAAGGAAATTGTATTATACAATTGTTACTGCCCGCCAAGCAAAGAACTCTCATTATACAACATGAGAATCCCAGATGACAACTGTTTCGTTCTAGGAGATTTTAACAGCTGCTCTTCAAGCTGGGGATATTCACAGCTCAACGAGAGAGGAGAAGAAGTGGAGGACTGGCAGACATATGCCAGACTCCAGTTAATCAACAAACCAGATGACTCCCCATATTTTTTCTCCAGGAGATGGCTTTCAACCAGCCGCCCAGACTTAACATTTGCCACGTCAGACTTGGCAAGCAACATACACAAAACGGTGCTCAGCCAACTAGCAGGTAGTGACCACTGACCGATCCTGATTTCTGTTCTAAATATGAGAGGCCTTCATTCGATGCCGCCCCCTCGTTGGAATTACAAGAAAGCTGTCTGGAACAGTTTTGCTAACCTTGCTGATGTATACTCGATAAATGTAAACGGCAAATCAAGTCAGGTTGCTAAATCAGTAAAAGAGTTTACAGAAGCTATATTAAAAGCAGCCAAAGAAACCATACCTCGGGGTTCAAGGAAAGATTACATTCCATTTTGGTCCTAACAAATTCAAGACCTCCACCAAACTCTCTCAGAAGCAAGAGATAGAGTAGAAACAACCCAACGGTAGAAAACAACATTGCTTACAAAGAAGCAGAAGCTAAGCTAAAAAAAGAAACACTTCAAGCAACTAGGAAGAGCTGGCAAGACAAAACCAAGAGCCTAAGTTTTGAAAAAGATGGGTCCAAACTCTGGAAACTAGTCAAGTGTCTAAATGGAGAAGTCCAACAAGCCAATCCAATAGTAAATGAGGGCTATGAGATCAGATCTGGAAACGATGCTGCAAATATCCTTTTAAATCAGTTTAAATCTGTTAGTGATATTGATATAGAAAAATCCAGAGAAGATGAGGTAGTACAAAGAATAAAAGAACTCGAGGAGGCCAGCAAGAGTAAACCAGCAGAGAGCATCATGACAGATAAATTCTCAATGAGTGAACTTAACACAGGACTCAACCAGCTGAAATCCAACCAAGCCCCTGGCCCTGATAAAATCACGAATGATATGTTACTACACATGGGTCTAAGTGCCAAAAAGAAATTATTAAACATCTTTAATGCCAGCTGGATTTTTAGTATAGTTCCTCCAGCCTGGAGGAAGTCTGAAATCTTCGTAATCCTGAAACAAGGAAAGCCGAAGAACAACGCTGACAGCTACAGACCCATCAGCCTCACTAGCTGTCTGTGCAAAAACTATTTGAAAGATTATTGAACAACCCGACTGACCTGGTTCCTAGAGAAAAACTTCAAACTAATGGAGGAACAGGCAGGTTTTCGACGTTGCAGATCAACAGAAGACCAAATTACATTTATTGCTCAACACATTGAAGATGCATTCCAGGAAAAAAAGCACACTATTGCAGTCTGGGTGGATATGGAAAAGGCCTTCGACAAAGTGTGGAAAAATGGGCTGAAACAAAAGCTACTTGAAAGTGGAATATCCCATCACATGCGTGGGTGGATCGTAAAATATCTTGAAAATCGATCTACAAGAGTCAAGATACAAGGTTCAAGGAGCAGATCAGTCTCAATGACACATGGAGTTCCACAAGGCGGAGTTCTGTCCCCAATTCTTTTCCTAGTTTACATTAACGACATAAAATCAACCCTCTGTAATGGAGTTCAAGCCGTTATGTATGCCGATGATCTGGCGCTACTGAGTTCAGAGGAGGACACTGAAAAAGCACAGACAAGGCTTCAAGAATCCCTCAGAACTCTAGAGAGGTGGTCCAATAGCTGGTACATGCCTGTAAATGGGGCTAAAACCACACACACCATTTTCAGTCTCTCTACCAAACCCCAGAAAGTTTCACTTAGATATGGCAGCCAGGCACTGATACATGATGACTCACCGTCATATTTAGGAGTAACCTTTGACTCAAGACTCACATGGAGAAAACAGATAGAAAAGACACAGAGCAAGGGACTCAAGAGAACACAACTGATGAGGAAGTTAGCTGGAACAGACTGGGGGGCAAACCTCAATGTCCTTAAGAGGACCTATACAGGCTATGTGAGGCCAACACTAGAATATGGAATAGCTGCTTGGGGCACAGCAGCTAAATCAAATTTTCAGAAAGTCTCAAAGATACAAAACCATGCTCTCCGTATTATGACAGGGGCAATGCGCTCCACGCCCATATCAGATATGGAAACAATTACTGGTCTCCATAATCTGGAAGATAGGAGAGTCACAAAGATCCTCACCCAGCTTTCCAAATACCACCACTTTCAAGAACAATCCATGTACAGCCGACTGCAGAAACCCCAGAAGGCTAGACTAAAGAGAACTTGCTTTATTAAGAACGCAAATGCCAAGCTCGCTGTCCTTAAACTCCCTCCCATAATACCAAATGTTCCACTTAAACCTTACAACGACTGCCCCACTTGGCTTAGGGATAGCCTACCAACAGTCAGAACCACTGTAACAGGGGTCTCCTCCAAATCATCAATGAGCAGCACTGAAGGAGAGATCAATAGACTTTACCCACACCAGAGTTGGATTCGAGTGTATACAGATGGTTCAGCCAAGAGAGCAGTAAGAGACGGAGGAGGAGGAATATACATAGAATGCCCAAATGGTTTTAATATCAACCAGGCTTTACCAACAGGTTCATATTCCTCCAATTACAGAGCAGAGGCAGATGAACTTCTAGCGGCATGTTCTTTCCTGAATGGACAACAGCACAGCAAATATAGCAGAGTGGTCTTTCTGACTGATGCTATGTCAGTTCTACAAGCAATTGTTAACCCAAAAGACACTCAGTTTGTAGACTTGACGCAACAGCTGATTTACTTAGGCTCTTCAGTAGAACAATCTGTACTGCAGTGAATTCCAGGTCACTGTGGCTTGGAAGGCAATGAAATAGCGGACAGACTGGCCAAAAGCGGCAGTGACATGGTACAACCAAATAGCGACTTAACCCACCAAGAGATGAAAACACTAATACAATCTAGTATCCAAGAAAGGTGGCTGGATACCCACACCAGATTTTCTCCCCATACTCACTTCATCGCCTCTCTAGAGAGGGACAGTCTATTATATTCAGACTAAGGACAGGGCACAACAGATTTCGTCAACATATGTTCAAATTTTTCGGTGTAGGAAATACGGAGACATGTCCCTGCAGCGTGGCACCCGAAAATGCTGAGCATGTGCTCCAACACTGTCAACTGTATGCTGACAACAGAGACGCAATCTGGCCTGTTCCAACCACAATGAAGACAAAACTGTATGGTACACAAGAGGATATGGATTGCACGATAGCTTTCATAAAGGCTACCGGCCTCCTGATATAAGTTTTCTGACAGAAGGATCGAAGAAGAATAAGAAGACTGCCTTCCTTACCCACCTCTCTCTCTCTCTCTTGCGTTATGTCTGTTTGCCTCCCTTTATCACTTCCTCTTTGTATACCTCCCTCTCATTCTCCTGCTCTGCCTTTTTTCTCTTTCTTTGGTTCTCTCCCTCTGTCTGCTTGTCTCTCTATGCTGTCCCTTTATCCCTCTCTCCTTTATGTCTACATCTCTCTGCTTGCATCTGCTTTTCTCCCTGTCCGTTCTCTCTCCCTCTGTCTTCCTTCCTTTAACTCTCTTTGTCATATTTTCCTCCTTCCATATCTGTTTCGTTCCCTTCTTCCTTCTCTCTTCATCTGCCCATCTCTGTATCTGCATTCCCTCTTTCTGTATTTGTCTCCCTCTCTGTCTTTCGCTGTCCCATCCCCATTTTCCCTCATCATGTTTCCATCCCTCCCTCTCTTTTTTTCCTCCTTCCCCAGACTTCTTTTCCTTCTTTTCTCTACCTTCATCTGTCCATCTTTACACTGTCTCTCCTAGCCTACCTTAGCATGTGTCTTCCTCCCTCTCTGCATGACTCTCTCTCTCTTCCCCTAACCCTTTCAGGTACCAAGTCCAGAACAGACAGGACTTCAGTTTGCTGCCCTCTACCACCTAAAATAATTTTCAGACACTATATTAAGCGCAGGGGCCGACCAACACGAAGATGGGCACAGGATATAAGTGACTCCTTGAGTATAAAAAAGTACATGAGACAGGAGAGCTGGCGAGAGACCGAGTTTTTTTTTCAGGACAAAGGAAATGCTACATGATGATGATGATGATATATGTGCTGGTATACCAACACATGTGGCACAAATGAAGTATATTGTGTGCTCGGTACACCCTTGAACAAGGCAAAAATATTGTTTCAATAATACACCGAGACAACCTTGAAAAAACTAAGGAGACCTTGAAAAGGACCTTGAAAAGCCTTGAAATTGATTGGTAAATTTGGCTATGAACCCTGAAAGATGAAAAAAAATGTAAAGAAAAAAATTGAATGAGATTCAGTAAACTTAAGTTTTCAGCAGTTACCATATGTGTCGGCGTGTAAGACATTCCCTTGTATACAGTGCACCCAAAATATTTAGACAACATTTTCCAGAAGGAAAAATCTCAAATTTAAAGAAAAAATATAACTAATATTAGAAATTATTCAGTAGCCTTCAGATTTACTCCTACCCCAGTCATTGGAAGTTTGCTTCTTTCCTTTATTCATTTGGTACTCAACATCCTGTTAAGACAGACAAAGCTTTATGGTTGTTGTTTCTTCTTTTGTTGGTAGAGGTCCAAAATGATGTTCTGCTGACCCTTGTTATCTTCTTCAACATATTTTTACCTGGAGTTTAAAACTCTTGGTGTAGGAATGCCACTTACGATCTGTTTCCATATTTGAATTGTGATTGAAAGCGACAAAAATGGCTGTGTACTTCTCTATCTAGGTTCCAGTCGTGACATATGGGTGCAAGTCATAGGCAATAACAACAGCTCACAGAAGCCAGCTTGAGGCCTCAGAAATAAAGTATCTGAGAAAGACAGTCCAAGTCAAAAGAAGCGACAAAGTTTGCAATCAGACAATACACCATAACCTTGAAACCCTGGCCTAATAACTTAAGTGGATCAGTCACAGTTACGATGGTTTTTACATTGTGCAGAATGGGATACAATACCATTCATGGATTCACAACCAATCAACTTTTAGTGTGATGTGATGATCTCATCTCTCTCTCTCTCTCTCTCTCTCTCTCTCTCTCTCTCTCTCTCTCTCTCTCTCTCTCTCTCTCTGTGTCTTTCTCTCAGGCATGTTATCAGTAAAAATGAAAGAGCTGATGCAAACATCCCTCTAGAGTGATGACAGGAAATGCTGCTACCTACAGAGAATTAGAGAGTTCTACAACCATGCATTCCCTACATGATACCCTTCTCCTCACTGTCTCATTCATAGATCACATCATTATCCCCTGAATGCTTAGCATTTCACGGTCTTGGAAGGGAAAAACTAGAATGCATGCAACTATGAACAATAACTGTACATGTAGGCCTTCTTTCATTGCATAAGATGCAGCCTAATTTTAAGACCTATTTTGAGAACACTTATACACTGACAAATTTAGTACTTTACCCATTTAAAATCCTGATGTACTACATTGTTGGTTGATTAACTAGAATCAACATCGCTTCTATTGAGACTTACATTGTGCAAAATATGTCCATCTTGGCTAGTATTAAAGTGTAGGAATGTCAATCATTCCTTGTGGTGCACTATTTTGTAAAGATAGCTATGTTGTCCTTTCCTGAATCATGTCTGTTTCTACTGTAGAGGATGCTGAAAGATACATTTTCAGCATTAAATCCTTTTTATAATGGGTGTTTAAAAATAAACTAAACATCTATAGGTATTTTTATACATTTGATTTAATTATTATATGAATATGGAGTGGAGAAAATAAACTATACATCTATAGGTATTGTATTAAATTTGTTTATTTATCATATGAATATGGGGTGGAGAAAATAAACTACATCTATTCTGTGAAACTGCCAATGTTATTTAAGCATATCAACACCTTGCTTATTTCTAACAAAAACTGTATTTCTACTTCATTCAGGTCGGTGCTTGTCTGAAAACTTTTATGTAAGAGGTGATGGCACAAGAGTCTACTTTTTCACACAGGGTAAGTCTGTCTGATTGTTTTGTCTTTTAAAACATGGCAATATCACAATGAAGTAATATTCCAATTAACTGAGATACCTGGGTATCACTTTTGATAGAAGCATGTCCTATAGGGATTACGTGGATGTAGTTACAGTGAAATGCCAAAAAGGACTCAACGCTCTCAAGATTATGGCAGTAATGGACATGGATAAAAAAATGCGGTTTACATTGTTCCAGCATGTGATCCTGTCGGTGAATGCTTACCATATCAAAGAGTCAGCTGATAAAACTCCAGACACATACAGAATGAAGCCATGCGGGTAATTCTGTGATGTACAAGAGATACCCCGGTAGTATGTGTGCGATATTTACTTGCACTGCCTACTACTGCAGATAGGCTCAATGTTCTGCATGCAAAGTCATATCTCAGAGCAGCTGCAGACAAGAAACACCTCCTGCATGAAGCCCTGTGTAGATCTACAGGTCACAGACTGAAAAGAGGAATGTCTTGGATGGTGTAAGCTGAAGACACAATTTGACTTGTGAATCAGAAGTTCAACAAATGATTCATGACAATTCCCGACCAGGTGATGTGATTATCTATATAGATGGCTCTGTGTTTAGGGGCAGACAAAATGCATAGAGGTTCATAGCGAAGACGGATGGGCCTTGCTTAGTGCAGCAAAGTCTTGCATATGATGTCACATCTAGTTTGAGAATGGAGTTGGAGGCAGTCTCTGCTGCTTTCCACTGGCTTGAGAATCAGCTGTACACACACGCTTTGATTGTAACTGGCATGCTTCATGCAGAGTGGCAAGCATCACTTTAGAGGTCCCGGGTAGTTAGCATTCTTTGCCGGTGTGTTGGGAAATGAGCAGGCAATAGACTGGTCGGCTCTTCACAACTTGGTGGTGAATTGATATATGAGCTAGTTTCTCATATGGTTTACCTATTTTGCACAAAGTAGTAACAGATTCTTTTCCTGGTTTGATCTTACAAGACATTAAATAGATATCAGATGTTTGGTTAAACACATTAAAACAACAGAAAAGATGAAAAGAAATTGGTGCGAGGTTCAATAACATTAAGCAATTAATAATACTTTATACTTGCTTGATCACCAGATGAACTCAGGACCATGTTTGAGCTAGCGGGCTTACAGGAGAAAGAGAATATAGTTGATCGACGTTTGCAGGTCAATAGAGGTCGCCAGCTCAAAATGTACAGAGTGTGGATTCAGTGCAAATATGTAAAACCTTTGATATAGTTAGTATTATATTTTCTAAGTGTGCGAATGTGAGGTGTGTAAGTGTTTGTACATGTTTGAGCAATCCTATGTATGTGCGAGAGAGAGAGAGAAAGATCCAGTACTGTCTCCACAGTGAAGGTAAGCTGTCATGGATCTTCAGCCAAGTCTGTCTTGAACTTTATTTACACTTCTTGCATTTTTTTTGTCTTCAATGATTACACACTACTTTCTGTCAGTTTTTTCTTACGGAAACTAATTGTAATTGTTTTTTTTTTTAGCTCTTCTTATAAGTTCTGGTGTATTCTAAGACAGGCCCAGCAACCAGTTAGAGGGTTTGATTGTTCAGATGCGTGTGCTCAAGATAATTAGAAAAGAACTAAATGGCAACACTTTTGAGGCATTAAAACATCAAAAATATCAACATGCATAACCCAAAAAAACCAAAAAGCAGTTAATAAACGCTCTACTCATATGAACTTTGTTCTATCAGTGCCAGACATGGGCAGTCATATAAAAACATAAACCCAAAATTTCAGCATATGAGATAATATGTAAAAGATGTGGGGGAAAAACAGGAATAGACAGAGTCATCAGTGAAGAAATAATAACAGTGGTAGACATTAAATGGAACATCAAAGAAAGGATCAGATGGTTTGGTATCTGATCAGAATGGGGGAAAAAGCCTGTCAGCATCTAGAACCTACTACATGAGATCTGCTACAAGGTGAGAGGCAGACCAAGAAAGTTATGGGTGGAGGAAGTAAAAGAGACACTACAAAAATGCAGTATAACACTAACACAAGCTGCGCAATTAGCAAAAACAAGAAACTTCATCTAAATCCGCTTTGCAATGCCATAAGCAGTAGAACAAAAGGGGAAAGAAGAAGAAGAGTGTAGTCTGATGTTATCCAAATATGTGACACTGTGTTCTCTGACCTTGAAAAATCTTTGTAGACAACCACTTGGAGCAAATTGATGTCATAATAAGGTTATTATGACCCCACAGTGACAACAGAAAAGTTTGTTTCGCCCCAAATAATATCTCACATTTTTTATTGGTAAAAATATAATAACTACTGATGGTCAACCTATAGATCATGCTAGTATTATTAACGCCCACTGAGAAATGGGAAGGGTAGAGGACTTTAGGGGCAGTGAATTCACATCAGTCACCAAAATGATAGACTTTGAAGTTAAGATCGGCGTAGAAAAAAATGAGACGCAGACCAGGCACACCAGAAGACTTGTTAATCAACATAGAACTGGTACTATTAGCCACCGGATCCTGGGGTTTATACTGAGGGGAGGACCTGAGCACCTGTGGACATGTCCGGAGTGCTAACCTAACTAACTAACTGTGCAGCTGCAACCAGTACCAGACATACGCAGTAATAATGGACACTATCCAAAGACATGTCATCAAAAACCAGTAAATGCCACAAAACTGACTTATGCAGATCAATATATATATTTATTACAATTTGGTAAATAGCTGCTGTTTGCACACATGGTTTGAATGAAGATAGGAGAAGTATACTCCCATGTCTTTTCATGTCTTCTGGACCTTTATTGTTGTCTATATTTTTACTTAAACTGTTTTTTTTTTGGGTTTGTGCTATATTATCATCCGCAGTATTGTGTTTTCAACAACTATGTTTTTGAAAGTCACCTACTGCTTAAGCCTCTGATGTGCTAAATTTGTTGTTATAACTATGCCAGTGATTTGAATGAAAATAAAAATTCAGCTGTACATACGAGTTGAAATCTTTTAATAACACAATGTATGTAAAGTTAAAATATAAAGGACCTTTGTCATGTCATTGGCATATCAAGCATATGGGACTGAACTCATATTTGTTTCATTGGGCACTTGATGAGTGATGCAGTCAGTCACATGCTGACTGTCTTTACCATCCAGAACATTTCCTAGTATCTTTTTTAGGATGGGTCAAACTGACAGCCCTGCGACACTTATTAGAAGATATATATCTTCTTCTTAGCATTTACTGCCTGTAAACTCCAGAAGAAAGTTCTGGTTGTCCTCCACTTGCCGGTTTTGCTCTTGTTCTAGAACTTGTATTTTGCATGCATATCTGTTTTACAGATGTGGCTTATTTATATGCAGACTGTTGATTCCTTGTCTCCCTGCTCCTGGACATGTATAGCCTCATATCTCCAGTGATAGGATTTGAGGCAGGAGTCTTGTATGAGGATCTGAAAAACCAGCACTGCCAGCTGGTGCTTGAGGTGTGGTCAGGAGTATCTTCTGGTACACATCACAATGGCCTAAACTTTCTCCTCCCTAACAATCATTTGTGACCAGCTTATTGATTTATCCTCGTACATACAGAACAATCTGGCATATATATATATATATATATATATATATATATATAAACAAAATAAAGGTAAATTACATTTGTATAAACGTTTTATTGAAATACATTAGTTTAACAGGTACTCCAAAATTTAATATGTTCATGGACAGACTTTAAAAAAATTTATAGCCATAGCAACTGTCAGTCATAACCCAAATTAAATAAAAACTGTGCGAACAGTCCACCGTCAAAATATAAAGTAAATGTCAACATGAAGGCAAACCTAGTCAACAAATGACTTTACAAAAAATATGTGTTGGCCATGCAGCTGTGCTATAAGCAGGCACAACGCAACTGTGAAAAAAAAAATTTGGTCAGACAAATAAAAAGAGGGAACCCTGTCAACGTCACATGTGAATGCCTGATGATCTGATAAAATTGGAAGGTTACAGTGCACAGAAAAGCATAAGGGAGTTGCAGATAAGCGACTTCTGAAGGTTTTTCAGCCAGCCTATAGTAAAACTATACCAAAATATTGGGGGATTGCCTCATTATACCTATATTTAAAAAAAGGGTGATTAAAAAACAATGTGAAAACCAGAGTCATGTCTTTCATCAGTGTTCCTAGTAAAAGTTACTCTAGAATTATCAAACAGAGACTTAGGTGTCTGACAGAACCACAGCTGGATCAGGCACAATGCGGCTTCATAGTACTCAAGACCCTTTCTTCACACTCAGACAGATGAGTTAAAAAAAAAAAAAACTTGAAAATAAGAGTGAGATGAACCTATTTTTTTTTTTTTATCTAGAAAAGGCATTTGATAAGGTTCCCTGAAAAAAAGCTGTGGGACTGCTTGGCAGGAAAGAACATTTCAGAACTTCTGATCAGTGCAATACAGAGTTTCTTCAAAAGCTGCAGGAATTATATAAGATCTGCAGACCAAAAGTCATAAGAATTTAAGACCACTAGCGGTGTTAGACAAGGTGATATTCTCTCACCATAGCTTTTGATTCTTACGATGGATAATGTCATCACGACCTGTAAGGAGAAGACAAATTAGTACTCAGGAGGATGCTGAAAGATGAAACCATTCTGTAAATGAGAGCTGGCTTTTGCAGACGATGTGGTCATAATAGCTAAATTAGAGGCACATCTTCAATCCAACTTATTTGTCTGGAAGGAAGAGTTTGAGAAGAGAGGTATGGCCATCAGTATCTCCAAAACTAAAACTATAGTTATCTCAAGAGAGAAGAAACACCAGATTCCAATTCCAATTCCAGTTGTCCAACAAAAATTCCAAATTTGATCCTTTTTCAGCTGCCCGGAGGCCTGCTATATGAAGGAAGGTTCCTTGGCTTATTTGGTTTCCTTTTATTTGTGGTGTATAGTCACACCTAATATTCCGTTTCTTTGCTTCCTAGGTCCGGTGTGGTGTTTGGGGTTTTTGGGTCTGGAATGGTCCAGTTCTCTTAGTGCTGATATCTGTGGGTTTTAGCTAATTGCTGCTGGTGCTTGGTTTACCTCGTGCTGATGGCTGAGCTGGTGCCCTATTGCTCCTTGGTTGCCGTTCTGTAAAGCCGCCGGGAAAAGCCAAACAAATACCAGGTCACAACGTCTCCAACAATGCTCCTTTTCAGGACATACACCAGATCATAATGGGACAGTATTTATTCCTAGCAAAAGAGAAATTGGCAAGAGGTAGAAAATGGCTGTTTACCACTATATGTGCCAATCCTGATCTAGGGATGTGAGTCATGGGCAATAACAACAGCTTACAGAAGCCAGCTTCAGGCCTCAGAAATGAGATATCAGAGAAAGGTGTTCCAAGTGGCAAAAAGGGACAAAGTTCACAGTCAGACAATATGTCAAGATCTTGAAACCCAGGCCTTACAAACTCGAATGGATCAGTCACAGCTGGGATGGTTTGGACATCTACGCAAAATGGGAGAAAAACGGCCACCAAGGGAGGCTAAAAACCAGGGAACCAGACCTTCATGGCGACCCAAGATCTGCTGGGAAGACAACTGACAGTCCCTGACTGATAGAGGAGTAGAACAGAACAAAGTCAAAAAGAGAACCACTGACAGAGATGTCTGGCGATCTCTCTGGCAAGCCTCTACACCCCATTAGAAGAGAAACAACTAAGTAAGTAAGTAAGAAAACATAAGTATAGATTCATATCTATACAACTTTGCCATTGATAACAACGATATTTACAGGTATGGAAGGAAGTACAGAGAATATTGTAAGGATGCATTTCTTTCTAATGCATCTTTGAAAAGGGTTATTTGTTTTACAAATATGAAAGACTAAAATGTTGAGAAATTCCTCAGAGGTGCATTAGAAAAAAACAACATTGCCTCATGAAACCACAGACCCTGTAGTTCAGTTTCACAGTTAATGACAATAATAATTAAATATGACTGGAGCAAGGAATTAACTACTTTCAATTCCTTTTATCACGAAAAATGGTTTTGGTGAGCTAGACATGTAAAACAAAGGGATGTCATTTTATCAGAAAGATAACCTCCGCCCCCCCCCTCCCCCCCCCCACCCCCAAATATAACTTAGTTGCATAAAATAATGCATCCATTTTCTTAATAGCAAATATTATTATACCCGCTTCACATTATGTAGTTGCAATTGGTGCCAAAGCTGTGCTCATGTGGCATATTAACCAATGCCGAAAGATGACATGCCATTATAACCCCCCAGAAAAGGTGTGATCCTGGCACTCACTGGGAGAGGGGTAACTATGTTTTTTTTTAATGTACCATTTTACAAGGTCTGACAATTATATAATGAGACTTATTCCATAAAAATTGAAACAACAATTGAAGATATTACCCCTATTTTATTCAAAGTAACCTTTTGAGCGTTGATACAGCAAGTGGCACGTTCTAACAAACACTGGAACAACCTCTGTAGTTCTTCTGTTGTTAAGACCCTTAAGTTAATGTTATGGCCCTTTGGGTGTCATCGGTATCCTCAAAGAAGTGTTCTTTCGATGGTTACTTTAATTTTGGGAATATAAAATAATCACAGGAAGACGAATCTGGGGAATAGGGTGGATGGTTGAGAACACACACTTGTTTTTGGGCCACAAATTTATGTACATCTACTGCCTGGTGAGCTGCTGCATTTTCGTGAAGATGGAAAAAAACTGACAGGTGTTGAAAACTCGGTTCGGACTCGGAGAATCCTTTTCAATAGGTGTTTCAAAATACTTAAATAAACTGTGACCGTGACAGTCTGTCCCGCTGGAATAAATTCTTTGTGAATAACTCCTTTGCTGTCACAGAAGCACACCAACATTGTCTTCACTTTCAACTTTTAAAGACAGATTTTTTTCCTTTGGACGATGATGATGACTTCCACTAAGAACTTGGGCATTTAATTGTGGAATCATAGCGGAAAATCCATAATTCATCCTATGCAACAATCAAATTTTAAAAAATGTTTATTTCTGTGATACGTTTTGATGATGTCTTTTGCGCACTCAACATGCTGATGGTTTTGGTCATCTTACAACGCATGTGTTACAAACCAACAAGCAACCTTGCTTGCCCAGATCTTCCACTAAAATGCTATTAATGGTCTCTATTAACACCAGATTCATCTGCCATCATCCTCACAGTCAGACAACGATCTTTTTTTATCCATTCACTGTCTTTTGCAATGAGTTCTTCATTATGAACAGAAACTGGGCATCCAGGTCTAGTTGTATTAGTGATCATTATTAGTGATCATTTCCACACCACTTTTGAATTGTGAACATGACAGTAACTAGATCTCGGTAACAAGATAACAGTAACCAGACCTTAGTAACAACATAACAGCAACCAGACCTCGGTAACAAGATAACAGTAACCAGACCTTAGTAACAACATAACAGCAACCAGACCTCAGTAACAATATAACAGTAGCCAAACTTCAGTAACAAAATTACAGTAATCAGACCTCAGTAACAACATAACAGTAACCAGAGCTCAGTAACAACATGAGAGTAACTAGATTCATTAACATGTTCATTAACAACATGACAGTAACCAGGTATTATTAAAAACATGACAGTAACCAGACATTCAACAGAAACAAGCTGACTCACTTTGTATAATGCACTTTAAGTAACACAATCTTTAACATCTGTTCAACACCAGGTTGGGTGAAATACATAGCTGTTTTGTGATTGTGAGGCTCAAAATTATGGAAATATAGATATTTGCAGCAAGAATTGATTGTATAAAAATATTCAAAATCTTTAAAAAAATAACACTGAATTAAAATGCAGCTGAATATTTTTTTTGTAAAGAAAAGCATTAAAAATACTTGACACATAGCAATGTGATAATGTTTGCACAAATACATGACATGTTAATATAAATTATATACTGAAAAGACATTTGCAAGTAAGACACATTTTTTGTGATTGCATTTTCTTATGGAAAAGACAGCAACTATCACTGTAGGAACACAATTAGTGCTTGGCATATCCTTCATGTAAGAGACACATTTCCATTGATCATATCTTCCTTGTGCTTGAACCAATAGGTAATGGCAGGAGTAAATTTATACAGAATGACAGTTCAAGGAAAGTATACAGTATAAATGGAAAACTTCCAAAAAATCTAAATCGTGGCAAAATATTATAATGGAAACCAGCCTTTCAGTAGATGCCAGCCCACCGTGGTATCCCTGGAAACAAAAAGTCCAGTGCGCTACCCTGACCCATATTGGAATAGATACATAGCAAACACTGATCAGTGAAGAAGAAGGGTACTTTTTTTTTTAGCCGACGACAAACAGGGGAAATCCACAGGTCACAGGACAGTCAAATATTTGGGGGGCGGGGGGGGGGGGGGGGGGTGGTAGATTAAGCGTATAGCTTTTACCACCCTCTAAAATATTGGACTGTCTCTTGACGTCATTTGTGGTTGGCTTAAAAGAAAGCACCACAATGAAAATGAAGATTAAAATAAATCTGCAAAGCAGTTTTGTTTTCTTTGAGCTTGAAATTTTTTTTACTTTTGATTTCATATTGCCATCATCATCGAGTATGGCAAACAGCATCATTACATTTATGTGCATAAAATATGTGCACACACAATGGGTTAAAAAATAAATAATGAACAACCACTGACAGATTTTCACAGCATTTCTATATGCAGAACTGGAAGACAACACACTTGTTAGTTGTTTTGAAAAAAAGTGCTACTTCACATATATTTATGAGTGGATGACTCTTTCACATGAAGCTTCTGTACCTCTTGCTGCTTCCATTTTCTATAAGTGATGCACTTTGTCATTAGCACTTTGATTTTGATGCTTGCTTTTGTTGTCATTCTGGAAAAAACAAATTAAAAATAACATATACCAGTCCCTGTCACATTTCTGACAATAACTTTAGAGAAATATGAAGTACAATTAAACAAAGCGTTAACAAATTTAACAATGGAAATGTACACTACGGATGATTGTTCACATAAGAAACTTCTTTATCTTTAATCTAAGTGATGTAATTGTGTTGTGCCTGTTTACAGCATAGCTGCAATATTTGTGCCTTTTGCTAACATGTCGGGGTCAATTCCATGATAATCACTAGCTCACTTCTGATTGGTTGACCTTCAGTCACCCCACCTTCGCACACTGCTAGGGGGTGTTTGGCAATGCTGTTGATATCGTGTGTTGGATTTTTAAGCACGCCAGCACTTTTATCACTATAAAAACATTTAGAAACTGGGTCTAACACACAACCCCCCCCCCCCCCCCCAGGGTGCAGCAACCTATGTCACAGGAATTCTCTTTCTCGGAATAAAAACGTAAATGCAAGACAAGCCATAAAGGAAATAACATAGCAGCAACCTTTGATCCCCACCCCCCCCCCCCCCCCCCCCTTTCCCAGACAGCAGACGAGTCTAAAGAATTTAGGAATGGAATGTGACCTAGTTTGTTTGGGGAGATCATCGTGGAACTAGTCCATATAGGGCATCTGTTCACATTAGCATTAGCCTTCCCGCTTGGTTTAATAGGTCATGGTGTAGTGCTTTTTGACCTGTTATTTTTGTGAGTTGTCCCTTGAGAACCCATCCAGGACATCCTTGTGTTGCCTGGTCGGCCCTCAAGGGAAGGCAGGGGCAGATCATGAGCATTCTCTGCCATCTAAAGAAGCTTCCATAAATGCAGAGCTGACACATGATGCTCTCTCTGATGCTAGGCTCACCCAAGGAATCATCACATTCTGTACATGACTGCTTAGCCTCACATTCATATGTTGAGCTTCCCACTCACCATGGGCTGCACTTCTGTTCACATAAGATACATCTCTTTCTTCGTGTTCACCTGCTGTAAACTCCAGCAGAAAGTTATGGTTGTTTGTTCACTTCTGGACTTTTAGTCTTGTCCCAAAGCCTGAGTGTTGCACATCCCTTTTATCATCATAATCATCATCATCAATTTGAATCGGCCAAGTTCAGTGGCTGCCTAGAAGCTAGCCTTTCCTAGATAGCATCAGTTATTATTATCGCTCCTGTACATGCTGTTATTTCATTGTGCATTTCTTAGTATTGGTGGTTCTTGTTTGTTGAGTCAGGTTTTCTGCATGTTGTTTGTAGGGCTGTTATCTTAGTGCTGAGTGGTTAGTTTGGTGCTTGTTATGTTGCCGGATTATAGGGTCTCTGCTATTAGTTGTTGTCCTTTGTTTCATTCTCATAATGTATTTGATATTGTGGTCCCTCTTTTGAAGTCAGTCAGGTGGTTTGCTCCATCGTGTGATATGTTGGTAGTTTCCACTACGGCATATATGAGAACTACCTCATTTATTGTCTTCATCTTGCAATGTTCTCAGAATGCTGTCTTCATCCATGTCTTTTATGCAGACTGTTGCCTCTCAGGCACTCGACTTGAAGAAAGCTCCAATTAGTCTCTTGTGACATGCTTTTGGATACGCTGTGGGTCTATTCTTGTTTTCCCTACACTAGGGCCCCAGAACCCACATAATTTAACATAAGATACAATATTATTTAATTCATCTAGCTAAAATTAAATGAATAAAATATTAACTTAAAAGCTGCAAACTATCATGTACAGGAGTACCATACCACATTTAGTATTGTATGAATATCTTATGCTGTTAAAACATCTCTGGAAAAACAAAACAAAAAGTCTGAAATAACTACTACCTTAGCCTGAAAGTATTAAGCATCGTTAGCTGTTACAATTTATTTTAACCACATTCATGGGAAGAAAATATAGTCTTGTATGAATATCTTATTTGCTTAAAACATCTCTGTACAAACAAAATAAACAGTTTGAAATAACGAGTATCTTAGACTGAAAGATTTAACCATGGGTAGCTGTTACAATTTATTTCAACTTCCCCCCCCCCCCTCCCAAATGCTAAAAACACTAAGTTATGAACCTGTGGGGATTTCACCCCCCAAAAATTAAAAGAAACTATTTGATACAAGAAACTAATAAATTGTTGAAGGAAGAATGGATAGAGAAATCAACATTAGTGACTTGACACTCACAAGCCGGCTGGAAGATATTGAGTTCATATTGCTACTGTATAGTTCATATATTAACTCTTTGAGTCCCAGGGGGTTTAGCATCAGAGGCCCAAGGGGTAGTCAAGAGAGATCTAAAAGCGGCACATCTTGCGGTTAATGGGCCTCTAGGTAGAAACCTATGAATGTATGATGCGTTCCTTGGGACTCAAAGAGTTAAGTCCAAATACCGGGTATATTTTACTAGACATATTTCTATAGGCCAATCAGCACATCATGCCATCTTCCTTTACTTTCCAGAACATTAGCTGGTGTACCATTTAAGGCTGTCTTGACCCAGGAGCCAAGGTCAGATGAAAAAAAAAAATTTCTTTTAATATGGATTTGAATTCTAGATCTTTGAGTTGGCAGGTGAGCATCTAACATTATAACTCTTTACTTGATACTATGTAGAGACTATGAATGTAGTCCGGTAAAATACATGCCCTTTTCTCTGCTATTAGTTTGTTGTAATCTTCTTCAGGCAGCTTGGGAAGTGGTCTCTTAGAGGCATTTGGTGATATGCCCTTGGGCTGATTTGATGTCTGTGGTGTCATCGATTTCTGATCATTTTGTTGAAAACTCTGCCTGCCGTGTCCAGTGCCTTTATCTTGTAATGCCTGCCATTAAATAAAAATATATAATTTAGCATTACATAAAATAATTTATAGTTATCTTATGTGTAAGTCATTTTGACACATTTAGGCTATTTTATATACCATATGAGCACTATGTGTACAGTTATTTAAGCACTAGTTGACATTTTTATGTGCCAGTCATGTGAGCACTAGTGTATGGCATTATATGCCACTCACACAATAGAATTGTCAAAGCAGATGTCCCCAAGATAAAAAAAAAATTTACAAGTGGCCAGAAGAGAAAATACACTAAAATATTTAGGCGTTACATTTAACAAAGGAATGTCTTTCAAAGACCACATCAATGCAGTTATCGTGAGAGCAAAGAAAGGATTTGATGTATTAAAGGTTATGGTTGCTGCCGATGTGGGACAAGGAGTGTTTTACTCATTCAGCCATTGAATATGGTCTGGGGATGCTAACCATGACAAAGACACAGCTGGAGAAATTGGAACGCATACAAAATGAGGCTGTGCGAACCACTCTGGGTTGCACAAGGGACACACCAGTTATGTGTATGAGACATATCTTGTCAATGCTGACCGTTGCTGATAGACATAGTTTACTGCAAGCTGATTACTGAAAAGACAATCAAAAGGGTTTGCAACACTGATGAGTCAGTTGCCAGGGACAGGAACAGTGGATTGGGCTTTGTTGCAAAAATATGGGGGAGAAGGATAGCTTAAGAGAGCTTGGCATTTGACATTACCACACTCAGCATGAGAATGGAGGTTGAGGCGGTAACTGTGGTGCTCCGATGGGAGTCATTTGAGCACTAGTGTTTAGCTAGTTTTGTGTGTGTGTGTGTGTGTGGGGGGGGGGGGGGGGAGGGGGAACAGTCATTTGAGACCAGTGCATGACTATATTATGTACCAGTCCACTGAACACTACTAGTGTTTAGACTTCTTAGCATAAGAGAGAAAGGTATGATAGAACACTGGCTATCATGCTGTCCTACACAGCCAGTTGTCATATGTTTGAATCCCCATTTGATATATTTTCGAAACTGACCCAGGCGCCCAGGTCAGTGAAGTATAAAACTGATATCAAGAAATGATCTGAGTAAAGGTGGCCAGGAAGATTTTGACCCCACTACCCACTGACTGCTATTTCATCATCATGTAGCAGGTCCTTTGCAGAACGTCGCTCTCATCACAGTCTGCCTGTAACTTTCACACTCAAGAAGTCACTTATATCCTATGCCCATCTTCGTGTCGGTCGGCCCCTGCCCCTCCTTCCTGGTACCATGCCTTCTGCTATAATTTTTTCCAATCCGTCGTGGCGCTTATTATGACCAAAATATTTCAGCTTCCGGGAAAGGATGCTGTTTATTAGCCAATCTTCCTTGATGTTCAGATCTTTTAAGATGTCAATATTTCTCATCTTCTTTGTCCAAGATATTCTGAGAATCTTTCTATAGCATTTCAGCTCAAAGGACCCTATTCTCTTTCTTATATCGTTCTCTTCCCCAGTTCGCGTTTGTGATCTGCCTGGCCTAGAGGCCTCACCATCAGATCTTTGAGTTTCGTTTTTGGCTTCCATTATGAGTTTCTTGGGATAGTAATGTGGTAGTTTCCCGTTGCTTTCCACATCCACATGGCTTTAGACCATGTCCTCAGCCTTCAGCAACCTATTCGATTGCTAGGGCAAGTGAGTGCCCTGCTCTGTGATGCTCCTGCTAACAGCAGAGGGCACCCCAGAGGTGTCCACTTATCCTGGTAGATACTCGGTCCCCATAGCTGCGTTCGCCACACCGCAGTGTGTTTACCGTCCTCTACTGTGTGGAGGTGCAGTTGGGGTTTTCCCTTCACTGAGTCTTGAGACCAAAATGGCATTTCCCAAAACTCTCCAGTACTTTCAGAGAACGACTACTATTTAGTTTATAAAAATATGGACAACCACAATATACTTAGTATGTCTTATGGCTTAGAAACTGGACCTGATCAGAATATAGGAAACTGATAACAGATTAAATAGAAGAAGAAAAAACAAATGAACACTGTATAAAACAGCCTAGATTTTACTTTGAGAGTTTCTGATTTCCCCCAAGTACTTCCAAACTTTCTTATTAGAAATGAGAAGGAGATGGTTTAATGGTTAAGAAGGCTGGGCTCTTATTTAAGAGATTTGGATTCTTCTTCTTTGCCTTGACATTTACCGGTAGTAATCTCCTGCAGAAAGCTTTGGTTATTCATCCACCTCTGGACTTTTAGTCTTATTTCAGAGTGTTGCATGCACATCCATTTCACAGATCTGGCTTATTTGTATGCAGATTGTTGGTTCCTTACCTCTCAGGCAGATGCACTCTGACTTTGAAGGAAGCCCCCAGTTAGTCAACTTCAACAACAGGGTTGTTGGGGAGGCAGTGGGTCTGTTCTTGTTTTCTCTACAACAGGGCCCTGTAACCCAAACAGGTAACCCAGGTTCAATTCCTTGTTAAGGTGATAGCAATTATTTTATGTTAGGGGCAAAAAATACCCACCAACACAGTTCATGGTGACTACACCAGCCATATGACCCTTAAATCCTTAGACCCAAAACCTCACTGTCCTACTCTGGCCTAAAAATTGGTTCATTCAAGCAATAAAGGCAGTTATCACAAACATCAGAAAAAGGCATATAATTTCTGGCCACATTTTAATGATTATAAAACTGGAATATGTGACAACTAGAAAGATTTATGAAAATTTAGTTAAAAAGAAGTGAGAATATTCTGGGTATCTTTTTTTTTTGTGTGTGTGTGTGTGTGTGTGGTCACAGCAGGGAACTACCAGCAGGTACTATACTCAAACAGCCTGATGTGAGAGTAAAAGGGTGCCCAAGAAGAAGGTGTACTGGTGATATTAAAAACTTTGCTTTGTACATCCACACAAAAAGACAAAAGCTAGTGCCACCTACTTGACTCCTTATGTCCAGTTTATGTACCAGTTTGCCAACTGTTTCAAATTCTTATGGGTCAAAGAGTTAATGTCAACAGTGGAAGATGATGATAATAAAGAAGAAAGCATGTCAGCACATACACTGATACATTGTGTTAGAGACTGCAAGAAATGGAGAAGTGTGATCACCGACTCCAGGCAGCAAAGCATTTGATGATCATTATTATTTCCTAATGTTCTATTGTAACTGATTAGTGACTAAAAATATGGTAAATATTTTACAAAAGGACCCACCTTATCACTCTTCACAAAGGAATCATCATCCACAAGATCAGCATAATCACATTCACCATGATCCTGAGAAAGAAAAGATAATTATTAAACGATCCTGGTTGTACACTCTTAGGCTGCCATTTGTCCATCCCTTGATGTTCTCCTCCCATGTATCATTGTTTATCTCTTGCTGTCTTGCCGGCAGCCTTGATTAAAGCTGTCGCTCAGTCAAAATCTCTCCAGGCACCTTACAGTTTTGTCTTCAATGAGGTTGGAACAGGCAAAGTTGCTTCTTTGTTAGAGCCTAGTTTACAGTGTTGAAGTACATGCTCAGCTTTTAAAAACTCAATTTAAATCAATTGTGTGCCATATTTACAATGGAAGTTTGCTGTATGTATCCACTGCTGTCTTTAGGTATATTACTTGGTTAAGCCCCAATCTCTTACCCGGTGGGACTTATAGTACAATGCTTTGTAAGCCATGAAAACAGTCCGTTTCTAATCCATTTACTGCTGGGATCAAACCCTGGTCCACCAAGGTTTAAACTGTGAAACAGTACAAACTATACTACAACTCAAAACCACAGAACCACTGTGTGGGTTCCAAGGCCTCATTTTGGGAAATAAAGAATAGACCCACTGCCTCCCTAATTAGAGACATTTTCTTGAAAGTCAGAAGGCATCTGCCCGAGAAGCAAGAACCAACAGTCTGCATACAAATAAGCAAGATCTGTAAAAGCGATGTGCACACAAAGCAAGTTCTGGAACAAGACCAAAGTCCGTAAGTGGTCGAACAATCAGAGCTTTCCATTGGGGATTACAGCTAGTGAAGGCTAAGAGGATAACAAGTATGTTCATGTATTTACCTGGCCACATGGTACTGTAAGAAAGTTGTCCCAGTTTGAAATTTTGACCTGTAGAAAGAATTAACAAGTGGCTATGATGTAGATAACATTGATTAGTTAACTCAAGAAAGGAATAATTATTTTATTAACATATTAAAAACTTTGACTGGGAAAGACTTATGGAACACTCTATATATATATATATATATATTTACTTTCCCAGGACATACATCCTGGTACCCAATTTAGGCTGGATCGACCTGAGACACCCAATACCATGAGAAAAATCCATGCAACCAGCAGTGGGTTTGGATTATGGTATGTTGGAATTATGAGTCAGACTCGCAATGCCTAAGCAACGGATGCCGCATAGATATATATATATGTGTGTGTGTGTATATATATATATACACACACATATATATGTACACGCACATACATAAAAAAATAAAATAGGTCTGAATATTAACAAAAGCAAAAAAACTAAAGTAACATTTTTCAGGACATGCATATTTCCTGTGGCAACATGTGTGTGTGTGTGAGTCATGATCCATTTCACAATCACTAAAGAAGAAACACCAGGTTTGGGAACTTTAGTGTTACAGAAAAATTCTTTGGATACCATGGATCAAGAAAAAGGAAAAAATTACATTTCACATGATTTAGAAATTGAAGAAAACTGGTTTAAAACAGCACCATGTCTCGGAAGCTGAAATACTTTACCTAGATTAAATTCTGCAGACGTTAAGAAGATCAATAATGGAATGCACAGGGGTTAGAAAACTGGACCAGAGTCAGACAGCTAGAGGACAGCTACAAGACACTGGAGATACTTTGATCAGGTACATACACGAGGTAAAGTACTTGAGGTAAGGTACTGTGAGGTTCTGTAAAGGATCTGCTACACAGTATTGATGACAATGATGACAATAATGATGATGACAATGATGATGGTGACAATGATGATGATGACAATGATGATGATGACAATGATGATGATGATTTTGATGATGATGACAATAATGAATATGACAATGATGATGAAGACAATGATGAATATGACGATGGAAGTTTGAATACACTGAGGCTCAAGTGGAATATGAGAGATAATCATTTAGTCAATAGATAATTTCACTCTTGAAAAGACCAGTTTGGTGCAGGAGTTTTATCATCATCATCAGGTGCCTTGCCGACTCCACAATCTGCGATCTCCTGCAGCATGTATCAGTTCGTGTGCCGACACACCTCCATGCCATGCAACAAGACTGTCAAGAATCTTCTCTTGATGTCTTCCTTTATCCCTCCTTCCACAGATCTTTCCAGTGGTCACCATGTGTACCATTTTTCCTCTTCTCATAACATGGCCGAAAAATGATGACTGTCTCCTTCTGATGTCTGTGATAAGTTGTCTTTGGGCTCCCGCCTCTTTCAAAACCTCTTGGTTGCTCTTTTTAGCTGTCCAAGGTATTCTAAGCATTGTTCTGTAAATCCACGTCTCTGAGGCCTCAAAAAATTGTTTGGCCTGCCTACCGATTGTCCAGGATTCACAGCCATATGTTTAAACTGGATGAATGTAGAAGCAAGAATTTTTTTTCTAGCCCTCAGTGACAAAGATATATTGCATAAGATGTTTTTCATTTGATAAAATGCAGTTTTTGCTTGTCCTATTCGGTTTCTTATCTCAGTAATGAATCTTCCATCTGTTGTTATCCATGTGCACAGATACTTGAATTTCTGTACAAAATAATACCATTGACTTTTATTACACATTTAGGAATAATTCTTTTCTTTGATACCACCATTACTTCTGTCTTCCCATTATTTAAACTGAGGCCCATTCTTCCACTTTCTATCGCCACAATGTGTATCATTTCCTGTAGTTCTTTCTGAATTGTCGGTATCAAGATTGTGTCATCAGCGTAACATAAATTATTTATATTTAAAGATCTCATTATATATTCACTGTATAATGAAAACAAATCAGATGACAGTACACATCCTTGTCGTACACTCCTCTTTATGTTCTAAAATGTACCTAAATAGTTATTAATTCTCATAGCTGTTGTTTGCTGTCAATAAATATTCTTTATTTTTCGGAGATCTTTTCCATCAATGTTTAATTTTCTAACTGTTTGATTACTTCTTCATGTTTCACACAGTCTAATGCTTTTGTATAGTCTATGAAGAATAAGTACAAATCAATCTTTCTGACAATGTCCTTAGGATGTATATGGAACTGTTTGTACCTTTTCCTTCTACAAATCTACATTGTTCATTGCTGATTTCTGGTTTAATTTTGTTTATTCTTCTCAAAATTATTCTCAGCAAAATATTAGTCATGTGACTCATAAGACTTAATGTGTGATAGTCTTCACATTTTAAAGTGCCTGGTTTCTTTGGCAGAGATATAAATATGAATATTGAAGGATGTGCCTTTTCAGAGGAAAGGCAAGATGGAGATTTAACCAGATTGTGACCGGTACCATCAGTATTGGAACTCTGCACTGGCTACTGAAGATGAGGATGGAGCATGCATGGGAATGCCCTGAGTGCTGTGATGTCAATTATTGACTCAACTGAACTCTTGGTCTGCTTATTGTCTATTCCCATTAAACTCTTTTGTGCATGTAGTTTCTGTCTCTGTTATCTAGCATTCTTTCTGTATACCATAAGCACTGCGGTCTTTTAGCCTACATGAAGATAATTAATGGTAATTTAAACAGACCACGAATTTCAATGCTGCTTCTCACAAAGTTGTAGGTAGTTAAAACTTCTGGCGCCATAATGAAATCATCCCTAGCATGTCACAAGATATTAAAAGTGTGGCTCTTGTACCAAATGTTCAAGAACTCTGAAGGTAATATATTTACCACATCAGAACTCTCTACTTCATCTGCTGCTGAAGGAAAAACAGACATTTTTAATATGAAAATTACATATGAGGAGAGCTTTGATTTTTAAATGAATAGCATGTCTACGAATATTACCTTCTTATGGTAAGCAACCAAGTCATGCAACGAGCGATGAACTTTAGGTTCACCGATTATGATAAATTTTCCATTTCTCAGCTGGTCTATCATGTAATGACGACATCTCGTTTCAGCTCTAAAGGTTTGAATTTGGTACAATTAATGACAACAGAAATCAAACATTTGTTATTCTTATACTTTGAAATAATAGCAGATATCTTTGAAACAAGTGAGTAAATATTTTCTGTTTATGATCTTCCACAGTCAAGCACTGTGCTGACTTGATCTGTAATAAGTACTATTTAGTAGTCATCAGTACAAACAAAAACTTGTATTACTGCACTCTCCTAGACATGATGAAAGAAGTCAATAAGAGTAGAAATAGGCCAGAGTTGACTACTCAGCCTGTGAAAACCTGTTGCACTCAGATGATAGTTATATAATTATAATTTGTCATGTGTGGAAGCCCACTGTGCCTGCAACATATTAGTTCAGTTGCTCTGGTGGTGGTAAAGTGTTGAGAGGAACACTACTACTCATCACAAAAGCATTGATGCACCCCGAATTTGCGACAATGACTTGGGGGTGGGGAGGGGGTGAGGGCAGAGCCATAATCATTTGGAGGCAACAAAGTTCTTCTTCTTCTTCTTCTTCTTCATCTTCTTCTTCGTTTTCATCTTCATCATCTTCTTCATCACTGTTGTCTTCTTCATCATCGTCATCTTCTTCATCATCATGATCTTTATCTTCATCTTCGTCACCCTTGTCAGCCTCCTCTTCTTCTTCATTGTCCACCTCTTCTTCTTCTTCATCGTCTTTTTCCTCCTCCTTCTTCTTTTCTTCTTCTTCTTCTTTTTCTCCTCTTCATGTTATCTGGCTATAAACTCCAGTGAAAAATGCTGTTTCTTCATTTACGTCTGGATTTTGATCTAGTTCCAGAACTTAAGTTTTGCATGCACATCCATTTTACAAATCTGGCTTATTTGTATGCAGAATGTTGGTTCCTCACATTGCAGGCAGATACACTCCACTTAAAAAAGAAAAAAAACACTTAATTCTCACTCTCTTCCTCTTTTCCCAGGTATATACCCCCCCCCCCCCCCCCACATTATTATTCTCTCTAAACTTTCAGGGGACCAAAATATTTAAATTTTCTGTTTTTTATTGTCTTTAATAGCCAACCTTCTTCAATATTTAGTTCTTGAAGTATGGATGCATTTGTTCTTTTCTTTACCCATTACATTCTTAAAACCCGTCTATAACATTTGTATTCAAAGGCATTTATGTACTGTCCAGCTTGTTTAGTAAGTGTCCAGGTCTCACAGGCGTATGTTGCAATGGGAAAGATGCATGCTGTTAGAAATCAAATTTTTTTAGCTCTGTCTATCCCACTACATAATTTTTTCAGTTAATTTAGTTTAAAATCAGTACAGTATAGTTAGTTTATTATAATGTTTAAATAACTTCAAAGGTTCTCAGTGTTTTGTGGGATTTAAAAGAGCTAGTCAGAGTGGAAATTGCATGGAGTCAGATTTTAGCAACTAAAGATTGTACCCAAGTACTTGTTTGCTTTACTAACTGGAAATAAAGATGATAATATACATACCTGAAAGAAAGTGTGTATCCATAGCGGCTCTCACTGACACGAATCAAAAAGCAACCGACAATTTTGTTTTTCAACAATCTCTCAGCCTCACTATTTAAAAAAAGAAACATAAAGCTACAGTGAATCAGGGGTATTACATATATGAAAGATCATAATATTAAAGAATTTATAATCTTCAGAAGTGGGAGGTTTTCTCCTATTAAATCGCCTTTGAGGTTGACCTAAAAATTGGTTACCGAAAATGTTTCTTGGAATTATCTGGCAATGTGGAAGAGAGCTTGCCCCCATATCATTGAATGTTCAAAGACATACTTTTCACACACAGCAGTGTCTTATGGGTCTACCACAGCTTTTATTTGTTAATTATTATCCTAAACGCATCATTCAGTATTGATCCATCTCTTACTGAAAACATATTTTACATGTTTCTTAAAGAAATTCAAATCTACAAGATATAAAGGTCAGGTTATGTTGTATGTCATGGATTTTAATATCCAAGTTAAACATGCTATTTCATCGTCATCATCATCAACATCATCATCATCATGTGCTGTTAAATGTCACTTAACTCTTAGAGTCTCAGGGGGTTTAGCAACACAGGCCCAAGGGGTAGTCAAGAAAGACGTAAAATCAGTGCATCTTGCATTTATTGGGCTTCTAGGTACAAATCTATGAACGTATTACGAATTCCTTGGGACTCAAAGAGTTAAATATCATGGATGGAATCCATTCTAGCACCTTTAGCCTCTCTCATCACCATTCACCAGGGTTTCTTTTGGACATTACCTCTTCAGTCTACTTGTTTTTCATTTAAGTGCTTGTTTCATGAGTCTTTCTCCATTTCACCACAGGATGTGCCCATTATACTGCCATCTGTTTTGTCTTATAGCTGTTGATATCAGCGGTTGTTCAGGCATTTCTCTTATTTCTTCCCTTTTCTTAAATTCATCCTATTTAATGTGTATTAACTTTCTTCAGCATTTGTTTGTACTTTTGCTCCATTTCTTTTGTAGTTTCCAAACTTTTGCTGGTGTGTGATAAAACTAAAAAAGCACTGGAATTGACTTTTTTTTTTTTTTTTTTTTTTTACTTGGGTTTAAAACTATATAATTTGGAGCTCCTTATTAAAATAGGATTTTTAAAAGCTGCTGTTGCCTTTCCAAAGTGTATCATATTTATTTCTTTGCATTGCCTTGGCAAGTAAAACTGCTACTAAATAAGTTGTCTCCTCTGTGAATTACGCTTGATTTGGTGCTGATGCAGTATCAGAAGTTACCAGTTCATAATATTATATTTACTTTTAAATTAAAGTTAACTGGCTTTCTACATCTTATAATCTATGTTGTATGATGTTAATAATCATGTCCCCTACAGCCTTTTGTCTTGTGTATGTTAATCATTTCTTCTTTAAATGTTTTTCATGCTACAATGTAAAAACTGTCTCCTTTTTTCCTCCTGCTCCTGCTGCTGCTGCTGCTCCTCATTCTTCTTCTTCCAGTTCACTGGCTGTAAAAATCTGGCAGAAAGTTCTGGTTGTTCATCCACTGCTGAACTTTAGTCTTGGTTCACAGCTTGAGTTTTGCATACACAACATCCATTCTACGGATCTGGCTTTGTTGTATGCAGACTGTTAGTTCCTTGCCTCTCATGTAGATGCACATTGATGTGAAGGAAACAACCCTAATTAGTCAACTTTGATGGCTTGCTTGTTAGGAGAGCAATGAGTCTATTATTTTTGTTTCTCCCGCAGTTGGGACTGGAACATGCATGGGAGCAAAACTGTCTAATATCTTTTCCCTTGGTCTCTTATCTGTCTATTCTCCTCAACTTCCTCATTGTCAACACATAATCCAGTTTTTCACTTTGTATGCTTAGAATAATTAATGTAGACTGCCTTCTTCTGATACAGATAAACTAGTTTAATCAATCAAAAAATACATTTCTGTGCTGTTTCTTACGTGCGTGATATAATCCCATGGAACCAGTCAGCAAATTTGTTTTGTTGTGGGACTAGAACATTTTCAGTTTGTGTTGTTTTAAACCAGTTCACAGCAGCTTCCTTAGTGTCTGCACGGCTTGTTTCTTCCACCTGGTAAACACAATTTAATAAATAAAATCAACATGACCAAACCGACTGATTGGGATAAATAAGAATTTTACACACACACACACATGCATGCACACACACACACACGCACACACGCACACACATATATATTTAAAAGCTGCATATCCTTCACCGGAAATTGCTGAACCAGCCCCAGGATTGTTTGGCTGTTGTGATTTTTCTAGGCAAATTTTGCGTTTAGTCGTTAGCTACTGCTTACTGAATGGTCAGCTCTTGATACCACTGTCAAAACCAAGGCAAGACAAACCGTTCGGAGCTGGGATCAAACCAAATCATAAGAGGTGTCTAAGGAGAGTTGAACTCAACTATTCCATTCCATAGAAAGTTTTAGTTACAAAAACCTAACCGGTTAGGGACCATTGTGAAAAGAAACAAGGATAGCTAAGCCAACCAAGACAACATAAGGCTCTTGGAAAATTTATGCAGTTGGCATACAGAGAGCTGCAGGGGAAGGCATAAGATAGAGCGGCATTATGTAGGTTGGTAGAGGACCTATGCTCCAATTGGGTATATAAGATGATTACAATAATTATAGGTCCTTACCCACATGGAAGTGCATGTGACACCTGACTGGTGTAACTGTTACAGGTGCTTAATGGTAACTTCTTTTAGAGGTTGAACAGGGTGTCTGGGATCTGCCTTGTAGGTCTTCCGTCCAGATTGAGATTTTTAAAATCTCAAGATGGAGGTTTCTATGGCAAAGTAATTAATCCATTTACCTCATGCTCTGAAGGTTGTGGGTTTGTTTCACGGTGGTGCCTTTCAGTTCACGAGTACAGTTTTTACAGAGATCCCTGGGAATCATCACCAGGACTACAGAGGTCGTGCTCTGTCTGACGCTCTCAGCAGGCAGCCAGCTGTTTTGCGGAGAGAGACTGAGCCAAATGGGATAAAACCCAGTGCAGTGAAGTCAGTCCTCTAATTTTTACCTTTACCTTTTATCTTTTAATCTCAAGATGGTTTTTTAAACCTTTAGCTAGCAGCACGGAACGAACAAACTGATTGATCAATATATTACACATACGCATGCATACACGCACGCACACATATATATTAATTTGAAACGAATTATGAATCTCCACTATTTAATTTTTTTTGTCGCATCTTCGGAGGTAAATAAATCACAGTAAAACATTTATGTGAACTTTCACCTGTGTGCCAGTAGTTGCCAGGTTCTTAGATGGTTTGGATTGGTCTGTTGATACTTCAACGCTGTCTGAGAAGATACAAAATATCAAAATTAGACTCAATGTCAAATCAAGTAATGTTTTTTTTTTTTAAATTAGAGTTAATTTTCAGAAAGAAACATGTCAAATTGATTTAATGAAACTATGACTTCACAGCATAATCATATTTCAAAATTTATTTACATATAAAGGTTAATGTATCACTGCATATTTAAAACATGCATTTATATATTATCATAATATTATTTTAATAATATATTTTATAGTATTTATAACATATTTAAATAAAACATTATTTATAAATGTGCGTTTAGATTTTGAAAATTCAAAATACACATTTATAAACTAAGAATTAAATTTAAAATAAATACACTGTTGTGTTTAATGGATAACAAAATTATGGCTTTATAAAACAATTGCCTAGTTTACATTGTGAAACACAATCTTAACAAATGAGATAAAATGTCTTAGAAATACTGCTAATATAACAAATGTCATTGAAATATCCCCCAGATTAAATGACTGGTGATATGACTGGACTGTCCAGGTGACAGTTAAAACAATGAGATGTGTTAAAGAAATACAATGAGCACAAACCAAGAGGAAGACCATGTAAAAAATCAAATGACAGCTCATGAATTACATTGGACAAATGCTGAGTAACATACACAGCATGTTGAATAGAACACAAAGAAGATGCTTCTATTTTCTCCTCTACACTTCACTGAGGTACTTAGAAAAGAAGAAGAATGAGGATGAGGTGGAGAAAAGAGAAGAAGAAAAAAAATGTAATCTTCTTAGTCCATGCCTTGTGGTGTTGTTAGTCATGTCTATCCAAAACCTTCAGTCCCCTGCACTTTCAGTCAACTCTGACACAGATGATCCTCCATGCCATGATGTCAAACTGTCCAGCATCTTTTTTCTTGGTCTCCCTCTGCCTCTCCTCCCCTCTAACTTTTCTACAGTCACAATGTACTTGTTTTCTCCTTCTCATCACATGACTGAAGAATGTAGGATGTCTTTTTTCTGATGTGGGCAATCAGTTCTCTCCATGAGTCAGTTTCTTTCAAGACATCTTTATTATTCTTTGTATCTGCCCAGCGTATTAGCATATTCTCATCACTCATCTATAAAACCACATCTCTGCAGCTTCCAAATAATTTTTCACTGAAAAAACTTTCTTAGGCTTTTGTAAATAAAAAATAATAATAATAAAAAAAAAAGTGAAGTAAAATAAAAGTAATTTTTAAACTTTGTGGTGTAATAGCATAATTTTTTTTAACAAGTGACATTCAATTAGTTATATAGACAGTATAAAGCCTACTGTATCATTAACTGACTTTACTTCTCAGAACATTTTCTGATATCCACTTTAGGCTAGGCTATCCTGGAAAGTACAATAAAGAAACAAATGCAGGCATAGCACATTTCAGCACATTGTCACTAGGGTGGTAGACACAGCCCTGCTGTGATTGCTAATCAACAATTCTCATAGAAACAAAATTCATTTATTATTGTGGAAATAACCAAGAAGGTAAGACATTACTGCAGAATAGAAAGGAAGTGATTAAGATCTTTTTTCCTTTCAAAGAATATAAATTAATAATTAATGTTAACAAAACAGAGACAAAATCATGAAACAATTCACTTCACTCCAAAGAAATAAATCAAATTTTTGGTCTGAATGTTCTAATATGTAACTTATCACAGAGATATTGAAATAATAAATCGTCTTATGGTAAAAAAACATACATATTTACGTAAAAAAAGAATAAGAAACAAAATTATTCTCAGTACCTGAAGTGCCAGATTTTATTGCCTTTTCTAGCATTTCCAGTGCTTCTCTTTCTTGCTGCGCTGCTTTCTTACGTCTCTGAAACTCTTTGCGTCCAAGATATCCCCTGGCAGCTGTACAGCGGAAGGCATTTCTCATTATTATTTAAAATTAATACACACTTAACAGCAATATGTATGATGTGTTAAACAGGAGTCACAACATTACAGCACCTACCGAGTTTTAAAGACATCATTTAAAATGTTTTATGGCTACATAGTGATGACATAGGAGCATTATATAGCCATGAATCAAAGAAAACTTTGCAATCACTTAAGAAAAGTTTTTTACAGAACAATTTTTTTAGAATACTATGGGTCAAGAATTTTACAAGATATGAACATCAAAGAGAGGAATCTTATAAACAGCATCATATCTCAGAAAATTAATATTAAACAATGCAGGTGTTTTGAAAGAGACAGGACATGGAAGATAGTTCCTAGAAGAGCAGGTAGGGCACAAAGACAGACACTTGACACTGGAGACACTTTAGGCATATAAACATAAAAAATATGACAAAAATTAAACATTTAAAGGTTTGGTACTAGTTTCAACTTCTTTTGGATCCACAGATTTGGTGAAGCCCAAATATAGTTAACAAAAATATTTTCCAGGCATGAAAGAGTCACAGACTTCTCAATGTCTTGGTGTACATGAAAAAAACTAATCTGATGAGAGCGTGCTAGAATGCCCTTCCTTCTTTGTGAAATTCTGCTTTGTTTCAAGATGAACCGGACAACAATTACATTACATTTATAGTGTCATTGTAATTTTCATGTGAAGTGTTTGGCTTACATATATTCTATACTACTGAATAATGAAGTCAAGTGTGTCAACTAAAGGGCATAAATATCACAGCTATACTGTAAATGGGCACAAAATAATTAATTCACTCGGACGAATGATAAAGAAGAAAATTATCTGGCACTATTTAAAGATCCAGTTGATCTCAGAGATATAGAAGTAGTCCCAGTAATTTTTTGCTACAAAATTGTGAAGTATTAGACTCTTGCGTATTCTTTCCTCATCAGTAATTTTGGGGAGTGACCAGTTTTCCTTCCCAGACTGATCTCAAAATAGTTGTAGGGTACCCATTTTTATTAGACTCATCTCCAGACCCATAATGCTTAGCATTCAACCCATTCAATTGTCTTGGTGTCAGCCTCTGTGGCTTAGGTGCTGCAAACACGCTTTGTAATTCTGTATTATCTGGTTTGATTTAATAAATTGTGATTTTGCATCAGACCATTTTATATTGATTTCAACAATGGAATAGAGTGTTGACTATTCAGCAAGCAATGACAAACTACTGAATGTAAAACTGCCCTTAAAACAAAACAGCCAAAAAAAGCTATTGCTGCTTTGCCAGTATGAATAATACTTTCTTTCTTCGTGCTTTCTTGGCAACCTAATAATATAGTACAATATTTAAAGTGAAAACTACAGGAAGTAATAATAGAAGATGACAATACCTCTTTGTAATTGTATAGCTGCTGAAGTTAACTTGTCCAGTAATTCTGTCAGCAATTCTGTGTGTGTATACTTTAGAAAAACTTTTGTTTTCCTGTTAATAATGAAATGAGTTATTTATAGTTATTAATTATTATCAAAATAACAAGCCATCACTGTTAACTCTATATACAGATGCATACAGGTGCACACAGACACATAACATTTCAACACCATTAGCTTTTTTTATTTAGCTGTTAATTCTTTGTTACTGCCATTCACCACATAACATAATATCAGTTCATTCATCCATTCATTCATCTATTCATACATTCTTGTGTACATCTATCCACCAGCACACACACATCCCATTTACACAGACACAAATACGCACATATAAAATTACCTGCAAAAAATCCTCAAAGTAAATTGACAGAAACAAATGGAGATGTACCAATGTTGGCCAGATATAATGAATACATGAATTTCAGTGTGAGATAATAATTGTTCTTTAAATTTTCAAATATATTTTTAATTTAAATAAAACAATACAAAATAAAATTAATTCTGTGGAATACTGAACATCTTGCATTAAAAAAAAAAAATAAATTAGAATCTTATATTTTACCACACACCAAACTTCTCTTTTCTTTATGTATTCTAATGTAATTGACTAACCCGAGACACCAGCCAGTAATATTTGCAAATTTCAGTATAGCAACACAGTTGTCTGCTGTTCCTGACATCTTTAGATCTACAAGTATTTTGTATCTGCAAAAATAAAAAATAAAAATGGTTTCATTAATGTATTGTTAAAAGATACATGATTCCTAATGAACACAGTAATAACTGTATCTTCTTCTTCTCTTCCACCATTTACCTCAGCGAGGTACTGGAGGGGGAGGGGAGGAGGGGGGGGGGGGGTGTAAGGATCATTTGTAAGCTTTTTTCAATGCATTGTACAAGTTGGTGTTAATTTCTGTTAGGTTGCTCATGACGATGTCACTCCATCTCTTGCATGGTCTTTCCCTTCCTCTCTGTTCACTATATTTCTTCAGCGTGGCTCTCTGTGGCAGTTGGTACCAGGGCATTCTCATCAGGTGGCCAAACCATCTCATTTTTTGTTTTTTAATGAATTGTATGACTGGTTTCAGTCCTAGTCCTCTTCTGATTTCTTCATTCCTGATTTTATCACTTCTTGTCACACTAGCACTGTATACATGTATAAATCTTATTTGTAAACAGTATAGTAATTTTCACTATGAGATTTAAATTGTACAGAACATGCCTCCTACACAAATGCCAGTTTCTTATCAAAATTGTGTTTGTATTCTGAATATGAGATGTGGACAAGAGTTAACATACTCACTTCTAAGTGCCATTTTCTTGTTCTTTTACTATCAATTTTGCACACTGTCACTTAGTTTTTAAGTTTATTACATTTTATTGCATACCCTGAAAATTTTGGCTGCATCTGATTTCGTAATCAATTTACTTTTATCAGCTGCTTTTTTGAAAAATTGCCTAATTTTTTTCTCCCTGACATTCAGTGGTATTCTTAGCATTTTTTCTTTGAAATCATAATTCAGCTGTAATAAGATGTTTCTCAGATGGTCTGCTAGTGTCCACGTCTCACATGAATACAAAAGTATTGGTTCTATATAGCTTTTAAAATCAATTTAGTATGTTAAACTAGTATATCCCATAAAACACAAGGTAGACGAAGAACAAGATGGAAATATAACATCAGAGAAACTCTACAACAGCACAATGTGTCTACAGTCAAGGTGACCAGAAGAGTACGAAGCAGAACCTTTTATCTCCCTCACCACCTCAAGCTGTAAAAGAGGAAGTGAAGAAGAAGTCCTTTACTTTAACTCTCTTTATATCTGAAGCACTTGTTACTTGGAAGTGAAGAAGAAGTCCTTTACTTTAACTCTCTTTATATCTGAAGCAGTTGTTACTTGGAAGTGAAGAAGAAGTCCTTTACTTTAACTCTCTTTATATCTGAAGCAGTTGTTACTTGGAAGTGAAGAAGAAGTCCTTTACTTTAACTCTCTTTATATCTGAAGCAGTTGTTACTTGGAAGTGAAGAAGAAGTCCTTTACTTTAACTCTCTTTATATCTGAAGCAGTTGTTACTTGAAAGTAATAATTGCTGTGTAAGAAGTTCAACTAAAAACTGTAATGTACAGAAAGAATCAAAGTAACAATGGGTGAAAGTGAGCTAATTTAGAAATTAAATGGCACATAAAGAGTTAAGAAATAACATCATTTTTGAAATTATCAAGAGAAACATGGTAATCACTTAGTACTGCAAGCATGGACTCTTTGAGTCCCAGAAGATCATAGCTGAATTAAAGCAATAATGATAACAATAAAAGCAATGGTATACTGCCTCCATAGGGTCCAGATGTACAGCACATTTATTAATCACTTAGTACTGCAAGCATGGACTCTTTGAGTCCCAGAAGATCATGGCTGAATTAAAGCAATAATGATAACAATAAAAGCAATGGTATACTGCCTCCACAGGGTCCAGATATACAGCACATTTAGGTGACTTGAGTTGTTATGTTGATTTAGTTTGTCTGACTAAAACTCAAGATGTACACATATACAAAACATATGGACTGGTGCACATGAGTAATAAGTAACCATAGAAATGAGGTGTCTGAGAAAGAGGAAAAGGACGTATAGAAAGAGGTAAACCAAGAACAAGATGGGAAAGATAGCATCAGAGAAAATCTACAGCTCCACAATGTGTCTATCCTCGAAGCAGCCAGAAGAATATGAATCAGGAACTTAAATCTTCTTCAATACCTGAAGTGGTAAAATAAGACAAGAAGAAGAAGCACATGAGTAATATCCACTACACATGGTGCACTGGGACTGAAAGAGTTAGCAAAGCATGCTATACTGAAAACAGAAAATCTTACACACAAAAAAGGAAGTTATCTCAGCATGGGCACAAAAACATTCAAAGAAGTCAGTTACTGAAATTAACGTATGGCAAGATCAAGTGCAAGAATGGGGAAAAATTACCCCATACAGATATGCAATACTCTCTTAAAAAAAGCAGCTCACAAAATAGGGCTAATTATCAATCAAGATTAGACATAATTCATGATAATAGCAAGACGGTGAATGGGTATAAACTCTGGCCACATACGAATCAATAATATGTAAATCAAACAAACAGAAATATAAGTACTTGGATGTAAACTTCAACTGCTCGAACATGGTGAGCGAAGAAAAACAATATAGATTACAATCTGGAAATAAAGTATACTGTGTCCTGTAATATCTGCTAATGTCAAAGTCTCTGTCTCACAACATCAAGATCAGAATGTACAAAATGTTCGATAAGACCAGTTGTTTTATATGGCCCTGAAACTTGGAGAACAGATAAAAGAGATGAAGCCTTATTTCAAATTTCAAGTCTTACGATAAATCTTTGGACCCATCAAATATGCTAACAGTGGGCATTGGCGAGTGAGAGGAAACAACAAAATTCATAACCTGTTTAAATCACCTTTGGTCGCTGGCATCATTAGGGCTAATAGACTGAAATGGCTGGGGCATAATGAGAGAATCTAAGATGACAGAGAAGCTAAAACTATAAAGACAAGGAAGCTGAGTGGTCATAGACCAAGAGGCAGACCAAGAAGAGGATGCGAAGATAATGTTCAGACAGACCTGCAAATACTTGGTGTCACCAACTGGAAAGAGAAGACTGACCAAAGAGATGAATGGAGGCGGGTGATACCTGCAGCAATGAACCTCAAGGGTTTGGAATGTTGAAGAAGAAGAAGAAGATATGCAATGATGTTGGAAGACCTTTAAAAAGCTCAAATGGATAGAACTGTTGAGAATAGAAGTAGAAGGACATGACCAGATGAAATTTTTGCTTTTGCTACTTCTTCTTCTTTGTTGTTGTTGCCCTTATCAAGATGGTTGCATTTTGTTTTGCCGTTTACAGCTAGGCTTCAATATCTGCACCTTTTGGCCCAACACAATTGATTTCAGCAAAACCCTATTTAGTCATCTTTTACAACAAGCTTGTTTGGGGAGCAATGGGTAGGGTCTACCTTCCCTCCAAAATATGGCCAGGAACCACATGTGAAATCATATAAAATGATATTCAGTTTTCTTACTGACATTGAAAATCATTTTATTTAGAAAACATATGTGTAGTGAAATATGTGTTTTAAAAGAATATCATTATTATGTGAATGTATAATTACATTACATGTATCAGTCACTCACTTCTCTACAAAACTGTCAAAAGTTGGCCTGACTGCAAATCCTTTCCTGCGGATTTCAACAGTTTCAAGCATTCCTGTATACAAAAGCTGAAATAAGTATCAAAACAAATAAATCAAATACAATTATGTGTAGCTATAAAAGATAATAAAACTGATTTAATTTGTTTGATATTTTCTTAATCAAATAAGAACTAGCCAAATTCATTGACCCACATGATAAAGCATCTACAAAATACGGCATGGTATTGGACAAGAATAAATATGGACAGGACCAAAATAATGACAAATAATCCAGCAATTTGATTAGTTCTTTTGTATGATGATACTAACTGTTTTAGGAAGTTTTTTGTTTTTATTAACCTAAGTATTGTTTTCTGTGATGATGTTCCAGAACTTTCTCTGGAATAAAATGTAATTTACAGATTGTTCTAATATTTTATTTATACATTACTAAGTGGTTCAGGTTCATTTCTGATTCATTTTGGATATATTTTATCAAGTTTTCCTTGAGCACTGTGACAGAAGGTGGAAAAATTATTTTTTCGTTTTACAAACTTTTCTAAGCATGTCATCTAATTAATTACTAATATTAACCTACTAACATAATTATTTGTTGTAGCAGTATTCTAATCTTTTTCCTTAACATTTCATGGTCACTTTGATATATAATATGTTTATTTTGCACAGCATACATTTTAGTATGGTTTGTTTTGTGTTATACTCCTGAAATTTCAAAGTTTCATCATCACCCCTTGGTTCTTTGATGCAACACCCCCCCCCCCCCCAGTACTGAAAGAGTTAAGAAGCAAGAGTAATTGCCTGAGACTGAAAGAATTGAAGTAGTAACTATTAAGAGCTTAAGAAGTTTTAGTAATAACTGCCTGAGATGGAAAGAACTGAAGTAGTAACTGTCTGGAGCTTAAGGAGTTTCAGTAATAACTACCTGAGTTTGAAGGCATTACATCAGGGCTATTCAACTGGCAGCCTGCGGGCCACATCTGGCCCGCAGAGGCCTAGCGAGAAGCCCCCTGATCGTTGCCACTGAAATGTAGTGTATTAAAAAAAAAACATTCAATCAATCAATTAATGTTTCTGTATAAATCTTCAAAAACCAGTTGTGTCGAATGTGACAATAAGAAATGTTTGTGAGGGATCTCTAAATGCAAAGATACACGGGAAAGGGCATATGAACAGACAATACCACAACTGCGGGAATGCCTCAGGCATGAAAATATGTAATTAGTTCATGGTAAAAGTTACTTCAGATAGCAGAATTCGCCTGTTTGGAGCCAAAGTTAATAAGATGGATGGGCTGGAAAGAATCAAGTAAGGGGTAGGAAGCAAGCATAACAGTCTTAGAGTATTACATTTACACATTCGACAGTTTTCTCAGTTGTAGTGTTAATAATCTTCCCAGGCCACTGGCCCACGACAATGCCCATTTTCAACATTTTGGCTCGCGAGTAAAGTTTGTTGAATAGCCTTGCATTATATCAATAGCTGTCCCAGGCTAAAGGAGTAAAAAAAATATATTAGTTTTTCTTCATATTGTTAAGATTAATCACAATGAAATATGCCAACCTGAGCAAGAACATACTGCTTGTCAAGGTCACCTGGCTGCTTCAAGTGGTTTGGTTTCAGACATCGGACAAATATGGGAGTCGATGAGGTCATTCGCTCCATGAGGATTTTCAGAGAATTCTGAAATTTGAGTACATAAACATCAGTTTAATTACCATCGTTATCTGTTGCTTGCTGAGAGCTGGAGCAGCGCAGCATGCATGCTTGATGACTTAATAGTCATTGGTGTAACCCTTTTATCCCAGAAACACTAAAATAAATGGGCCATGACCCCATTGGAATTCCATTTAAAAAAACATTCTTAAAAGCATCAATAATCAGCCAGTCCTTTACAGAACATCACCTTCCTCAAGGTACCCCTAAAAGTATCCATTTCCCTAGCCAGCTCTCCAGCCATGTGCTTTAAATGAAAATGCATCTTTAATGTCATGTATCCATATTTACGGAGGTCGACCCCTGCCTCGCTTTCCACGAACCGCACCCTCTATCACTGTCTTTTCCAACAAACTGATGTTTGATGTGGCCAAAATACTTCAACTTTTGGGACAGGAAACTGTTTAGTAGCCAGTTCTCCTTGATATTTAACTCCTGTAGAATGTCTGTTTCTCCTCTTCTTGTACCATGGAATTGTGATAATTTTTCTGTAATGTTTTAATTCAAAAGCTCCAATCTTTTTCTTCAGTGATTGAATGAGAGTTCAAGACCCACAACCCTAAACTATCACAGGAAAAATTAATAATCTCAAGATGTTTACTTTAACTGATTTACAGGTGCTTTGCCATAGGTTCTTCATGCTGTTTAATCTCTGCATCTCCTTAAAAAAAAATTAAATATTTGTGTGTGTGTGTGTGTGTACAAGTAAAAGTAAGTAAAGATCCCTTTCCACGCCTTTAGGCGTATCGGGCATATGGGAAGAGCACCCATATTTTTACAGACCATCAACACTTGGTGGGTAATGTGGTCAGCATTACGCCGGCTGTCTATACTTTCCCAGGACAGCCCATCCTGGTACCCATTTTAGGCTGGGTCAACCTGCAACGCCCCATACCATGATAAAAATCCACGGTGTGTGTGTACAGGTCACTAATAAATTCTGAAAAATTAAATTATCAGCATTTTTTCTCAAAATATATAAAGATATCATGAAGGGAGTAATCAATAACCATAGGCACAAATTATTCAATAAACTCCATGATGTATGAGGCAAATATTAAAGCTAGTTCTAGAACTTAGTCATATCTATAATGGCGGCTCTTTTGCCTTGACTACAAGTAGCCTGACCATGAAGGTGATGGTGGTGGTAAAAAAAAGAAAAAAACCTGGCTAGAGACACAGATTTTCCCCCAGGCATGCTTTCTAAATGATTTCATGAACATGTTTAAGAAGATAGAGACAGGATGTGATTGAAGACAATAGTTAGATTATCTGAGGAAGTCTTGTCTGAAAGGAAAAAGTTTCATTTTTGTGTCGGGACACTCTAGGGTAAGAGTGGACTGGCTTGCTGTCAGGTCTATGGTAGGCACTGGAAAAACAATGGACCAGGCTAATTTTCTCAATGCTCTTAAGGAGACAGGACAAGCAGATTATACAGGAGACGATGGTGAATCAGCAACCTTTTAAAGGTTCATGTCAAAATAGGTATTGTCAGGCATGAACATTATGCAGTCAGCCAAACAAGAATAGTAATCCAACACAGAACTGGTGTTATCAGTTGCCACATACTGAGGGAGATACTGAAGATGGGATCTGAGCACTTATGGATTTGTCCTGTGTGCAATCAATACGATCGACTGATTAACTAATTATTAACCAACTAACATATCTCTTTAATTGTAAGCATCAAGTTTAGAAATAACAGAATAGTGCTATGAGATCTATACTGACATTTGCTTCCCTATAAAGCCAATTAAAAATAAAATATTAAGAGAGATATTTACTGAATGAAACTAACAGCCTAACTACATTTAATTTATCAAATTACCTGGTATGATATTAGATAACTTTATCACATAAAAAACATCCTCATATTACCTTAAACTGTGCTCCAACAGTCAGCTTTCTTTTAACAGCATCATCATTGATATTCACAGGTGCTTGCATTTTCTGGAAGTTTAAAAAAAAATGTGTTTTATTAAAAAGAAAAAAAAAAGGAGAAAATATAATACAGTTAGTTGTTAACATACATTTGAACATATAATTTTGTGATATAAGTAAAAAAAAAAGTAAAGCTCCCTTTTCCACGACTTTAATCATAAAGGGGATATAGGGCTAGACCTATATTTTTATAGACAAGTCGGCATAAGATGGATGATGTCGACAGCATCACACCGGTTTCCTTTAATTTTGTGATATAATAATACATAATTAATTGTTGGGGGCTGCCAGGTTGTAGCAGCTAGGTGCTCACCTGGGAATCAGAAGGTCATGGCCTTTATGGTGCTGAACTTCTTTTTTTTTTTTTTTAATAACCCTGGCTCTCAGGTCGATCCAGCCTTAAATGGCTACCAGATAAAAGTCCTGGAAAGTAAAGATGGCCGACATGATGCTGATCTTATCACTCACTAAGAAAAATAAAATTTAGGTCTAGCCCTATATGCCCAATATGCCTGAAAGTGTGAAAAAGGGTCCTTTACAATTCATTGTTAACAGACATTGGAATACATACATTTGTGTCTTCCTTTTCGATGATGGATGAGCGCACGCAAATTTCTACAGCAGGGATGGGAATCTCCATGGTGAAATGGTCAAGCCATTTGCCTTGTGCTCTGAAGGTCATGGGTTCGTTTCACTGTGGCGCCGTTCAGTTCATGAGTGCAGTTTTTACGGATATCCCTGGGGATGGTTGCCAGAGCTACAGACATCATGCCCTGTGCAATGCTCTCGGCAGGCAGCTAACTGTTCAGTGGAGAGAGACTGAGCCATATGGGATCAAACCCAGGGCAAAGATGTCGATTCTCTCTCCTTTACCTTTACAACAGGGATAAATTTGTTGAGAATCCTTGCATTTGGCATTATACATTCTAACTTTTTTTGTAACTTTCTCTTCTTTTGCTCTGTAAATTGCTTTAAAATGTTGTCCAAATCTCTGTAATGAATTTTAATATTAACTCTTTCTGTTACAAGTAGTTTATTTCATTAAAATACCTTGATAAAAATGAGTTCAAGTAACCCGAAAGTTAAATTTAGACACGTACAATGAGCAAAACTATAGGTTTACATCAAACAATGCACATATGCATATATGGATGCACTCATGCGCGTAGGTGCACACACCCACTCCCCACCCCCATGAAATTTTCAGAAGAGAACCTTATAGAAACTTGCAGTTATTAATACATTTTCAAATGCTGCTCCTAACAGTAATGCAAGCAGCCTTCGCTGCAGCCTTGGCAAGAAATAAAAAATGCAGTCACAACTTTTCATAACCACAAAGACAGTTATTGATTCTGTGTATATCCCCCTCCCCCCACACACACACACTCATGTCTGGGTGTTTATATGTGCAGCAAGGAAGGAATTCTTTCTTTGCGTTCACTGGCTGTAAACTTTGATGGGTAGTGCTGGTTATTCGTCCACTTCTTGACTCTAGTCTTGTTCCAGGACTTGAGTGTTGTGTGCACATTCCTTTTCCAGATCTGACTTATTTGTGAGCAGACTGTTGGTTTCTTTCAGGAAGATGCACTCGGACTTTAAAGAAAATGTGATGACCACAGATAGGTATGGACCAGTATAATCCCTGTTCCTAGTGTGCCACAAAGTGTTTCGGCACGTCTGCATTCTGATCGGAGGGAATAAAATAATATGATAGAATCACAAATAGGTTATCAGGCAATCACAGTTTCAACTGCTTTGCAAACAGGTCACCACATAGTTACTCCATTCCTGCAACAACAAAGAGTACACAGAATATCCATTACTGTCCCTTGTTTAAAAAAAAAAAAAAAATTACACAGGCTGAAGTCTCAGAAAAGCCAATAACACACACTTTTTCTTCTTCTACATCAGCATTCTGAGCCCTTGAGGTTCACTGCTGCGGATATCACCCACCTCCATTCATCTCTCTGGTTGGTCTTCTCTTTCCAGTTGGTGACACAAAGTATCTGCAGGTCTGTCTGGACATTATCTCTCCACTTTCTTCTTGGTCTGCCTTGTGGTCTACGACCATTCATCTCCCTTGTGTATACCGTTTTCACTTCTCTGTCATCTGACATTCTTTCAATATGCCCCAACCATTTCATCTATTAGCTCTCATGATGCCAGTTATCAATGGTGATTCAAACAGATTATGAATTTCCTTATTGCTTCTCACTCCCCATTCCCTGCTGTTTGCATCTTTGATGAGTCCAAAGATTTGTTGCAAGACCCTGTTTTCAAAAACCTGTAATAAGGCTTCATCTCTTTTAGTTGTGCTCCAAATTTCAGAGCCATATGACCAAGCACCAAATTACTGAAAAAAAAATTTAAATCTAAAAAACTTGAATAAAATTTTTTTTTTAATTTGTAGGTCTAAAAATAAACTTACAATGACAAAAATATTAATCACCTACTTTCTTATTTATTCTGGAGTTTCCTTCAACAGAATGCAGTGCAAGACTACCAGTTCTAGTGATGTAGCCTGTGAAATGTAATCAGATAGCAGATAAATGTTATAAATTCTAGCAAATATTATTATACAATTTAAACAAAACTAATAGTTCAGACCTTTGTATGTCCATAAAAACAAACTAAAGAGCAATCACTTGATGACTTGATGCTTTATCCAGACATATTTTCTGAACATTTCTAAGAGTATGCCGAAAAATGTTGAGATGAGCTGGGCTTAAAGACAGTGGCTGGAGTTTATGTGAAAGTCATGGACAAAAGAAATATGTTTCATTTTGTGCCAGGTCAATTCAGGTGTATGAGGAAATTAAAAAGCTGAGAGGCATGTGTGTTGAAATACTGCTGAAAGGAGATATACTGAATACCCCTAGTGAGGCTGGGTGATTAAATTAATCAAGTGAAAGCAGTGAATCAAAAGTGTGAACTCAGAAGACTGCATGAATAATAAACAAAGCTATAACTAATTAACTAGTTAGCTAGTTAGTCAACAGCTTATCCTCATTGCATTTTAAATTATTCAATCCGTAAGTGCTCAGATCCCTTCCTAAGTAAATCGTGCAGAGTGTGGAGGCTAGCAGAGTGTGGAGGCTAACAGAGTGTGGAGGCTAACAGAGTGTGGAGGCTAACAGAGTGTGGAGGCTAACAGAGTGTGGAGGCTAACAACACCAACCCTGTGTTGGTTTCTTTTTTGTTTTTGGCTTCCTGTATAGTGCTCTTGTCTGGCCCCACCCCTTTTAACATGCTTTTCTTGCAGTCTGGTCATGGCTGCAGATTCACAGTCATTGATTGGATCTTGCAAACAACTTACTTCTCAGCATTCAGTATATCAGCATGGCCCATGGCATGTCTGCCCGCATGATAACTTATCTGCAAGCCTATCAGCTTGCTCATTTCCTTGCACACCTGTGTGCCCCTACAGCAGTTTGAAACTTATATGCATCAGCCCTGGCCCCTCAGAGACTCCAGCCACTGTCTTTGGATGCAGCCCATCTTTTGTTTCCTGTGCATACTCGTTGAACCACAGAGAAAAACATGCATGGGTAAAAGTTTGCATCTCCAGCCATGTTACTGCTTTGGTCACTGTCATGACCTCCATAGTCAGAGTACTTGTAGTCAAGGCGAAAGCACCAGAAACGTGCAACACAATTCTAACCCCAATCTGAGCTGTAAAAGCCCACAAGCGTCACATGTGGCGAACCACAGACTTATCCATGTAAATGATGGTGTCTCCTTTTAGAGAATTCTCAGAAATCAAAACCTGCACTTCTACCTTCACAGCAGCTGGATTTTGTTTCTCTGCATTTTCTGTCTAGTCAGAGATGCAACCAGAAAAGATCATACAGCACTCTGTTGGCACTTGTACCCATTCTTAACAAGGTTATATTCCCTCAAGAAATCACACCATTATTTTCCTCTTTTCAGCCTTTCTAATTTCATTATGCAGCAGCTGCTGTGTGTATGTGTTGACTCAGAGGTAGGCTTGTGCTCAGCAAATTAGTATTCTGTCTTCTATGGTTGGAAAATCGAAAAAGTAGCATAACTGGTGTCATCATCAACTACATGCTGAGGTATATACTGAAGAGGAGATCCAAGCAATTATGAAGTGAATAATTTGGGGAGGATGACCTGTTGACTAGCAAACAAACATTAAGCTTACATGTTTACAACAATAATAATTATATGACCTCTTCCTTTTAAGATTCTATTGGCAGTTTTGCTAAATAGGCTAAAACCATAAGTCAAAGACAGGTGAATACCGAGCGGGTAGACCATGAGGCAGACCAAGAAGACCACAGAGAGATCATATCCAGGCAGACTTACAAACACTTGGAGTCACCAACTGGAAAGAGAAGGGCAACCAGAAAGATGAATGGAGGTGGGCGATATCTGCAAGGCACAACCCCCCCCCCCCCCCCCCCCCGGATCGAACCTGGCACTCCAGCATTACGAAACACTAACGACAAAAGTAATTAAAATAACAGATCAGTTTACTTAGTAAATTTGATAGTGAAGGAAATGCAAAGAAAGAAATTATGACAGACATTGGCAAGGCATCAGCAACTTCTAAAAGCTTGAACATATTATGGAAGTCTAAATTGTATAGTTTTAAAACCAAGTTATGTATTTTCAATTCGAAGGTTATTTCACTGTCAAAATATGCCAATGAAAGTTGAAGAACCACTAAAGATGTGGAACGAAAGTTAAATGCATTCGAAAACAAATGTCTGAGGTAAAATTTGAAAATAAAATGGGATTAATTCAAAACTAGTAAAGAAATAAGAGAAATGTCTGGGCAAACACTAGTCTCAGCAATTATAAGACAGAGAAGATGGTGCTATATTGGATTCACCCTGAGAAGAAACCAGCAAAGAATCACCAATCAGGCTTTAAAATAAAAGGATTAAGGAGCCCAAAGAAACCATAAGCTAAAATTGCTGGACTGGCTTCCATCTGTGATTTCAAATTGATAGAACAGGATAGAATGGATAGGAGGAAAAGACTGCGAGCACTATCTAACATTAAATGACACAACAGGATAACAAATGAATAATGAATATACCTTTAAAGATTGTCTTGACAAGCACATTGTTGCTAGTTTGTAACAATTCACTGATACCAGGAGGTAGTGTGTCTCTGTTCTTTTCTAGCCATTTGTTAGCTGTGTATGTCACCTAAGAATTTATATGATTGAAAAATTCATTTCAGAAGAAGTAAGTATAAGCATCATTATTGTCTTTTTTATTTTTTTGGTTTTGTTTTCGTTTATACAATAGATCACCATAATGGTACAAGGGTGGTAAACCCATAAGTGCCACTTTCTACTTCTAATATCATCATCATGTCACTCTAGAAAGACTATATTTTGCCAGAACCCTGTTTCATGCTTCTCCTTCTCCTCTTCCTCCTGCTGCTGCTGCAGCTTCTTCTTTTTCTTCTTCTTCTTCTTTTCCTTCTTCTTCTTCTTTTTCTTCTTCTTCTTCTTCTTATTTTTCTTCTTCTTTTTCTTCTTCTTCTTCTTCTTCTTCTTCTTCTTCTTCTTCTTCTGTATTCACCCTTTAAAGTACCATTGGCATGCTGTGTTGTGGTTTACAGCTAGGATGCGACCTGTAATTTTTTGTATTTTGTAGTTAGTCACATGACCCACATTACACCCTCCCCCCCCCTCTCCCACTCTTCTGCTCTCTCGTGTGTGCATGTGTGAGTGTGTGCATGTTTGTGTATATCAGTGTGTGTATTTGTATGTATTTGTATGCATGTTTGTGTGTGTTTCCCCTTGTTCCAACCAATCCCCCCACTAAGCTTCCTATTCACAATTCAATCGATTAACTTTTCTGTATCTTAGCATAGTGTAACTAGATGATTGTAGAACATTCTTACCTTGCCAGCATAATGATTAATGGAGAATACAGCTTGATTGGTTTGTTGTGACTTGGTAAAATACTGATTAGCTGATAACACCTTGGTTAGTTTATCTACAAACGACTGATCTGTACCCTTGGATAATTGCATAGGGGATAAACAGATTAGATTACTAAACACCATACATCAGGGAAATAGGAAAATATAATGTAGTAGTGCAAATCAGATAAACATTATATTCTGAACAGATAAGTATTATATTCTGAACTTGACTTATTAACTGTTTCCTTTTTAATGCTGTAATGACTACAAATGCATGTCTCTCTCACATTCATTCTGTTTACTTCTCTCAATACCATACCCCAAATAATGGTTGTAGGAATCCATATGTTTCCTTTCTCTCTTTCTGAGGTCACAATATATCTTTGTATAGTCAAAGTGATTTAACTTCTACCTTTATGGTGCTACAATTGATGTTTTGATATTCAAAGTTTTAAATTTCTCTCTTTGTGGTGCCACAATGGATGATTGATTCTGAAGTCAAGATTTCCATATTCTCTAATTATGGATCCAAAATGGATACCTTTTTGAAATACTTTTACCACAAATACATTCAATGTGGCACAAAAGAGTTATAGCAAAATATATTTTTCATTTTCTGACATGAAATTTTAGATCCATTTCCTCCTGAATATCTGTACTCATTAAATATATAAATGTGAATAATATGAACATTTGATTCATCACTGTTAATTACTGAAGAGGTTTCCAAAAGATATTTAGAACATTTGCAGCTCAGCATGTCACTGATACTATTTGCCTGGTTATCATACTGTGTTACACAGATACTATTTGCCTGGTTATCATACTGTGTTACACAGATACTATTTGCCTGGTTATCATACTGTGTTACACAGATACTATTTGCCTGGTTATCATACTGTGTTACACAGATACTATTTGCCTGGTTATCATACTGTGTTACACAGATACTATTTGCCTGGTTATCATACTGTGTTACACAGATACTATTTGCCTGGTTATCATACTGTTTTACACAGATACTATTTGCCTGGTTATCATACTGTGTTACACAGATACTATTTGCCTGGTTATCATACTGTGTTACACAGATACTATTTGCCTGGTTATCATACTGTGTTACACAGATACTATTTGCCTGGTTATCATACTGTGTTACACAGATACTATTTGCCTGGTTATCATACTGTGTTACACAGATACTATTTGCCTGGTTATCATACTGTGTTACACAGATACTATTTGCCTGGTTATCATACTGTGTTACACAGATACTATTTGAGTGTGTGTCTGCAACCAAGTTATTCTTTAATATAATGGCATAAAATGATCTCTAATGGCAACATCTGGTTTCTCATATTACTGGCAACATGTGGTTTCTCATATTACTGGCAACATGTGGTTTCTCATATTACTGGAAACTTCTCCTTTTATTTGGTGTTTGCCAGCTGTAAATTCTGGCTGAAAGTACTGGTTGTTTAGCCACTTTGGACTTTGGTCTTATTCCAGGAGTTTTGTATGCACATCCATTTTACAGACTGGGCTAATTTGTACGCAGACTGTCGGTTCCTTGCCTCTCAGGTTGATGCAATCAGACTTTGAAGAAGTGTCAATCATATCTATGTTTGCCAGGCTTCTGACTGAGAACCTGTTTCAAGGATGACTGTGGAGAGGTATAGATAGATCCTGGACCAGTTTTTCCCCGGTCATGATGCTCCAGCACGTGTCATTCAGTTCCTCTGCATCCCAAAACTGGAAACAGAAATCAGGCTACTTTTCTAGTAATGCAGTTTTTCAAAAAGTAGAAGCCAAGAGGGCTTCCTGGTCCTGGTTCTAGATACATGTGAGCAAAAAATGTTCGCTGTGTAACCAGCTCTTGCGGATGGAAAACAAAGCTACTACTTCCACCAGTGATAGATAATTAAAAAAAACCTATATACCTATATACCTATATACCTATAAGTCATCATTTTTTTTTCAGCCATGTTATGAGAAGAGGGAAAATGGAACATGTTGTGACCACTGGAAAGATCTGTGGAAGGAGAGATGGAGGAAGGCAATGAGAGAAGATTCTTGACAGTCTTGTTGCATGACATAGAGGTGTGTCAGCACATGAATTGATACATGCTGCAGGAGATCGCAGACTGTGGAGAGGCATTATCGTCCAAGCCAGTCAGCAAGGCACCTGCTGATGATGATACATAACAACACAGCAGCTGATGAACGCCTTTATATATATATAAAAAAACACTGATTTTAAAATAATGGTATGAAAGCTTGAATTTCCATGTAAATTTAAACAATAAAATATTATCTGTACGTGTCCAGCTTTTGTAGTTAAATCAAGAAGTCAAGATATTTGTAGCATTTAAGGGGAAACCATGATATTAATTTCCAGAGAATACATATTTTGAACTGTAACATCTAACATGGCACAACATTGCAACATACCTTAGGAAACTGACTTTCATCGTCCAGCAGGGAAAGTACACCTATGGGCTTGGCAAGAAACATGTCCTTGAAAAGATCAGAAATATTTGTGTTTAGATATTATGACTGCCTGTGTAACAAATGTCTTCACTTTTGAAGGGATGGGTAAAAACTTTGTCTGCATGGCATTCTTTATGATATTTAGATGTCAGCAGAACCATAATCACCCTATCCCCATCTTAAGCAGCCAGCACAGAGTTTCCATAACATTGGTGCCAGTAGCATTCTGATCATACGTTCATCCTACATTTCCTATGAGTGTCGAGTATCGGCCAGATCCACTCATCACAGTCACTCCCCACTGCATCACTCTCACCAGACTGGTGATCCATTTGCTCCCTTGAATTGTACATGTTTTCCCACAAGGCCCTAATTATGTCTTCTTTATCATGCATCAGTATGTACTGGAACCTACTATATCATCTATTTAACCAATTATTCTTGCTGTCTCCTCAACATAACAATAAAAAATAAAAAACTGTTTTGACCTTTATTATGATTTACTCTAGTACCAGTAACAAAAAAGATGGCAGCAGGGACACTGCTTTAAGCCAGACATCTGAACATGGTTTGATGTTCTGCCTTTATAAGTTACCCTATTATCAGTGTCATTCCTACATAGTCTGGTCATGTTAAGCAACTTCTATGGTATTCCAAACTTCTGCATAGTATTCCATAAATTATTCATTTTTACACTATCATGTCCTTTAAAAATCCACAAAAACATTATGCATGTCTCTTCTGTGTCCTCAGTTTTTCTTTGGATTGCCATGACAACTCAACCAATGTAGTACTGCCCTCACAAGGAAAAACTGCAACCTACTGAGACTATTTATGCAAAGTAAATCAAGACTTGGAAAGACAATGACCAACACCCTAAGGCATGGAGTGGAAGAGGAAAACACATCTTACCAACAATGGTTTGTTGTCCACAAACTTGATCACATTCCAGTCAATACCCTCTCTTTGATACTCCTCTTGCTCCATGTGGAAGATGTGTTGATTGAAGAAAAACTGCAACTGTTCATTGGCCAAGTTGATGCAGGCTTGTTCAAAACTATTCTCTCCACCATCTTTAGTAAAGTCTTCAAATCCAAATATATCTAGTATACCTGGTACATATAGTTACAGCAATTTATTTGTTACTGTAACAGTTGTTATTTTTAAAGGTTGATATTTTAAAATGTCAGCAGGAAAACATAAAAATGATTATCAAAGATTTATGAATTAGAAGTTGGGTTATCTTCACAGCAAACTAAACAACTGCACAGGAGCTCAGATTCCCCTTTCAACATATACATCAGCAGCCTGCAGTTAATAGTGCCAGTCCTGTGCTGGTTGACAAGACTTCTTAAATGTCCGGTGTCCCTCTCATACCTGGCTGTGTCAATCTCTACTCCTAATTCTCACATTCTTTCTTAGCATCACTGTGGACATGGTGCTTCAAAAATCCTCTGATTTCCCATCTCTCTTAAAGCATACACATTGTTGGCACAACCCAAAGGCTGGCAGTCAGCGGCTGACTCTTTCAGTACCAAACAATGCGTCATATATATATGCTTGGTCATTCCCAAAAAATGTCATACTGTTGCTGTCTTCTATTACAGACAATTATTGAATTAACCCTTTTGTATCTGAATCATTAGTTGAACTATTTCTGCCTCATGGTGTCTATGATAAACTTTTTCAGAACTTTTTCAGACCAGAATATAATGTTTCAACTGATTGGAATTGAAAGCGTTATGAGCTATGAGCTGGCTTATATTCACAGCACTGCGGACACATCCATAATTTCTCAGAATCTCTCTTCAACATATTCATCATGTTAATAGTGTCAGTACTATGCTGAAAGAGTTGGGGCAGATTATGACAGATTTGCTTGTTTTTACTGAGGTTCTTAAGAGAAATAAAGGACAATATAATTGGCACCTTTCCGTCTTTCCAGATGATAGTGTTCTATTGCGCTATGAGAAGGCATGAGACTCACAGCCTATGGCGATGGCGAGTCTGACTAGTAAGACCGCCTGTGTCAAGAAAAGTATTCCACAATGATAGCAGGGGATTTCAGGACTATTGTTGTCAACATTTGTGTTTAATCCTTTTTCTCTTCAAACGCTCAGTTCTCCTTTCTGCAATCATTTCTTCCTTTACTCTCATCCTCTTCCTGATATGCCCTTTCCACACAACACGGTCCATGGCATTTTGTTCCCATGAGTCCACCTCAATACCTATATCATTTATGTCCCACTTGCACACATCTTTATACCGTAGTAGAGGTCGGCCTCGACATCTTCCTGCCTTTAAGTCACCATAAAGGATGACCTTAGGGACTCTGCCATCCTCCATTCTCCAGGTATGACCCAACCACCTGAGTCTTCGTAGACTGAGCATAGAAAAAACTGTTGTAGTACCTGCTCTTTCCAGTACCTCTGTGTTTGTGATTTTGTCCTGCCCCTTAATGTCAAGTATTCTGAAAGGACGATAACATTGTAAACTAACATGTCCATCATACGAAGCAACTAAGGAGGGTGGGCATGTGTCTGGCTACCTCATCCTATAGAAAATCTTATCTGTATAATTGAAACAAACACGAACGAGTCCCAGAAAAACCTTGGTGTGAACTGACCGAGGTCATAGACTGCTATGGGAGATAAGAGGAAGAATATGAAAAAATTATAAGAAAAACTGCTCTTCCTGCACATTGTAAGATAAGGCTAATTTCCCTTTAACAGATGACACCTATGCTGAATGTATGGAATACAATAGTGCTGAACACTATTTATTATATTGCAAAAAAATATGATCTTCAAGAGATCTTTCTTAATGAATATATGACCCACTGCGATAAGCTTATGACAAAAGAAAACATACTGAGGATAGAGAGTCCTAGATAACTACAGAGAAGGATTAAACAGTACATCTCAAGAACATGTGTTAGCATATTTTAAGACAGAATAATGGTATCTCACGTTACTCTAAATATTCATATAAAGTAATACATAGAACAATAATAAAAGTCCTTAAAATAAATAAAAATAAATAATCTGAATCACTACAATCTGTTACAGTTGAGTTGAGTTGAGTCAAGACTTGACATCACAGCACTTGGGGCATTCCAGTGTGTGCTTCGTTCTCATCTTCAGCAGCCAGCGCAGAATTCTAGTACTGATAACTTTCCTCTGAATGTAGTCGACCAGCCAGACCCTCTGGTTACACTCAGGTGCCTCATTCTCCCCAGGCCATAATAATCTTCTTTCTCTACTAATTCCGTTGCTTGTTCCCAAAGGGCCTTGACCACATCTGCCTTGTCCTGTATCAATTCACCACCAAAGGGTGCTGATCCAGCCAATCTATCTGCCTGTTCATTACCCAATACACCGGAATTGCCTGGAGAAAAGATCTAAAGTATGCTCACAACCTGTGACCTTCCCATTGAAGCTTGCCACTCTGCTCGAAACATCCTTGTCTTCACTTTTCTCAGCATGCTTTCAGAGTCTGTTACAATTAGGACATGTGTATGCATCTTGTTCTCTAGCCAATGGAGAGCTGCAGTTACCACCTCAGCCTCCATTCTCATGCTAGATTTTGTGGTGTCATATGCTAGGTTGTCTTGCACTAAAGACTTTCTATTGGCTTTTGCTACGAACCTCCTGGCACTTCTCTTTCCTCTCAACACAGAACCATCTGTATGGATAATCAGATCACCTGGGCATGAATTCAGGCTAGGTCATACCTCAGATTAGCTGTAGACAACTATCTGTATGAGGCTGTGGCTGCAGGTAAGGGTCAGAGGCTAAAAGGGGGAAAATCATGGATGGCTCAAGCAGAAGACACAATAAGACAAGTATGTATGCCTTTAACACTTTCAAAGGTTTCCAGAACAGACAGGAAATGGTGTCACTTGATTTAGAAGATGATGAAAGCGCTTATGGAGAAGGGAGTCTGTCCTTGGTTGGTGAACTGGATAGCAGCTGTTTTGTATACTCACCTGGTAGCTCTCTGCCTGGGTTCATGGACCTCATTAATGCATAGTTCATGCAATATTATAAAATCAAAAAGTAACTGACAAGCATAAATATTTAATATTGAAATAGACAAAACTGTATTTGTCCTAATTATAACCAAGATGGGTAGAATCGGATATCATTGTTTAAATTACTACTGCCAAATAAGGTTAAAATATGGCAACCTCATCATGGCATACAAAATCATGGAAACCATAAGTGATTTTATGGAATGGTACTACTGTAATTGTGTTTCCATTATCTGAGACGCTACTGTTATCATGTTAACTGTTTTGGTACTGAAGTTGTATATCATGCTATGCATTTCTGGGTGCCCTGTGCCCTTCCCAGCTGTAGCTTTAATTCATTTTCTATTCCAGTTGTTAATGGCAGAGTTCATTGTTCCATAGTGTTAATACATTAACCTGTTCAGACCCAAACACCTATTACTTGCGGTAACAACGCCTAGGAAAGGAGGAGTTAACAGAAATACATATCTGTGACTGAAAATTATATAGCTAGGGAAACTATGCAGGATATAAGACAAGGAATAAAGTTTGCTTAACAAATGTAATGATTACAGATGACAGCAACATATCATGGGCATAAGCAGTACGTTAAACAAAGAGGGATGACTTAACACTGACAGGCATGCCATATTTATTTTCCCCAAATATTTCTTAAACCGAAAGTACATAGCAAACAAAAATACCATAGAGCTCTACAAAGAGAGTGGCTAATTTTGAAAAGGTTTGTTTTGTGTTTAAAAAAATCAATCGTCAAACAATCAATAGAATTAAGGTATCAAGAACAGCCTTAAACAAATTATGATCAAGTTATGCAATGCATTAGAATGAGCAGGCAAAAGACCCTTACATCTCTAACACCTAAAGAAGATAACTGGAAGAAAAGAAGAAGAAGAATCAGTCAATTAACTTTTTTCAGTATTTGTCAGTGAACTGTGATGATCACTGTTAGCTCCTCCTGTCCATCATTAATTTTGAAAATAGTCATAGCTGGGTTAATTATTGAGAGGGGTATGAAACCATGGTCAAAAATTATGCAGAAAACAGTCAATGAAATGTTACAATTAAAAATGCTTACCAATTTCAGAAAAACCTGCACTTTGAGCTTCACCATCATGAGACAGCAAACAGTTAATCTTGTTGACTATCCACCCAAATAAGCGCCCGTAGATATTCTTTGCCATGGCATCTCTAGCATCTGGTTCGGAAACAAAAATGAATATAATAATTTCTCTGTAACTCGGATGTGAAGTCTAGATTTACCAGTTAAAACAGCTTGATGTGAAAGCCATGAAAAAACTCACAGATGCTGCATTAACCAGTTGAGAAGTCATCAGTGTAAACACAATAAGAAACATGTTAAAGAGAAGATCTGAGCAATTATGGGTATGTGGAAACAACAGAAAAAGCTTCCTGGCGTAAAAGAATAAAGATATAAAAATAAATAAAGCATACTCATGGAAAAGAAACTTTTATGTAATGAGGCAAGCTTTCTAGACCAAATTATTCAGAGTTCAGTTGAGATTATAAAGTGTATAAACCTATCTCATGGCTATCAGTCAGCAGTAAATGAGTTGTACCATGGAAAGTATGGAGCTAAACCATATAATATTCACAAATGCAGCCATGGATGTACTACAGCTGATCTCCATTGTGGAGAAGGCAGGTCCCCCCCCCCCCCACCCCGCCCCAGTAAAGCAGACATTGAAGACTTTTTTTTAACCCTAACTTAATTTTTTCCTGAATTCATCAAGCTGTAATTGGTCTGGCATTGTTATTATAAGCATAAACTGAAATATAGAGTTAAAATATTTCTAATCATACAATCATACTCTCTATGTGGGTTCTGGGGCCCAATTTTCAAGGAAAGAATAGGCCAACTGCCCTCTAAAAAGCTTGTTGTAAAAGGTAACAAATTAGAGGTGATTCATTCAAGGTCAGAGTGCATCTGCCAAAGAGGTGAGGAACCGAAAGTCTGCATCTGTAGAATAGCTCCAATTCTGAAACAAGACCTATGTCTAGAAGTGAATGAACTACAGAAACTTTCTGCTGGAGTTTACAGCCGGCAAATGCTAAGAAAAAAAATACAATTATACATAAAAAATGAATGACTTCCTAATACTGACCACATTTGATAGCATTCAGTTAAATCATAACAACATTTTAACAATCAGTACAGCTACTCTGAGAGCTTCCAAAGATCTGTTCTCATTTAAAGCTACATTTTTGTGTCAGTTATTACCTTCTGTTTCTCAGATGATCAGCTACAATAGTAGGACGACAGCCAGGAAAAATATGGATCAACAACATTAAAGACACTTTACACCTTCACAGCATAACAGTAGCCACTACAAGCCATCATGCACTGGATCACAAATTATTCTTCCAAATAATGCTTAATTGCAGAGGTGGTTTATGATTATTATACCTTCTGCTTGATCCTTATTGTAGTTCCTTATGACATGTTCTCCCTTGGTTACTGTTACCATACATGTTAGACAGGCTGCAATTTCTGAAGTATCAATTCCTAGAAGTTCCTGTAATGAAGAGAAGCAATGTGTCTACATTTTGTTTTTTATCCTACCGAAGCTGATGCCTAAAATACTGTTTTAATATGAGAAATCACCTTGCTGGTTTTGGGGCTCCATTTGGAGATGAGTTAAGTTGAGTCAAGAATTGACATCACAGCACTCGGGACATTTCCATGCATGCTCTGTCCTCATCTTCAGCAGCCAGCACAGAGTTCCAATACTGATTGTACCAGTCATAATCTGGTTATATGTCTGTCTTGCCCTTCCTCTGAGTGTAGTGAGGAGGCCAGATCCTCTGGTTACATCCAGATGCCTCATTCTCTCCAGGCTATACAAATCTTCTTTATCTACTGATTCTGTTGCTTGTTCCCAAAGGGCCTTGACCACATCTGCCTTGTCATGTATCAATTCACCATACAGTGGTGCAGATCAAGCCAGTCTGTCTGCCTGTTTATTACCCACCATGCCGGCATGGTCTGGATAAAAAGATTTTGAGATAAAAACAAAGAATAGACTTACTGCTCCTTAATGTGCTTTTTAGTATCATAAAAGGTAACAAATGGAAGGTTTGCTGAAACCAAATGTGTTGGGCAGAAAGATAGCCTATTTATATATTGCAGAGAAGCTGTAAACCAAAAGACAAGAAACAGAGCTGGTTAGAAATACTGTAGCCAACCTTCATTGTGGAGAAGACACCTGATTGATTATTGACAGATCGATGATCTAAAATGCAATACAATATGCCAACTAATTTTTTTTATAGAGAAAGAGAGTTTTCAGTTCTAGAATGCTGTCACTTATAGCCGCATCTGTTTAGATTAGATTAAAAATAATCTTTTAAATTACAAGACCATTTAAACAGTATAATTTCAACATACAAAAGTTATAATGTGAAAATACATACAACTGAAACTGAAGTAGAATTTCTGAAAAACCAAAATAGTCAGTAGAATTCCTAGTCTACTACACACAGGGTTGAGTGGTACTTGTCAGAAGCAAGTTAAAGAATTTAAATATCTAGGAAGTATTTTCTTGGAGAATGAGAGAATAGATAAAGAAATAGAAAAAGATGCGCTCCAAAGGCCCTCTATTCCTATCTTCAGCAGCCAGCAAAGAGCTCCAGTTTTGATGCTACCAGTAGTAGCCTGATTGAATGTCTTTCTTGCCTTTCCTCTGAGTTTTTAGTGTTCGCCAGATCACCTGGCCACTCCCGGCTGTACCATTCTGATGTGGGTAAAGGTGGGAAGAAGGTTTTTGAGTATTTAAACAAAACAAAAACAAAAAAACTTAAGAATCCCATCAAAGTATCACATGAAAGAGAAAATTACTGAGGCATGATCATAAATGTGCTCCAGATCAAAGAGTGAAGAAGTTGTAGAAGAAGCACAACAACTAGTTTTCTTACCACAAATATTTGAAATATTCAGCTCCAAAATACTAGTCTCTCTGTTATCAAGTCTATTAAAAATGTCCCCCGTGTGGGTTCCGGGGCCCCATTATGGGGAAAACAAGAATAGACTCACTGCCTCCCCAAAAGCATGTCGTAAGAGTCGACTAACTGGGGAGCTTCCTTTGAAGTCGGAGTGTATCTGCCGGAGAGGCAAGGAAGCAACAGTCTGCATTCAAGAGAATGAGATCTGTAAAACTGATGCACACGCAACACTCAGGTTCTGGAGCAGGACTGCAGTTCACTAGTAAATGAGCAACCAGAACTTTCCGCTAGAGTGTACAGCTGGTGAAGGCGAAGAAGAAAGAAGATTAAAAATGTGTACAAACAGTGAAGACTATACACACTTGGTATTGATAATAATAAATACTCACTGCTGATGCTTTTAGAGACAACTGACTCTCTGAAATGCTGATGGTGTCATCTGTATCACTGACTCCAAAGGTGATATTGCCAAGTTGAAGGACACCTGCTATTACAGCAAACATGTCTGCTTGTTCCTGAAATGTTTAAAATAGGAACACCAAATCTTTTTAATTTGCAACTCAATTATTAGCTGTTTTATGAATTTGTGAGGTTGATGAAATAACCAGTACGGAATTTTATTAGTAGACAACAAATCAAATGGTTTGGCCATGTGACAAGTCTGGCATCGGGAAGGGCATTACAGAGAGCAATGTTATACAGATACAGCAGTAACAGATCCAGAGGTCGACCAGGCAGAAGATGGACCACAGAAATATCAAAGACACTGAAAAGTACTTCATACAGAAGGGCCCGTTCCAGATATCTCTTCCTTTCCTAATGCCAGGAGGCATTCCAGGAGTAGAGAAAAGAAGAAGAAAAAGAAGATAAAATAACATTTTAGATAAATTTTGGTGGATGACAGACCATGCACTCTTTCAAGAATGACAAGTTTGGCTTGCAACGAAGTACCAGTGGTTCTCTCATTGTTATCATTTACAAACAGTAGATGCACAGCCAGGTATACCAATAACTTTAAGTGTTTACCTCCCATCTGAATTTCACATCTTTTATTTGCATCTATAAGGGTTGACTCATGAATATATTTACAATGTTTATTTTCAACCAAACTATGTATGGAAGACGCTTTTAAAATAGTAAAATACAAAGGTAGTAAGTCATACCTTTTTCAGATAATATCTGGTTTAAAGCAAGGTGATGATCTGTCCCTACTTCTTTTTTAACTTTGCTCTAGATAAAATTATGAGGAAACTGAAAGGAGAGAGTACTACTGGAGAAACTACTTGGTTATGCAGATGATATTGATCTTGTTGGAGAAAATTGAATAGAGATGGTAAAACACTGGCTCTCTTAAAAGAAGCAGCTCACAAAATGGGACTAGTTATCAATCAAGATAAGACAGAATACATGATAACTGACTGACTGACTTTCTACCCCACTAGGACATCACACAAGCGATAAACACCCGATGTTACAATTAAATAATAAGGCAGGGAAAGGACATAAACTCCGACCACACACAAGGTGATAATATAAAAATCAAATGAACGGACAGATACAAGTACTTGGGTACAAACTCAAACAGCTCCAACATGTTGAGAAAAGAAATACAATCTGGAAATAGAGTATACTATGCCCTTCAACATCTGCTAAAGTCAAAGTCTCTATCTTGCAACACCAAGATCAAAATATATAAAACGTTGATAAGACCAGTCATTTTAAATGGCTCTAAAACTTGGAGCACAGCTAAAAGATTATTACAAATTGCCTTGTTACACATTTTTGAAAACAGTCTTATGGCATATCTTTGGGCCCATCAAAGATGCATATAGCAGGGAATAGAGAGTGAGAAGCAACAACAAAATTTACAGTCTGTTTAAATTACCATTGATTACTGGTATCACGATGGCTAATAGACTGAAATGGATGGGGCATATTAAGAGAATGTCAGATGGCAGAGTGGTTAAAAACTGTATACACAAGGGAGCTGAATGGTCATAGACCACAAGGCAGACAAAGAAGATGATGGAGATATAACATCCAGACAGACTACAAACACGTGGTGTCACCAACTTGAGGAGAAGACCAACCAGAGAGATGAATAGAGGCAGATGATATCTGGAGCAATGAACCTCAAGGGCTTAGAATGCTGAAAAAGAAAAGAAGAAGATTTACAACAGCAATGAAAATTCATGAATTCTAAAATTCAGTTGTAATATTTCTTAGCACCCTGTGACACTTTAACACATTATAAATGTCACAACTTGCACTGATTATTATTGCTGATAGGCTCAAAGTTCTGCAAGCAAAATCGTATCTCAAAGTAGCTACAGACCAGAAGCCCCTCCTGCATGAAGCTCTGGGTAGAGTTAAGGGTCACAGACTGAAAAAAAAGAAGGTCTTGGATGGTGCAAGGTGAAGATACCATTAGACAGGTATGCAAGCTTGATACATTTGGGTGAGGAGAGGAGTGGGTCAAAGTGACCAAGCAAGAATGAGACCTATGCAGGGTTGTAATCCCTTTAGGTCATGAATACAGGGACTAACCAGCTGGTGCTGCAGAATCAGAAGTTCAACAAATGATTCATGACAATTCCTGCCCAGGTGATGTGATTATCTATACAGATGGCTCTGTGTTGAGAGGCAGACAAGTGCATGGGGGTTTATAGCAAAAGTGAATAGACATGGCTAAGTGCAACAAAGCCTGGCGTATGACATCACAACCACAACATCAAGTTTGAGAATGGAGGTGTAGGCAGTCATTGCTGCCTTCCACTATATTTAGAATCAGCTGTACACACATGTGGTCATTGTAACTGACTCATGGAGTATGGTGTGAAAGGTGGAGACAGGCATGCTCCATACAGAGTAGCAGGTTCTGTTTCAGAGGTCCTGGGAGCAGGCATCGCTTCAGAGGTCCCGGATAGTTAGAGTTCTTTGGATATTTTCTCCAGGTAGTGCTGGTGTGTTGAAAAATTAATAGCAGATAGACTGGCCAGTTCTGCACCACTTGGTGGCGAATTCATGTATGACAAGCTAGATTTTGTCAGGACCCTTTAGGAGTGAGTGAACAGCATGGAGGCACAATTAGATCATTACGGTCTTAGGAGAATGGCACTGTGGGGTGTTACCAGGAGAGATAGAATTACAATCAAACAGTTACTGGTACCAATGGAAATAAAACTCTTCTCTTGCGGCTGAAGATGGGGATGGAGTGTTTATGGGAGTGTCCCGAGTGCTATGATGTTGATTCTTAATTCAACATCAATGTCACAGTAAAAACTATTTTTACCTTTGGGGTGGTTTGTTTAAAAAAAACAAATAACTTCAAGTGCACATGGATATCTGAATAACTGCTCCATTCTCCTCTTATAGATCTCACAAAGAGAAGCTCAGCATAGTGTACAGTGTTACAGTGAAGATTAGAGTCTTGATCGCTGAGTGCTGAGCTGAGAACTGACAACAAACACCTGGCACATTTATCTTCAACAGCCAAGAGAGTTCTGAGTCTGATGGTGCCATTAGCAGTTTGACTATATGTCTGTCTTGCCTTTAATCTGAGAGCAGAGTGTCGACCCCATCTCCGGTCATTCTTTCCAGACCATAATGCTCTATTGATTCCTCCACATTGTTCAGTTGCTGCCAAAGGGCGTTGACCACATCTAGCTTGTTATTCACAAATTCACCCTCCATTGATGCAGAGCCAACCAGTTTGTCTGCCTGTTCCTTTGCAACACTCCTGCATGCCTCTGAGAAAATATCCAAAGAACTCCCTGGAAACTCTGAAGCAATGCTTGCCATTCTGCATGCAGCATTCCAGTCTCTACCTTTCTTAACATGTTTTGTGAGTCGGTTACAATCAGGACATGTGTGTGCAGCTTGTTCTCAAGCCAGTGGAAAGTTACTGTGACTGCCACCACCTCCATTCTCAAACAAGATGTAATGTCACACACAAAACTTTATAGCACTAAGTGTTATCCATTTGATTTATAAGTAAACCCTCATGCATTTCTTCTGCCTCTCAACACAGAGCCAGCTTTATAGATAATCAAATCACCTGGGCAGAAACTGTAATAAAACAATTCTTGAATTTTTGATTCTGCAGAGAAGATCAAAAAGTGTAATTAAAAGAATCACACATACTCTCCATATTTGTTTCATGTGGTGGCTTCTCTAATTTGAAAATTGTATAGGGTAATGATATAATCAGCCAACTGGTTTTTTAAAATAAAAATTGTTGTTATTTTCAATTGCTGAGAAATGTTTACAGCACACCAGTCCTGCAAGGTTTCACCCTTGTTAAAGAAGGCTAGATATCTATTATATTAATGTATCCCATCCGTTTTCTTATTTTGTAGAAATCTGTTCACCGTTGTGAGACTATGAACTAGGTTTGCTTGAGTCAGAGGAATATTTATTATCTACTCCACCATGACATAGTATGTTGAAAAGAACTGGTGGTTCCCAGTCAATACAATTGGAACAGTTATTAAAAAAGCATCAGTTTTCTCCAGTACCTCATCAGTAAATCCAACCAGATCCATTGCATTCACTAACTCTTCATAGCGCTTCAGCAAGGATGCAAAGTTTGCCTTGACTTGACTTCCTCCATGTGATATATATCTGAAACAATTTGAAAATCATTGTCAGCCCACACATCTGCAGGTTACCTCATAATCATAGGGTTCTCCACTATAACTATTTTATATGGGTTACACAGAACAGGGTTTCTGAGATCTGTTCCTGCAGGATTTGTCTCCAAATATTGGCTCTTTGGGCCACTCAATGTCAATCTTTTTGGCTGCAATCCTAAAATCAAAATGGTGGGTACTTATCACGAACCTGCCCGAATGGTGAGAGTTCCTTCCCTTTCACTTATGCCACGGCAGGTCGCACTGCCTGAGCTTTGTTGTGAGGGTGTGATGTTTTCTTATTTTCAATGGTTTGACTGTTGTCTCTTTTCTTGTCTTGTCCCTGCTCACTTGCGCGACTATTTCCACGTTGAGCTACTTTCCCGATGGTTTGTAAGTGGCTTATTTTTCTGAAAAGTGGTGGTTTGGGGGGGGGGGGGGGGGGGGGGGGCACTGCCAAGAAACATAGAAATACAAAAACATCTCAGTTTTGATACTCATGAATAGTCACATTTTTGGCACATTCCCCTGCAGTATTTCTTACTTATACACATGCGCCTGTAGCACCTGAAAGAGACTCATGACAACACAACCTTCCACAAACATTATATACAGCAGGTGAATGCCGAATGAAGCCATCTCATAACACCCCCACAACCTAGGATAGGCTGTGTGACCCACCACAGCATGAATGGGAGGGGAAGGAACTCTCTGTGTGAGCAGGTTTGCGAGAAGTTCTAAATGTTGTTTAAAACTTTAATTTTGTATACTGTGTATCATTGCAGATGATTGTGTATCCTTATATATTATTGTCACTGACCATTTTTATTCCATATGAATATACAGTGTCTCTAATGTCATCAGTCTATGTTTTTCTTAGATGTCCTCTTGCCCCCACCCCAAATCCCTTTAATGTAAAGCCTGTGTTGGTAACTGATATTGCTGCATTCTGATTAGATGCCCAAACCATTTTATCTTTGTCGCAATGTTTTGTGACACAAGATATTGGTCTTACAGTTTGTTTGAATGCATCATTTCTTTCTCAGTCTTATGATGGTTAAATATGTGGCTTTCTCACATTTCATATGAGAAAAATTAATTTTATATATGTGAGTTCTGAATGGTGTCCAAACTTGAAGCTGGTAGAATTGTGTTGGCATGAGTATGTAGTATACTATCTGTTGTTTTACAGATATAGTTCTGTCCTAATGATGGAGAAATTTAATATGTAAGTGTAGTTTCTTGACACCTTATTTCACTTTCTCTGTCTATGTTGCCATCATCTCTGATCATATTTTATTGGTTTTTTAATTTAGTAACTTGCTTCAGATAGAAATTATTCAACCCTGCATATAAAGGAACAGACATTCTACTAACTTGTTTCAGTTTTTGTGTATTCATCTTTATATTGTAGTTTTTGCATTATATAACTGTTAACAAGCTAAACTACCCATGAAAAGCAAACAGAACAGGCAGCTTTAATCCCTAAAATAAAATAAATAAACAGACAGACAGGTGAACTTTAAAAAAAAAAGAGTTATCAGAATAGATATTTACAGTAATATATATCCCTGTATATGCAGCATACAAATGGGCACTTTCTGCAAATTCTACTTCTCCTCAACATGACAAGTTACAAGAAGAAGTTTGTACAATGGACCAACATCATGGCACACGGGAAGTAACCCATATGTGCTCCATTCTTCTTCTAACTCAAGTCTGAGTCCGAAGAAGCTTAGCAAAGTGCACAGGCTCTGTAGCAACGGCGAGGATCCTGAAATACTTATGGTAGATTTTGAACTCCAAATATTTGCTTAGGCAGAGCCGTTAGGCTACTCTTTTTGATTTCCAACTGACAAGGAATTTTTACGTGCACAACAATGCACACGGGTGTCTGATCACACTACCCAGAGACCAGGGGGAATTAGAAGTCCAAATCCACGTGAAAAAATCCCAGTTCTTACCCGGGATTGAACCATGAACCTTCAGCACTCGAAGAGGACATCATGCCTCGAGACCACGCAGCCTCCAAGTTACAAGATGAGATGAGATTTAGAGTATAAAATGCAAACCTATAATCACAGGGGTCTCCTAGTGGGAATTTCTTGTTGATGTCTGAAGCAAAAAGGTAGTAGAATATGTGGAAATTTTCCTCTCCAGAATTCTGCCTGACGACTCTGGACTTTTCCAAAAGATACTCTGATATTTTAGCTCCAACCACTGTCAAATGTGAGTGCATAAATTAGTAAATTATGATAAACATACAAGTTTTTTTTCCCTTCTATTTAATGCTTTCTTTCCCAGGCAATTTCCTAGGAATCATTAGCTATTGTCCTTGTGATCTCAAAAGGTCATTTTGTTTCTATTTAATCATTTAATGTATTTTGAGTCTACATTTCTTCCCTTTTCATGCCAGTGGCATATAGGACACATGAGGCTAGACTTATATTTTTCAAAGTAAATGATGAGTGATGCGGTCCACCTTTACTTCCTAAGACTTTACCAGGCACCCAATTAAGGCCCCAAGTGGATTTGAACCAAAGACCTTTGGATCCCCATAAGCACACTCTACTCACATGGTAATATGCTCACTAAAAATTTATATATAAATATGCTTTTGCTAATCTAATTAAAATCTGACCTAAACAAATCTACAGGTGGTGAGAATACCAAAAAAAAACTGCAGACACAAAAACTCAGTTATTCAGACCAAACATAAATAATACTTTGTTCTAGCTGTGTCACGTTTTCCCAAGTGAATAGTATTAACAAATCATCCTCATCTTCATCATGTGATGCTAAAAAAGTTAGGATGTCCTGTTGTGCCATCCCACACAATCACCGGAATCAAGAATCAGGATCAGATCAGTGCTCTTGACTTGCTCCCATCCATATGGATAGGCCATCCAGATATTTACCTCTTTGCCTTGCTCTTGCTCTCTGTCCATCAATCTAGCCAGTCATTACTTTTGTTCTTGAGTATATTCCTTCTCATTTCATGTCCGAAAAACAGACTGCCTTCTTCGTCTTCCTTTCTCTACTTCTGGAATGTCTAGCCGCCTCAGAGTAGGAAGATATTTATGGAAGAGGCCCTTCTGTTTACTTTTTATAAAGTTTTTTCAGGATCTATGATATTTCTGCGGTCCATGTTCTGCATGGTCGACCTCCGGTTTTGTTACTGTTGTACCTGTATAACAATGCTCTCTGTGATGCCCTGTCGGATGACAATCTTGTTACATGGCCAAACAATTTGATTTGTTGTCTAGCTATAATGTTCATTATCGGTTCTGTGCTGACTCTCCTCCTGATATTATGGTTCTTAAGTCAATCTTTCCTCATTACACCTAGCATAATAGGTTAACATTGCATTTCTGTCGTAGCTATTTTCCTTCTGTCTTCTGAAGACAGTGTCCATGTTTGACATTGACAGCATAGAGTTGGTAAGAATATTGTGTTGAACAGTGTTCTTTTAGCGTTTAGGTCTAATTTCTTTAATCAGTTTATAACTTTAAAATATCTCGCAAGGATTGCCCTTTTTGTTTTTCTATCAATAGATGAGATTCTTGACATTCTTCTAAAAATCCTCATCTCCACTATCAGTAAATGTTTTTTTTTCCCAGCTTGTCTTAAATGCATATAACAAAACAGGTTGTATGTAGCACATAAAAATACTTTTTCTCAATGCAACTGACATCTTCTTACTGGGGAATATCTTTTGCATCCTGTTAAATACTTCTTTTGCCGAGGTGATTATTTTTATGATTATCAAAATCATAGTAATACTGACAAATCATTGTCAGCACAACAAGGAATAACATAATTTGACTGTAAGTGCAGTCAACCACGAACAAAACTGGGGAAGAATTTTAGAGACATTCACTCTTTATGTCACAATCAATGCTTGATATGCTGTAATTACATTTTGGTCAGTTTATACTAAATAAATCTGGCAACTACAGGGGTATCTTTAATACATTTTTTTTTTTTCAAACAAAGCAAATGGTTAGAGTGTTATGGTAATATTTAATAAAAACACATTTTTGTTTTTCTATACTTTATAGAAACCTTATAAGACCAAAAGAGTTAAAAGATTAAACTCGTTATTCTCAATGTCTCTACTCACAATGTCTTAAATGTTTTTGTTTTTTAAAATTACAAAAAAACATAAACAAAACATATTTAGCAAAAATTACACCATGAAATTTTTCACTACTGAGGAAGTGGATGAGAAAGAGAAACATGAGGAGAAAAGGGAAGATGAAAAAAAGAAAAAGAAAAAGGTAACTATAAAAAAAAAGAAGAGGAGGAAGAAGAGGATGGAGAAGGAAAAGACTAGAAAGAAAAAGGAAAATAAGATGAATAAAGGGGGGGGGGAAGGATGAAGAAAAAGCAGTAGACGAAATATTTACTGATTTGAATACATGCCTACATTTTGTTGTAACTTACACTGGCTATTCCGATATCTGAGCTGAATGTATTTTCCAAATCTGCTTGAGTTATCATTCAGGTTGGTTTGTGCATTGCCAAATGCTTCAAGAAGGGGATTCACCTGATAGGGAAAACAGATCTTTTATTGAAAACAAATTTCTTTTATAATAAAAGTAACCACCTTCATTGTGGGGGCAGCACACAATTTATGTAAATAATAAAACAATATTAAATGGAGCTTTTAAAAATAACCGTCTATAAAGTGCTTGATAACTAAATGTTATAGACTTTGGTCTAGGACTATTTACTGTTAGCAGACCCCAGCTAGAAAGACTGGACCAGGTACACACTCAGCTGCACAAAAGAAACCTTGTGCCACACCATGCAATAATATCTCCTGGGTTTACCGACAATAGCCATCAGACATAAAGTGGCACAGGTGAAAGCGTACATGAGGATATCAGCAGACATCAGCCACCCACTGTATAATGCTATCAATGATACAAAAGGCATGTGTGTCAAAAAAGGCTCCTTCTGGATGGTTGAGGCAGCAAAATCTAATCCAGCAAGTGTGTGATCTAGACAAGATAAATCACAGAAGATAATGAATGGATACCAGTACACATGCACGACCTGTCTAAGATTGTCATAACACTGGGGAGGTACTGCAGAAGTCAGATACCCACCACTGAAGATGCAGAGACTAGGGCACTGGTTGATCAGCATCCACACCCAGAAGACATCTTCATCTACATAGATGGGTCAAGTGCGGGTCAAGGTCAGATTGAGCATACACAAGACAAAGGATGGGAAAACAATCAAAGAGGAAAGCGGCCCTTACCAAATAACTACATTAAGCTTGACCATGGAAAAAACTGCTTCTTTCAGAGTACTTGCTTACCAGATAACTACGTCAAACACGACCATAGAGAAAATTGCTTTTTTCAGAGCACTTGCTTACCAGATAACTATATCAAACATGACCATGGAGAAAACTGCTTTTTTCAGAGCACTTGCTTACCAGATTACATCAAACACAACCATGGAGAAAACTGCTTTTTTCAGAGCACTTGCTTTGGTAACAGAACAAGTGGCCACACGTGCCGTAATCATTTCAGACTCTATGAACATGCTTCAGAAAGTCTCTACATGTAGTCTATGCTCTTAAAGAGTAGAAAGCATTCAAAAGTCACAGTTAACCTCCATCATCTTGATCTACATACCTGGGCACACAGGAATAAATGGTAATGAAAAACCTGACTAGCTGGCAAGAAATGTACCAATGCAAATGGGAAGAAGCAAGGACAGAGCTGATATCGTCAACATGGTATGGACTAGGGAAAATTGCAAATCTATTATGCTAACACGACTGTGTGACTAAAGAGTTAAGCTTGGTGAATCACATCTATGTCATCTTCGAGGGAAAGACAGGAAATACTATAACCAACTCCTCATGGGAACAATCAGTAGAGGTATCTTGGAGTGGCTGCTGCTGGAGTGGCTGCTGCATTGAAGCACTGAGCACACTGGGCCCAGTGTGCAAAGACCTCAATTGTGATAATTTGATGACTAATCTCAAACAACAGTTCATGTGGGTATCTGATGACATCTGACAGCTTTAAATGGGAGAGTCCAGCAAAAAACAAAAACAAACAATTCACCAAAACAAACAGACCAAAAAGCTAAACAAGTTGACAATACTAGACATAAAAGATTTCAACAACAACAAGACTTACAGGTAAAAAAATGTATCTACCTGAAGGATCTGCTGTTCAAGCTGGGTATTTCCTCTGCACAAGTCAACAAGTTGTTTGATTATTAACTTTGTGCTCTCTGTTTTACCTGCTCCACTTTCACCACTGTTGAAATAGAAAATAGCAGCCTGGTGTAATTTAATATTTAATAATTATTTCTAAGTAACATTTATGTATTATTTGTGAAGTCAATTATTTTTAAAACATTGGGTTATTATAAACTTTGACATGGTTAATCTGTGCAGTCATTTCAACCTTACCTTTCCCAGCTTGTGCAGATCAATCTTTGTCCTAAACATGTTTCTACCCTTTGTCTCTAATTCTTTTCTCCAAGTATTTCAAGTCTCCTTTTATTTTTGTGGCAAGGTTCCAATGCAAGATAAGTCTTGTTAGATTATTATCATGTTTTCTCCATGTGTGTCCTTTCTGGACCTTGTGTCTTTTCCTCGTCTAGAATTTGTCTAGCTGTATTTTTGTTTGTGTGTGTGGAAAACCTGGACTTGCAATCCTTTAACCCTACACTATTAAACATTCTCTAAAGTGAAGTTAAGTTTAAATGCTCATTTTTAGCCACATTACATAGTATATGGTATACTTAACTCTTTCAGTCCCATTAAATGGGTCATGTGTGATTGATTATTGTACATGTGCATCAAATAACAACTGATGTGACAACTGATGTAATCTCTTGTTTGACCTAATAATAATATAGAAACCTGGTTAGTTTTTATAAAACCCCCTCCAGTATTTGAGTTACTGCAAATGTAACAGTTATGCTCTCACAAATATATATATATTCAGGTATATTTTCTGTACCCACTTACATATGGTCATACTTGAGTAGGTTCAAGGGCTTTATATTGGAGAGCAAAGAATAGACCCACTGCCACCTAATAAGCATGTCATAAGAGGTGACTAATTAGGGTTTTTCATTCAAAGTCGGAGTGCATTAGCCTGAGAGTTAAGAAAAAAATGGTCTGCATACAAATAAGCCAGATATGTAAAACATATGTACATGCGAAACTCAAGTTCTAGACAAAGACCAAAGTCTTGAACAACCAGAACTTTCCATCAGTTTACAACTGGTGAACATTAAGAAGAAGAAGGAGAAAATGTGGCTACAACATTTCATTTGATTCTTTTTGGTATTTTCATCCAGTTTTTTTGTGTGTGACTACAGTACATAACCATAAAACAAACGGTAAAGTAGAATATATTTTGTAGTGTGATTCATATTTACCTAATTAAAATGCACTGGTTTCCCGGTGGTCTACCACCATGTCCAAGGAGAGCCTGATATGCTGCGTCTGCTACAGCAAAGATGTGAGGTGGATGTGCACTTCTTTTGACATTGTGATACTGAGCACTGAACTGGTGAAAGCAATCAAGAATAAGCATTTATGACAAAATTAACTAAAAGAAATGCTGTATCTATGAGCATAAATTGCTTTAATAAGTTTGCTGTTTCTTAAATTTCTGTAGATTATGAGGTCCTAAGCTGCAGCTTAGTTAGCCTAAATCCAGTGCAGACTCTCCATGATCCTGATAAAATTCAACTGCCGAGAACAATAAGCCACTAGAGTCAGCCTCTGTGGCTTACGTGTTGCAGACATGCTTTGTGATGATGGGATGCCAGGTTTGATCCCAGCTGCGTACAATTTGTCTAGCATTGGTTTTGACAGTAGTACCAAGAGCTGACCATTCAGTAAGCAGTGCAAACTAATGAACCTTGCCTAGAAAAAAAAACCACAACAGCCAAAAAATGTTGGGGTTGGTACTGTAAAGGATACACAACAAACTTTTTTTTTAGAACCCTAGCTTAAGTACTTTAACATATGACTGGGAAATGCGAACCTCAACATCCAAAGCTTAAATGAAAATGCAAGCAATGGAAATGAAATCTTTTCAAAAGATTGTTGGTAAATTTCAAACAGAGACCACATCACTAATGATAAAATTTGCCATATCATTGCTCAGCAAATTGTCAACTATAAATTTCATTTAATAAAAGTGAAAAGACAGCTTTTGTTGTAACAAGATCTACTAGCATCTCCAAAATGATACTACAGGGCCCAGTTTAGGGGAGTAGGAGGAGAGGCAGACTAAGACAGATTTGTATACAGAATTTTGGAAGGATATTACCTTCTTGATGTGGTTTAATAGACAAATTATGAGAATACACCAGACAGATAAAGAGAATAATGAAGAGGTCTTGAAAGAAACGGACTCACGAAGATAACTAAAAGCGCACATCAGACAGAAACAATCTTCATTCTTTCGTAACGTGACGGTAGAAAAGTTGGAGGGGAGGAGAGGCAGAGGGAGACCAAGAGAACAGATGCTGGACAGTTTGACATTATGGCATGCAAGATCATCTGTGTCAGAGTTGATTGAAAGTACACGAGACAGAAGGTTGTGGATAGACATGACTACCAACACCACATGGCATGGACTTTAAGAAGAAGAAGATTGTAGATTCTCCAGTGTGGGAATACAGCACACACAGACCTACAGCCTAACAATACAGTCACAACAACAATCCCAGGCATAGACAGAAAGGCCAAAGAATGTGAGCTAGTACTGCATTCAAAGAGCCTTGAAAATGTCTACAACTCTTACCCAAAAATATGAATGGACACACGTATACACTGACGGTTTCATTGGAGGGAGCAGAAAAAAATGGAGGAGCTGGATCAGTCATCATACTGCAAGATGGGACCACAGTAGAAACTTCATGCCCCTCCTGAAGGCTCTCAAAAAACTTCAGAGCAGAGCAGCAAGCAATAATTGGTGCAATCAAAGTGATTGAGGAAAGAACAAACACAGCAAAAGTTTTCTTTTGCGGTTGCATGTCAGTCCTCCAGGCGACTTAAGGGGATCAACGAGACAACATGGAGAGAGAACTGACACGCCAGCTAAATAGACTCTCCGAAAAAAATCAAATCATTCTCCAGTGGATCCCGGCTCACTACGGCATACCAGGAAATGAGTTAGCCCCCATCAAGGGAAAATACAAGGAATTGTGGAGAGAACAAACCAACAGAAATCCACAAGACCCCATTAGCAGACTCAACAGAAAGCCACATACAACAATTTTCCGTCTACGAACAGGCTCAACTACCAAATGCATAAAATAAAGATTGTACATTCCCCACAGTGTGCCTGTCACACAGGACCACAAAAAAACACCTGAGCACATTCTGCAGACCTGTCCCCTCTACCTACAACTTCTAAAAGACACCTGACCTCAAGAGCAAAGTGTGCAGACCATGACACATTTTATGGGACTATGAGATGATGATCATGTGGTAAGGAACTGAACTCTCAGATTAAAGCATGAACTGCTTAGAAAGCATCTGTACAAACCTCAGATGTTACAAGTGCTTTGCCCAGAAGCTAACATTGCAGAATTTATTTACTGTGAAGTTTTTCTGTTCTCTACAGTTTGAGACTAGAGCACATGAAAATATCAGTAAATGAGAAGGATTCTTTCTCTTATTCTTCACTTTATCTTTTATCAGTTTTGGTATGGAAGGAAAAATGATTCTTTACAAACAGGAGAATTATGTGATTATGTTAGCCTTGTCCTCCTTTGTGTTCTATGCTGTACTATCCTTTCGATACCATGGATGGAGTTCAGTTCAGCACCACCCTGTGTGCATTCCAGGGCCCCACTGTGGGGTAAAAGGGGGGTGGGGGATGACAAGAACAGACTCACTGATTCCCAAACAGTCATGTCATAAGAGTAGACTAATTAGGGTCTTCCTTCAAAGTCAGAGTGGATCTGCCTGAGAGGCAAGAAACTAACAGTCTGCATACACATATGTGAAACGGATGTGCATGCAACACTTAGGTTCTGGAACAAGACTGAAGTCCTTAGATAGATGAGCAACCAGAACTTTCTGCTGGAGTTTACAGCCGGTGAACGTGACGAAGAAGAAGATGAAGTCTAGCACACCTGGCCTCTCTCATCAATGTACCACTCAGATATCTTCATTTCCTCAGTCCATTTGTATCCTGTTTTAGTGACTGCTTAGTGATTATGTCAGCTTCTCCCAGTGTTGTGCCCAAAACATTGCTTTCTTTTTTTCCTGTAACTGTTGATACAAAAGCTGTCCAGAAGCATAAAACATAAATTAATAAAATTCAGTCATAAATTGACCAATATCAATAAATTTCTTTGTAAAATGGTAATCACGGCTATGGCCAAGTTTTCAAAAAAGAACACTGTATTAATAAAAACTTACATGTTTTTCATAAATGCCAATGTCTTTGAATGGATTAACTGCAATAAGAATATCACCCACATACGTCTGCAAAAAAAAAAAAAAAAAATTTAAATAATATTCAGAGGTGATGACAAGTTTAAAGTAAGTATTTTAAAAATGTTAAAAGCACTTGAAGCGCTTAAACAACCATGCATGTGCATGTGCGCACACCCTCTCCCTCCACCCCACCACCACCACCAACCTGTCGCAGCCCAACCTTCCATTCACCACTAAACAATAAAACAAATAGTAAAATACAAACTATAGATTTTCTTTAAAGATATACTACTATAAATAGAGAGAGACATCTATACACATGCGCGCACGCACACACCCGCACACATATACACAACAGTAAAGCCAGGGGTGAAAGGCAAGTATGAATGATAAACAAATAAAATTACAGATTTTAAAGCCACCTGAAGATGTGGATATACAGAAGAAAATGTTACATTTCACTGAAAAAAGACAGCCAGACACAAGTTTTGGAAAGAGGGAGTTTTTGAAAAAGACACTTAAAGAACAAAAAGGAAATGCAAGTTAAATATTTCAACCTCATTAACTCTCTTAGTCCCAGGTAATTATTTCTTCATCATTGTCTATTCTAAAGTTTTTTAAACTCACAGTAACAACCCTGAAGTCTTTTGGAATTTAAAAAAAGATTGAACATAGGCCTAAGTAGTTACATCAATGTTTGTTTGTTTGTTTTAGTATCCAGAAGCCATGAGTTGTTAACCCTTAGGCTCAGTATTATGGATATCGCAACCTTTCGGCCTTGATTCCATTGTAAATACCGTAAATCTGGGAGAAAATGTGGATTTTCTGCCCACCCCGGGAGTAAACCCGGACCACAAGGAGTTCGTCACCAGCTCACCGCGCAATCTGGTTTAGCCAACTACGCTAGGGAGCCGGGCAGTTATGTCAATAACTGAGATAGAATGGGTTGACATGACAGATGAACTGCATTGAAAAAAGTTCACAATTGTGTACTAAGTATAACAGGGCTATTCAATTAAGTTTACCTATGAGCAAAAATGTTGAAAATGGGGATCGGCACGGGCCTGAGCCCCAACATAGAAAGATCATTATTACAGTACAACTGGCAATGATCTGCGAGCCACTTGCTAGGCCTCCGCGGGCCAGATTTGGTCCGCGATCCGCCAGTTGAATATTTCAGCGCACCTATACTTTATAATTTAGATGACCCTGATGGATTGAGTGAAAAAGATGACATCGTTATTATAGACTGGACGAGTTCATCAACTTCAAATTTAATCCTAATGTCTCTGTATAATATTCCTTTTAAACTTTTGTAAAGATCCATTGTCTGAATGAATGTATTAATAACATCTTGTATTCACATTTTGCATATCAAGTTTTCATTAGTGAATCTCAACATTTATAACAATAATTAAATACGAACCCAATTCTCACATTCAAACAATTTCAATAAAGGAGCTGCGTGTTTTCGAGGCATGGTGTTCGCCTAGAGTGCTAGAGGTCCCGTGTTCAAGCCCCGGTGTAGGCTGGGATTTTTTTCTGCTCACGTTGACTTCTAGTAATTTCCCTGGTCTCTGGGTAGTGAGATAGGATGCTCGTGTGTATTGTTGCGCAGGTAAAAATCCCCTTGGTAGTTGGAAGTCGAAAAGAGTAGCCTAACGCCGCTGTCCGGGCAAAATTTCGAGTTAAAAATCTACCAATTTATTTCAGGATCCTCCCCGGTGCTACTTGAGTTAGAAATAAAACGGAGCACTTATGGGTTACTACCAGCGTGCCACGATGTTGATCCATGTTCAAAACCTAAAATCTGAAAAATTTCATTTACATTTATATCAAGTGATCATTTATTATATTGGCAATATTCGTGTAATAAAACGAATCGTGTCTACCAGACTGTCTCTTGTCTCGATTGTTTCTCTCATTCTTTGCAACCGTTTCTTGAATGAGGAGGTGTTAGCGCACAATCGGATACCTTCGAAGAGCCTCGCAACATGAAGGAAAGTACAGCAGCCATGGTATTCGCTAACGCTCTTAACGATAGTGGTAAATGAATCTGCTTCTGCCTTCCTAACCCCCAAATGGAGCACGGACAAACAAATTCACGCCAAGTCGTTATATCCTTCCCTGCTGCTGGCCTTGCGCCTTGCTTTGGTTTCGACAGCGGTATCGAAAAGCCGACCGTCCAGAAGCAATGGCAAACTACTGAACGTATATCTGCCTAGAAAAACCACAACAGCAAACAAATTCTGCGACGTCCTGTAAAGGTTACGCAACTAACTTTTTAAAAAAACTCCCTTCTCCGTGTGATTTTTGTTCATCCTTTATGCCCTAGTGGGTTGCGGTGCAAAGAAATTATAGTTATATTGTTCTCAGGTTTTCGTAAAGTGTCAGGCGAATGAGTGCCCTGTGTATTTTTTGTGTGAGAAATGATTTGGACTTGGGAGATGTCATGGCTAGACGCTCGCCTGCGAATCGGAAGGTCGTGGGGTCAGGCCCTGACGGAGCTGCACTTTTTTTTTTTTCAAAATGAACTTGGCTTCCAGGTCGACCTAGCCTTAAAATGGGAACCAGATACAGTCATGGAAGTGAAGGCGACCACATCACTCACTGAATGCAAATTGGTTATTACAAAATAGGTCTACCTCTATATGCCTAGTAATCTGGTAATCTTAGTTTCAGCTTCATTGAAACGGGTCACCCCATAGTTGCTCCGCTCCTGTGCCAACGAAAAACACACAAAATGTTTATAACATTTCAAATGAAATCCGCAGCTCACAGTGTCACTCCATGCACTCAACTCAGAAGAAGAGCAACGAAACTATATCCGCTCAGTCTTCAAATGGAGCACAAATGCAACGGCCACCGTCTGGCAAAAGACAAAAAATTTGCTAAAAGAAGTGGCCGTGTCTAGCTTCCATTTGGACCTGGGGCATTATGTGAGGGTTAATAAATGGTCACCCCAGCAGTACCCTCACTATTAGCTGGGGAAGGGTCTTAGGACATTACATCCACCAGCAAGCGTCGCCCCTACAACGACCTGACTGCCTTCGTTAACGACTGTTCACCCATCAGCCATGCAGTTCTTTGGCACGAAGGAGACACCTTGAACTTGGGTTTCGGACTGCCGACTCTCTAAAAGATGTTATGTTCAAATACCCCGCCTTACACAGTATGAGTGTATCCATCGGGACAATGACAACGCGAAAACGCGCCTGATTTCACTGTCACTACATCGACCA